CGGCAGTCCATCGGGTCTTACGTTATCTCAAACGGTCACCAGACCAGGGTCCGTTTTTTCCATCCTGTAATCCCCTTACTCTACAGGCTTATTGTGATGCTGACTGGGGTGGTTGCCCCCTCACTCACCGCTCCACGACAAGCTACGTCATCTAACTTGGTCAAGCTGTTGTTTCATGGCGATCCAAAAAGAAACATGTGGTCTCTCGTTCCTAAGCTGAAGCAGAATATCGCGCAATGGCTACCACAATCAGTGAGATTCTTTGGCTAAGAACTCTTCGTCGTGACCTTGGGATCAAATCTTCAGGTCCTACAAAACTCTATTGTGACAATCAAGCTGTGCTTCACATTTCCAACAATCCTGTTTTCCATGAAGCACCAAACATGTTGAAATGGATTGTCATTTTGTCCGTGAATGGGTCCAAAGTCAAGACATCTGTCCAGTTAAAGTCAGTTCTCGTGATCAAGTTGCGGACCTTTTCACCAAAGGCCTTGGATCTGATCGCTTCCATTATCTTCTTCGCAAGCTAGCCGTTCGTGACCTTCACGCGCCAGCTTGAGGGGGAGTATTGAAGATCACAGATAATAGGAGATAATGTGGGATAATGCCCACCTACACCGACAGCTCACTGCTGTCCCAACTAAGACAAGATAATAGGAGATAATGTGGGATAATGCCCACCTACATCTCATTAATACTTGATAGCATTTTCTATTCTTCTTTCTCAAAGACAGCAACACCCTATTCTGTATAAATCAGTAGCTTAGAAGCTCATTTCATTTCATTTCAATAAAACTGAGTTCCTACACTAAACAAATGGCATTAAATGGGGGTCGTCATGAGGATTCAAAATCATGACTTTTCGGTTCTAGGCTCAAATACCATGTTCGCAAACTAACCACTTGGTCCCAATAACTCGAGTTGTTGGGAAATGGTCTGTTAATCCTTTTAATCTCTTACATATAGTGGCAGATGGAGCCAGAGGAGAGGCTAAGAATTTACTTTAATGATTTGTTTGGAAATGTGTACATAATTCATATATAATGTATTTGAATCGCATATATTCAAAATGCATGTATTTAAAAAACTTGCATTTGAATTACATGTAATTCAAATTTGTTGTTTATCGATTTTTATTTGAATTTTGAATTTTCTGATCACAATTTAACGATTGAAAAACTGTACTGTATCGGTGATTCGGTTAGAAAAATCTCATATCGGATGCTAAACCGATAGATGATATTTAGCGTTATGAAAAGGTTGAACCGTGATTAAACCATAGTTTCATCATAAAACACCATTTCGCAGCCCTCCACCATTTCCATTATATGATTTTATAGAGGCCAGGCGTGTTTCTTTCTCGCTGGTTTGGATTTACGGTTTCTTGTGCAGTGGGTAGAGGTAGAGCAAGTCGGATTTTACCCACCCCGCGCGAGGCAATCTTTGGGGCGAAAATTGTCGACCCGTTGTGGGTCGTGGGGCAGAGCGAATTGGAATTTCAAGAACAGAGTAGGGCGCAGATTTAGCACTATCCACACCATGATCATGCCCAGTTGCCAATTGCAATCCCTAGGGAAACTAGAGGGAATAAGAACTTTTTCATTGTTCATAAATTTTGTTACAGTGAATGAGAGTTATTATTTTGAGAGAAATTAACTAGTAACAGTTGACATCCAATTTAGGGTAAAACAACTATGGTTTCTTATTGGGTCTTCTCCCCCTTCCTTTTTCGTTCAAAATTGAATAACATTTTCCCTTATTATTTTACTGGCCTTAAATTTTCACCCTTTTGTTTTTTCCTCTCTCCAATTTTCTCCCCCTCTTTTGTAAAGAGACCGTAAAAGTTTGAGTATTCCGTCACAAATGCAACAAATTAGACCTGACAAATGACGACCTTACTTGTTGACCTGACCGAAAAACATATAATGGGTTGAAGTTTTATAACATGAAAACCGAGTGACTCGAACACGATTAACTCGTAGTTTTTTTAGTTAGGTTGGGTGGACTAGCGGGTCGACCTGCTTGACATGTTCCATTTCATATGTCACTCTTACAATGAAACATCAATTATTAATTGGTGAGATGTTTAAAATTTTCATAAGGATTTGAAAGACAGGTTTTGGAGTGTAATGATAATCAAACATCATTAGTTTCTTGTAGTAATATTACTTTCGTGATTGTTTTTTATTATTTGTGCAATTTGTATTACTTTTCTTTAGAATGAAAGAATTTGAGCATTTGTTAATTGATAAGTGTTAGATAAACTATTGTCGTACATATGTGAAAATTTGTGTTTTTTTTTAATTTATGAAGCATGTTTGATATTGTTTATGATAACGCTCATCATCCGAAATGACCCGAAATCTGTTAAATTGAATCGATATTTGACTCAAAATCAGCCAATCTAATATGACCCATTCCATAACAACTCGGAACCCGAGATTCCCAAACCAAAAGTACCCAACTCAATGGGAGCAGATACAATTAGTAACCTTGTGGTGCTATAACCCCATGCATAACCCAATAAGAATCCGCCACATCAACGCCTCCTTCTCTCTCCTGGAAAAACCTTTAATTTTCCTTCCCTTAATCTTTAACGGACGATTTCTCACTCGTTTTAAGTCGAAATTTAATTTTTTTTGCACAATTAGATCTGATTAATTATGCTCTTCAAAATTATATTCACTTTAATATTTTTGAACCAAAAAAATTTATCAGTTATTACCATTCTATACCATATGGTATTGGTTGTATCATATGGTATTTACTGGTATTAAATAACAGCATACCATATGGTATGAAAATACCACCCCATACCAGGGTAGTATAGTATAGTATGGAGTTGGTAATGAGAGGTATGAAATTTTTTCACCGAAAAAATTTTGAAATCCAATAGATCATGATTAAATCGTTCCTTCTATGCAAAATTTTCCAAAAACGACTAAAAACAAAGGAGATACCATAGGGTATGGAGTTGGTAACGAGAGGTATGAAAATTTTTTCCTCAAAAAATAAGGAAAATGGATATCATTTTGTAGGGCACAACGAACTCGTTCCATCTGTGCAAAAAATATTGAAATCCGAGTCAGAATGAAGAAGATATGATCCAATTAAGAAAACTAGGCAAAATAAATTCCTTTAATTCTCCACCTTAGATATGAAGCACTTAAAAAAAGGTTTCATATTTGGTTACTCATAATTATGCACCCTAAAGTTATGTCTCCTATCTTAAGCCCAACTTAACCCTATTGCCAAGTCTACAACAAATGTTTGATGTTAGTATTAGGGATGACAACAAAATCCGAATCCACGAGTACCCACCCGACCCAACCCGGTCAATGCGGGTAAAACCCGTGTTGACGGGTTTTGGGTCGGGTTCGAGTTTAAACCTGCTACACTATTCACCGGGTCGGGTTGGGTTTGGGTTTAGGTAAACCTGCCCCATGGGTACCCGCCCACACATATATAATTACTTTCTCGGTATATTTAATATTCTAAATAATATATCTTTCTTAAATAACTAATATTCTTTATGTTTTGTGGAGACATGTATAATTTGTTCTTTCTAATTGTTTAGAATGAAGTTGATATTATGAAGTGGAGAGTGAAGAAACTTAGTTGACGAGGAAGAAGCTTTCAATTAATCTTATTGTTTATAGATGTTTATCTTTAATTTTGAACAATTTGTATTGATCATTTGCCGTTTGCTTGTATGCTCTAGATTGGTATTTTTTTATGATTAATTTGTATGAGAAAATTGATGTTAAACTTTTATTTTGAAAGAAACTTGTTATTGTAAATTTTTTACCGCAAAAACCCACGGGTACCCATGAACCCGCGGATACCCAGCGGGTTGGGTTGGGTTTGAGTTTTTCAAATCCAACGGGTTTTACCCCGGGTTTTTTTGGCGGATAAACCCATGGGTTTGGGTTTGACCAAACCCGCCCCAACCCGACCCATTGCCATCCCTAGTTAGTATTTACTTAGTAGCATGTAAATGGTAATTAGGGATGGCAATAAAACCCGAACCCACGGGTACCCTACCCGACCCAACCCGATCAATGCGTGTAAATCCCGTGTTGATGGGTTTTGGGCCGGGTTTGGGTTTAAACTCGTTTACTATTCACCGGGTTGGGTTGGGTTTGGATTTCGGTAAACCCGACCCATGGGTACCCGCCCACACCCATATAATTAATTTTTCCGGTATATTTAATATTCTAAACAACTAATCTTCTTTATTTTTGTAGAGACATGTCTCATTTTTTCTTTCTAATTGTCTAGAATGAAGTTGATATTGTCGAGTGGAGAGTCAAGAAGCTTAATTGGCAAGGAGGAAGAAGCTTTCAATCAATCATGTTGTTTATGGATAATTTGTGATTTGCTTCAATTTTCTTGAGTTTTCTAGATTGGTGTTGAACAATTTGTATGGTTAATTTGTGATTTGCTTGAATTTTCTGGAATAGTGTTTTATATATGGATAATTTGTATTGAGATATTCATATTTGACTTCAATTTTGATAGGAACTTGTTATTGTAAATTTTTTACGACAAAAACCCATTGGTACCCATGAACCCACGGATACCAGCGGATTGGGTTGGGTTTGAGTTTTTCAAACCCAATGGGTTTTATCCCGAGTTTTTTTCACGGATAAATCCATGAGTTTGGGTTTGGCAAAACCCGACCCAACCCGACCCATTGCCATCCCTAACGTTAGGAGCATTTCTACTATACTATATAGTATCGGTGCTTTAATGTACAACTTAAAGTTGTACCATAACATGAAATGTATAAGTTTAGATTGTACCATAAAAGAATTTGTACCATTATGTTATGGTACAACTTTACAACTTTAAGTTGTACCATCACATAAATGTACAAGTTCAAGTTGTACCATAAAAGAATTTGTACAAACAATATAGGTATAATCTAAAGTTGTACCATAACGTTAAATGTATAATTTCAAAATGTACTATAAAGGAAAAAACATATAACACCAATACTATATAGTATTATAAAATTCCTCCTAACGGTAATATTGGCTACCTAAAAATTCAGGGTTGGATCAGGTTCAATCCGGCTGCCTGTTGGGCGTACTTGGTTCTGCCGCGGGTTCTGCCGCCCTTAACTCCGGCGACTTGGTGGTCGCAGTCCGGACTCCGGATTCTCGTATCTTCTTCTCCCTCGATAACAATAACAATGTCTTCTACGCCCAGAAAGCGCCCAAATCTGCGCCCCGAACCCCAATTCCGGTCGAAAGTGATCTCTCCTTCTATCATGGAACCGCCGGGATATTTGTTCCCTCCAAGGAACGAGCTTTTCAGGCTCCTCGTCGTAGTGGGAATCGCATCTTCCGTGGCTTTCACCTGCAATCTATTGGCCAATTACTTCAGTCCCACCTCTCCACCACCCTTTTGCGATAGCAGTAATATGGGCTCCACTGATGATTTTCTTCTCTCAGGTCAGAAATTGGAATCGGTCATGAAAATTTCTAGGGCTTCACTACTCTTATGGGTTATTCTGAATTTGCTTCCTGGGGCGGAATTAGTTGAACTCTTCGCACGTTGTAGTTAGTCATTGAAGTGATTCTGAAACTAAGCATGCTTAGCTTAGTAATTGTTGTTTTATCTTGCTCAAGCTGTGGAGCAGTAGTTAGCTTGGTTCAGTGGGTTATAGGGATTTTCACTCTGTTTAGCTTCACGAGAAGTTGGTAGGGATCTCTATTCATTGTATTTGATTGAGTGGTTTTCAGATGTCTGTGAGCCATGTCCAATGAATGGAGAATGTCAAGGAGGCAAGTTAGTCTGTGATGATGGTTACAGGAGGAATGGGAATCTGTGTTTAGAAGATGGAGAAAGTAACGAAAGAGCTAAGAAACTTGTCCGTTCTAAGATTCTTATTCACTCCGGTACACTAGTTACTGTATATTAATGGATAGTATACACTTCACCATCTGGCACATGTTGCTAATCATTTGATTGACTCGTTCGAACTGCAGGCTGAACTAGTTGAGAGCTATGTATGTGAATCATATGCTCAATTTTCGTGCTATGGACAGGGGAGAATATGGGTATGTTAAACCAGGCAATGGTGTGCAGCTTAGTACATAATACGTTTTCATTCTGACTTCCTTCAAATATTGGACCATGAGTTCTTAGACCCTAGCAATCTTGTTTATGTATTCCAGGTCCCAGAGAATGAAATGTGGGAAGATGTGAAACACCAAGTGGTACAAATTTTCCACTCGGACGATGCAAGTTACATCTATGCCAAAAACAAAGCAATGGAGATAATTGATCGATCATTGGAGAAGAAGACAAATCCTGAGGGGTATATTATTCTAACTTCAGCTTACGTCATTAGTATAGTGAACGTGAAGTGAGATTAGAGATAGTTGAGTACTTCTCTATTCATCACTGATAATGTTTTGTCTTTCTAGGATTACAGAGTTGAAGTGCCCTAGTGATTTGGCAGAACGATACAAACCAGTTAGCTGTCGTGTTCAGCAGTGGATCTTTGAGCATGCTTTTGTTATATTGCCAGTTTGTGCAATGGTAATTGTACTTTTCGTTCAAGGTTTTGCTTCAGATGCTGCTGCTCATTTTTGAACCTACCTTACAGTATTGAAAACTGCAGGTCATTGCATTGACATGGTTAGTCGGGAAAATCCGTCAGAGATGTTATCTTTCAACTAGAGGAGAAGAATTGTATCATCAGGTAGTGCTTCTAAGCGACTTATTCCTGTCGAGATCTTTTTCTTGATAATACTATTTCTTGCTATTCATCCTGCTATCTGAGGCATCTTTTGTGTTTTTTCTCGGTAGATGAACCGTCTTTGATTTGAACATCAAACCAAAGTTACAGCTGAAGTACATATAAGAGTAGATAAATCATGGGAATAATGTACCATAATGGAAAAGGATTATGTTTCATCCCCTCAGAGGACTCATAAGTGGACCTGAACACCATCATTTCGAATGTCTTTTTTTGTTAGCTCTATAATTTGTTGGCATCAGTTAAAACAAAAAATTGTGCTCCTATTTTCATTGGACTACTAAGTAGCACAAGCTTCCCATGTCGATTTGGCTATGTGATCTCAAGAAGGGCAAACTTAACACTATATGTCATACTTCTGTAAGGTATGTGACATGCTCGAGGAGATTGCCTTCGAAGGCAAAAGAGAAAGTGGTGAATTTGAACCTTGGGTGGTAGCTTCTCAGTTACGGGATCATCTATTATTGCCCAAAGAGAGGAAAAACCCTCTGTTGTGGAAAAAGGCAAGTTTCTAATTCCGTTTACCTCACTGTAGCTTGGCTAGGGATCTCCATTTAAACAAAACCACCGACGACCTTCCATGTTAGTGTGAATGATAGGGATTATATGCTAGTTCAACTGTTCAAGACATTGATAACCTCCTAATTAAATTTTAGCATTCTTAGTTTTGTCATGGCTGTTACCCTCCTAGGATATTATGTAATAGTTGAAATTGCAGGTTGAGGAGTTGGTACAGGAGGATTCTCGAATAGACCGATACCCTAAGCTTGTGAAGGGTGAATCAAAGGTGGTATGGGAATGGCAAGGTAGGGAAGCTGCACATGGCCTCTTACTTTATATCGTTTTATTTTCTACACGTCTCTTTGGTGATGGGACTAGGAAAGTCTTCATCTTCATGTACACCTTATTTCATTGTTGTAAATATTTTTGTGCCATGAAAGGTCAAACCCTGTCCTGAGGCATGGAAAATTTTGCTAGAAGCGAATGTGACACACTAGTGTTCTCTTTCATTTTCGTTTGTAGTGGAAGGGAGTTTGAACTCTGCAGGGAAGAGAACCAAAAACGCAACAGTAACCAAACTAAGATCCAATGGCAGCACTGAAGTACACCCTGATAAACAAACACAAACTTCCAAATCTGGTAAGATTTCAAGAGTGATTGGTGCAAAACCCAACCGCCTTTCTTCCTTCCTACAGTTTGTAAATTGTAACTCACATAGGATAAGGTAAACTGGTTTTGATTCTCTGCAGGGCAGAAGCTAGGGATGATGTTCTGACGAACCGGTGGCATTTCCTGCTGTAGTTGTTACTTTCTCAGGCAGCATGTTTCAGGCCCCTGACAATGTAGATAGGTTGGTGTTGCAGTTGTCTCAGGTTGCTTCCTCTCCCCTGAATTCACTCTGTTGTTTAGTTCTGTTAGAAGGTAGATAGGCATCCAGCAAGCAAACAAGGAATGATGAGAGAGTAGGAGTTCCTTTGTTACATGATAGGATGTTATATAGTTAATAGGTTACTGATCCTCATTTCCTTGTTCAAGGGGGTGATTAGATGCATGAAAGTGTAATTTTCCCAAGAAATCTACTATTTCTTATATCCCTTGTTGTAATGTTTCTTTGTGCTATTCATATGTTTCATCGTACATTCATTCGTAAGAAGGAAGAACCAAAATGAAAAACAAAACAAAACAGAGAAACTTAATTGAACAAATTGGTTCTGTGTAGTTTGGCATCAACAATTATCATCATCAATTCATCATTGATAAGTAAAGTGAATGTGGGAAGCGGAATAGTCAGGGTGGAGGAGTTGGGCTTCCAACTCATACTTGGCGTACAAGCAATCAAGTTCAGCCTGCTGAGGAAGCCTGTAGGATCTGTTGGGAACACTTTCGGTGTCGATAAGGACGTGGGTCAAGGAAGGTGAGTTCATGATAATGTGAGCAGCAAGTTCCAGCTGGAGTGCGCGAGGATCGACCCGTCCTTCCATATCTCCTGGATGCACCCCGTACAGGTGAAGCGCTTGCAGAGAGTGATGCTTCCACGTCGACAGCAAGCCACCTCTCCTCTCCCATTGTTTTGGGCCGAAAGTGTTCTCGAACCATATGCACAGATGGCGCAACTTCGGAGCTGCCCTCAACACGATGGCGCAATCCAACCAACTTGGAAGGCCGTTAACCGCAGGTATGTGCAAATCCAACGCTATGATTGTGGACGGCTGCCATTGCCGGGGAAGAACCAGCCTCGGAAGGAAGTCATTCGCCTGGAGGACGAGCCTGCTATGCTGTGACGGGAGGAGGTAGCGGGGTTTTGCAGTGCGGAGCCAGGATCCACTGAGACGTAGCTCCAGGAGCCGGGGAAGGTTCTCGTCGCCCCCAAATGACACCGTCAGTGTCTCGATTTCTGCATTCAACTCAAAGTATCGAAGATGCGGGGCAGAGATGAGCTCGATCCTGGAGAGATCGTAAGCACCGTGAGGGAAACGGAAGCTCAAACTCTGGATGCTGGAACAACGGATGCTGATCACTGCTTTTGTGGTGGTGGTGGTGGTGGTGGAGCCATGGTAACCGAAGTAGGAATTGTGAAGGGCGAAGCGTTTCAGGGCCGGGCAGTGGTCGGAGAAGATGTGCTCGAGAGTTCCTTTGGGAATCTCCGACAGACCCTCGAGTTCCAAGGCCTCGAGGCGGGTGAGGTCTTGCTTGATGAGGAAGGCAGGGTTGAAGAGAGGCAGAGAAACCCCGAGGCGTTTGTTGGGAGAACAGGGGAAGCAGGAGTACTCTAGGGTTAGCCGTTTGACTCGCTTGGCCAAACCCAATTGGATCCACCTCCAGGCTTGCTCGTCCATCCCCAACATGTTTAACTTTATTCTCAAAGCGCTCAAGCACGCTTGGTGAGAGCTCAGGGCTTGGTCGACTCCGTTTGCGAACTGCCGCCGTTCGTTGATCGTCGTCTTTCGTAGCTTGTCACCGTCGAACTCCAGAGCTCCGTCGTTGATATATTGCCAAATATTTCGCCACCCTTTGCTAAGGATGCTGCACCTCGCCGCTTCTTTTAGCGTCATGCCCACACGGGAAAGTATCTCCACTGCCAGTTGATCCGGCAGCTTCCCCAGAAGATCGATTGCTCCTCTTTTGGAGCGGCGGCGCGCCGCGGAGGTTCTTCTTTCCGAACCCAATTGACGACTAGCTGCTTTGCGCCTGCTGGCGCCGGGCATGGCGGTGCTGCTTCTTGATTTTCTTCGCTTCTTGAACTCCATCTTTAGTTTCTGAAGAGGGATTCTGGCCTTCCGCGTAATCATGTTGCTCCTGATAGCTGGCTGGTCGATCTCTCTCTACTTTAAACTCGCTATTCATACAATTTTAGTTTCGCTTCGTTCGGAGGGAATCGCAGCTTAACACACAGAGTGACAGAGATATCACAATATCACACACATATATATTAGGGGAATTCTGTGGTGCCGGTCGTTTATTTGTTTTTTTTTTTTTTCCTGCAAGTTTTTGTTCTTTTTTACTCAATAAAAATATGAGTGTTTTCCGTAAGTAAAGGGGAGTTATTACTTATTACTTGAGTTTTTTTCTTTCTATTACAGTGTATTACTTTCTCTATCAGTGTTAAGTAACTAATAGTTAGAGTAAATATAATTTATTAGTTAAATCTATTAAAATTTAGGGTAATCTCTATTTTTTTATTCAAAAAAATTTTAGATTCTTTTATAATATTTAAACTTATTAAAATTCTATTAACTAGCTAAATCTTTCATAATCAATCAAAATATTAGCCATTGTTACTGTATCGTTAATAATTTCGGAACTCTTTTCTTAATTAAAATACTAAAATTTTGGAATGTTGACCTTCAAGTGTCTCTTCCAAGTTAGTATCATATTGCCAAGTCAATATTACTAACAAAATTGGTGACTGGAAGTTAACATTTGACTAATTCTTACTATTTCGATAGATTTGGCTAATAAAAAATAATTCAAAAAGGGTTTGGCTAATAAATAGTCATTACCCTAAGAAATTTAAGTTAGTAGTCAAACCTTTCGAAATATAAAATATTAATTAAATATTTTTTAACACGTCAAAATATTAGTCATTTGTCTGTTATCGTTAACAATTTTCTAACTTTATTCTTAGTTATAATACTAAAATTCTGCAATATTGATCACCACGTGTCTCTTCCAACACAACATCATTTTGCAAAGTCAGCATTACAAATAAAGCTGCTAACGAGGAGTTAATGTTTGAGTAATACTTTGTATTTTGAAAGTTTTGGTTAATAATTTGAAAGGTTAGAAAGGTTTGGCCAATAAATTATTTTGGGTATTGTCTATTTTTTATCCTAATTTTTTCATATTCTTTTATATTACCTATCAAAATATTAAGAATTAACCAAATGTTAACTTTCAGTTAGTAATTTTGTTAATAATATTGACTTGACAACATGATACTGACTTGAAAGAGACACATGAAAGTCAACACTCCAAAATTTTAGTATTTTAACTAAGAAAAGAGTTACAAATTTCTTAACGATAACGTAAAAATGACTGATATTTTGATGCATTATGAAATATTTTGCTAATTAATAGCATTTTAATAGGTTTGGATAATATAAAATAATCTCAAAAAGGTTTGGATAAAAAATAGACATTACCCAATTATTTTTACCTTAAATATCTTTACTTCTCATGACATGCCGATTGGCTTAAGATAACAAAAAATGCCACTTTTGTCCTAAAATATTCATAATGAGAAATCTAGCACGAACTACGAGGTTTTTTTAACATTTGTAACCGACCCTTTCGTTAACGGTTAGAAATAACGGTTGACCAGACGATGGTCAAATGCGTCGACTTATGATGACGTAACTGACACGTAGATGCCACACCATTGACACATCAAAATAAATTTTTTATTTAAAATAAAAACAAAATGATAACAAAAAAATCATCCTTCTACCTTTGGCGTCCTCACAAGGGAGAACAATCTCGTAGACTTTGTTGCATCCTCCACCTATGTTGTTGTGTTAGAGAAGGACAAAACTTGTGTTATGGTGCCTATTTCGATGGTAAAGGGACACTCGAGGAGGACAATCTTTTGCCTCTCTATAATCGATTTTGTGATTCGGGTTTTGATTTATCCTGTTCGTTAGGTTTTTCTCTGTAAATTTAATGTTGAATTTTTTTTTTCATTTCAATCTTCGTTCCGACAATCCAATGCATACAATTCGATAACAGTTTCATGCCACTAAGGATCATTTACAAGTTATAATTCTTAGTGTAAGTAGAGTGATTCTAAAAATATTTAATTAAAATTATCACTTTTCAAGATGAAAAAGAATATTCTAACCTTAATGGCTAAACATAACAAAAAGATAGGAATAATAATTAGAAAATTGATAAACATTAAGCATACTTGCATAATCTAATCTCAATAATCTAATTTGTCAACAAGAAACATTTTTTATAAATAATATATGTTTTAAGTAACGTAAATTTTATGAAAATAATTTTAATTTATGAAACTACGATTGATATTTTAATCGTTATATGATAATTTTATCCTCCTCTCTTCTCTTCTCTTCTCTTTGTCCCGGGGAGGTGCGCCCCCCCCCCCCCCCCCCCCCCCCCCCCCCTCTCCCCCTCTTCAGTGCCTCCATCTCTTTCTTGAGTGCCTCGAGCGCTTGATCCTGCTCCTCGATTATGCGGATTAAGTGCTCCTTCGTGAGTGTTACGCCCCCGACTGGGCCGTCTCTTGCCCCTCGTTGTCCCCTCCATGCGCCTTCTCCGACAAACCGTTTAGGCGCTTTCCCCCTGCACATAAAGGCACCTCTCGAGCCCTTCCCAGGGCTCGTTAGCACTCCGACGCCCAAGTCGGTACTCCGATTCTAGAGAGAAAAGTGAATAGTGATTTTAGAGAGAAGGTCTAACCTGAGTAAATGAGGTTCACCAACCTCGCTATTTATACTAGGGACCTGGCCGACCAACATCCTTCCCTTCCGTCCTCCGCCAAACCCGCAATTAATGTGTCGTACAGTCATGTTCCATGCGCCTCGACCATCTGACCTTTTGCTCAGAAGACCGAGGCGCATGACGTCAGCTGGTCCACTCTCCGTACCCTTTCGACCGTTGGGAGCTTTTGTCGCATGCGCCCTGTGTCAGAATCCTGGCCCCACCTGCCTGGGAGGTCTCCTTGCCTTACTGGGCTGACCCCCTTCACGCGCTTGGGCCTCTCTAGTTGGGCTTTTCCTCCCTGACCTGCTAGCTCCCCTCCCTTGGACCATGGGGACAGCTCCCCTTAGGCCCATAGTTATGCCCCCAACAGGGTCTGACCTCCTTGGGCCATAGTTATGCCCCCCAACAAAAATTATTCTATTCAAACACCTCATGTCCATGATTTGCAGACGTGCAGTGAAAAATCCATGAAGACCAACAGGTCAATGATCATTTGTTACAGCCTGTTTGGATAGGCTAAATTTTGAGGAAATGAAATTCCAATTCTCAAACTTTTCATGATTACTGAGGCTGTAAGAACGGTTGACCCCATGAAAGCAGTTGGAGAGCCTCACACTCTCTGGGTTGCTTTTGCTAAGCTGTATGAAGAACATAATGGTCTTGCCAAAGCCAGAGTGATTTTTGATAAGGCTGTGCAGGTAGATTACAAGACTGTTGATAATTTGGCTAGCGTGTGGTGTGAGTGGGCAGAGATGGAAATGAGACACAAGAATTTCAAAGCTGCTTTGGAGCTTCTAAGACGGGCAACAGCAGAGCCATCAGTTGAGGTCCAACGAAGGGTGGCTGCTGCTGCTTGGAACAAAGAACCAGTCCAGATGAAGCTGCACAAGTCCTTGAGAGTCTGGTCTCTCTATGTCGATCTAGAGGAAAGCCTAGGTACATTAGAGTCGACTCGTGCTGTATATGAGCGAATGTTGGACCTAAGAATCGCCACTCCACTAATCATAATCAACTACGCATGCCTTCTAGAGGATAATAAATACTTCGAAGATGCATTCAAGGTGTATGAGAGAGGAGTAAAAATATTTAAACTACCCACATGTGAGGGACATATGGGTGACATATCTGTCCATGTTTGTGAAGAGATATGGCAAGACGAAGCTGGAACGAGCTAGAGAGCTGTTCGAACGTGCCTGTCAAATGACTCCTGCAGACTGTGTGAAACCTGTGCATCTTCAATATGCGAAGCTGGAGGAGGATTATGGTTTGGTGAAGCGAGCTATGAAGGTTTACGATCAAGCCACCAAGGCAGTCCCGAGTAACGAGAAGCTGGATATGTATGAAATCTACATTGCCCGAGCTGCTGAGATGTTTGGTGCCTCAAGGACGCGAGAGATATATCAACAAGCAATAGAATCTGGGCTCCCGGAAAAGGATGTAAAGAAAATGTGCCTCCGGTATGCTGAACTAGAGAAGAAGTTGGGAGAAGTGGACAGAGCACGAGGAATTTATGGATATGCATCCCAGTTTGCCGACCCGGTATCTGATCAAGATTTATGGAAAAAGTGGCATGACTTTGAGGTTCTTCACGGAAATGAAGATTCCTTCCGAGAAATGCTGCGAATCAAGCGAACTGGTTCTGCTAATTACATGATGCAGACACACTTCGTTCCACCAGAGAATGTGATACAGCGCAAGGATCAATCGATGAGCATCTACGATGCAAAAGACAGGTCGGGGTCCTCGAGGATGGCATGTCTGTTCTTGAGAAACTTGGGTTTGTAAACGCTGGAGTGCAGACACAGGCTGATGGGCGATGGTGATGGCGATGGCGATGCTCCGTCGAACAGTGAAAGCCGGCGGCTTGGTGCTCTACAGAGGATAAAACGACTTAAAATACATTGATACCAGTAGTTAGCCAAACATGTAGTGAAATACACTGTACTATTGCATATTGAGCTCCTAGTTTAAGTGGGACTGACTGCTTGCTGAGTTGCTGTATATAGTTGTCGACACTCTGTACTTGAAGAGACTGAAACTCGGAATCTCTCTCAAGGGTCAAGCTCCTCCTCTTGATTCTGAATTTAATCTTCAAGGTCATCCATGTAGATTGGTTAACAGTATGCAATGGTTAATAGTTATGGTTATGGGTGTAATTTACATGCTGAAGAGTGTCGGCAGAGTGAAGGGTTGGATACAACATCTCTATCCTTTCCAAGTACGGAATGGGAAGACTGACCCACAAGTGACAGCTAAATTCCACATTTCCCTTTCTTCTGTTTCCCTTGAAATAGCCATATTTCCATGCGTTTCCTTTTCAAATGTCAAAACCCTACATTGAATTGAATACCAACCAACCCAAGTTGGGGCAAGTATGTATTCTTTGTTTCATTTCCAAAAATTAATGTATGATTGTTTTCTTCATTCACTAGCTAGAGAGATGAGGATTGAAGTACCTGTTGAAAAATGATAATCTGTTCGGTCAGAAATATGCTTTTGTAACATAAACAAAAATTCAACCAAATTATCAATTATGATATGATCATGAGTGCAGAGCACCACGTATAAGGGATACGAATGTGACCTAGTGCATTAAGGTTGATCCTGTCAAAGTCAAGCAACAAAATGATTAATCAGAAGTATGAACAAAAATTCAAATAATCCAATACAATATAAAAATGATTAATTGAGTTTCGAACCGAAAGAACAATTAAACGGACTCCACAATTATTATCGATGCACAAAGAAAAGATCGATCATGTTAACATATATCCCTCTATAAAGTGTAGTGATGGTAGCCTTCATAGGCAATCAATAATGTGCGTTTGTTTGTACATTCTGTTAAATTTATTCACATATTTAATTTAAGTAATAGTCAAAACAAACACATGAAACGTGAACCTAACCTCAAATTAATAATCTCGCCCGGCCACCCAAGACATGGATACAAATGTGTTTGTTTTGACTAAAACTTAAATATGAAATTGCAAGAATCCAGGGAAAAAACTTCACAGAACCAGAGTAAAGTTTGCTAGTTGCTACAGATACTTATTCGTTTGGTTTTGTTTTCAGAGTCCAATTTTATCTCCAAAACTTTCTTAACGGCGGCCTCCTCCCAAAACTGCATAAAGGAACAGTAAAAAAACCCCGAGCGATTAACAATAAATAAATAAATAAATTATACCGGAAGATCCGAATCCACCGCGTTTAGTCCACCGTCATCAGCCCATCACCAAGCAGCCACTGCCATTCCCGTTCTGTCTTCCACTCCCCTCCCAATTATTTAATCATTCCTTCACTCGTTTCCTTTATTTCACCTCTCCCTGCTTGGCTTGCTTTCATATTGCCCTTTTTAAACGACCACTTCATTTTCATGATCCTTCACTTCACTTACTAATCTAGTAACCTCACACTCACTCTCTGCTTGCCTCCTTCTACTGCTAAAACTAGTGCAGAAAAGGGGAAAGACCCCAGCTTTCAGGTTCGATTCATTTAATTCTGCAACTGGAATTCAATTCGATTTACTCCATTTGCAGCTGAGTAGTTAGTGTTCATTTCTCACTTGGGCTTTCTTCATTCATGCTGTTCTTCTTCTTGTTCGTGGTAGTTCCGCCATTTGCTTGCTCTTTCCCTGAGATTTCACGATTTCGAGAAGGTTCGAACTTGAAAAAGTTTCCAGCTTTTGGTTTCCAGAGTCGGATCTGAAACTTGTGCTGGGATCCACATTGGATTTCCTTTCAACTTGCCGATTTAGTTCGTTATCTCCTAGCTCTTTATTCATTTGCTTTTCTCTGAATTCGACTGTTAAATCTGATGAAGGGATCAAAATCCTGGTCAGTTTGGTTTTACTAAGAATCATTGTTATTTCTTTAACTGCTCTATTAGTTTACCTGCAGATTCTGTAGAATTTGCTGAACTTCTTTTTGTTAATAGCCATGAGCGATATAGTTCCAAGGTTGTTGTTTTCCGGAATTTGAGGTCGTCGGTCTAACTAATTTCATTAAAAAATGGGATCATTGAGAATTTGACTTCAGGGTCAACAAGGATTCAATGTAGATCACAATCCTAACTGCTTCCACTCTCCAGATTTAGAATCTATATTTTAAGTTCATTTCTCATAATCAATAATAGATATCTTGATTTAATCGGAATATATGGCTTTACATAACGGTTATTTACTTTACTATTATTACTCCTGTGTTACTGTGTAGCTTGATAGAGCTATCTATCTACCGTGTAATTTTGGAGCTACTAGCTAACACTGGCAACATCTTCTGCTTCAGGGGAGCTCCCAGAACTAATACAATGGGCATCAAGGATAATCCGAATGGGATCAGATCGCGAAGTCCGATATCGATATTCCTTGTCTTGTGTTTGTGCTGTTTCTTTTACCTCTTGGGGACATGGCAGAGAAGCGGGTTTGGGAAAGGAGACACCATAGCTAAGCAGATAGCTCAACAAGAAGACTGCGATGTTGTGAAAAATCTGAACTTTGAATCACATCACAGTATCGAGATAGTCGAGCAGTCCAAAGTCGTGGGCAAGGTGTACAAGCCGTGTGATGTCAAGTACACGGACTACACACCTTGTCAGGAGCAAGACCGGGCGATGAAGTTCCCAAGGGAGAATATGGCGTACAGGGAGAGGCACTGTCCTCCAGAGGAGGAGAAATTGCGCTGCCTAATACCTGCTCCCAAGGGATATACTGCACCATTTCCATGGCCGAAGAGTCGTGACTATGTGTACTATGCTAATGTTCCGTTTAAGAGTTTGACGGTTGAGAAAGCTAATCAGAACTGGGTGGAGTATCAGGGCAATGTTTTCAAGTTTCCAGGTGGTGGAACCATGTTTCCACAGGGCGCTGATGCATACATCAATGAGCTAGCTTCGGTTATACCGATAGCTGATGGCTCTGTCAGAACAGCGCTCGATACAGGATGCGGGGTAATGCAATGCCGAACTGGCCTAGTCATATTGGGATTGCTTGCTATAGGAATTTAAAGTCTTGGAAAGCCTTTTTATTCATCTGAATGTCTTGTGTGATTGCTTGTTCTTTAGGTTGCAAGCTGGGGAGCATATATGCTGAAGAGAAATGTGTTGCCTATGTCATTTGCACCCCGGGACAATCACGAAGCACAAGTACAGTTTGCTTTGGAGAGAGGCGTGCCAGCTGTGATTGGGGTTCTTGGGACAATGCATCTTCCATACCCATCGAGAGCCTTTGATATGGCACAGTGCTCAAGATGTTTGATTCCATGGACGGAAAATGGTAAGTGCTCTAGAATTCATTACTGGAATATTCCTTATTTAACTTTTAAATTAACATTTCCCAGGTCCTCCTAGACCTTCGAAAGGTAGATAAAGGGGATATAAAATTGTCTGAAGTCTATTTTTACATATGTTTCACTTTGGACTATGCAAATATTATATCTGAAAGCAAAGCAATGTCAACTTTGTGATTTCGGTTTCTCCATTCTACTGCTTTTATTCATCCGTTTCCATTCTCCATGTGTAATTGATAAAAGATCCCATTTTCTTTCATTAAGTTCGTATAAATTTCCATGATCAAAGTTTATATTTTGGTACCATGGCTTCCTTTGCAGAGGGAATCTATCTGATGGAAGTTGATCGAGTTCTTCGACCAGGAGGATATTGGGTCCTCTCTGGTCCTCCCATCAACTGGAAGACCTACTACAAGACGTGGAAACGAACTAAGCAGGATCTCCAGGCTGAGCAAAAGAGGATCGAAGATCTTGCTGAAAGCCTTTGCTGGGAGAAGAAGTATGAGAAGGGTGATGTTGCTATCTGGAGAAAACTGTCAAGTGATGAAAACTGCAAAAGCAAGAATTCTGTCAACTTGTGTAACTCAGCGGACGCTGATGATGTCTGGTGAGTTTGATGCACCGTTAGTACTTAGTAGTTAGTAGCATGCTTGTACTTTCTAGACTTCTTGGTTGGCTCCTGAACAAGATAGGCATAGATAAATTCCTTTACTTAGAGGAATGCATTGTGAATGAAACAACAATGAAGAAGTCAAAATACTCGGCTGATTGTTTTGCAATTTGGAAAGCATGCTGCTATTAGTTTAGTTATTTGGCTTAACATACTGGTAACTTCCAGGTACAAGGAAATGGAGAAGTGCAAAACCCCTTACCCTGAAACTGGAGGTGGCAGCGAGGTAAAGAAGTTCCCAGAGAGGCTTTTTGCTGTGCCTTCCCGCGTATCGGATGGACTCGTGGATGGAGTGTCAGCAGAGTCTTACCTAGACGACAATCAGCTCTGGAAGAAGCGTGTCAAGGGTTACAAGAGAATCAATAGGTTGATTGGCACAGGAAGGTATAGGAATGTGATGGATATGAATGCCGGGCTTGGTGGATTTGCGGCAGCTCTTGAATCGCCCAAGTCCTGGGTGATGAATGTCGTGCCTACGATCGAGAAGAACACTTTGGGTGTTGTTTATGAACGAGGGTTGATTGGAATATATCATGATTGGTATGTGTGATCATGAACCTTCCACGCCTACAATATTGTCTGTTCATGTTGTTATTTTATCAAGTTCATGTGCTCTCTCTTCTTAACAGGTGTGAGGGATTTTCTACTTACCCGAGGACGTACGATCTTATTCATGCGGACCACTTGTTTAGCTTGTACAAGAACAAGTAAGTGTGATTGCCTCTCCTTGTTTGCAGTTCTAAAACACAATTGTCATTCCCTTGGGCATAGTTACAAGGCACTTCATTTCCATTTTTCTATACCCGTTGAGAAACTATGAGTTCGTTTTGCCCAATTCGTAAACTGTATTGGCACCTGTCATAGTAGGATTGTGCTCGTAGGTTTAAACATACACCTGTTACGAATTCATCTTGTCAATGCAGCTACTTGAATTGAATTCATAACTTTTAGACAATACCTGATCAAATGTGTGGTTGTTTACAACAGGTGCAATCTTGAAGACATACTTCTGGAAATGGACAGAATTCTGCGCCCCGAAGGCACAGTATTGATAAGAGACGAGGTCGATGTGCTGAACGAGGTGATGAGCATGAGCAACGGCATGAGATGGGATACGAGAATGCTGGATCATGAAGATGGCCCTCTTGTCCCTGAGAAGATATTGGTTGGTGTGAAGCAGTATTGGGTTGGCAGCTCCAATAGCAACAGCACAGAAACTGATGAACAATAGACCAGACAGAAAGAAGAAAAAAAAAAACAAGAAGAAGAAAAGAAAGTAGCATAAACTGCTCAGTGAATCTGAAAAGACCGAAACTTTGATCGAAAGAACGAACGAACAATACCATGAAAATGGTAAGAGAGCTGCCAGAATTCAGGATGCCTAGCAGTGATTCAATTAGTATGGAAGCAAATGATGCAGGAGAAGGGGGAAACGCCGTTCGTCTGGGGTGCATGCATAGTTAATTTATTCGATTGTTTGATTTACATATGCAGTAGATGTGACTTGGGAACTATGTTGGATACAATTACACATCAGAATTGATTTGCCTGAATGTTGTCTTAGTGGTAGCTGCCCAAAGTGGGTTAGTATCAATCATGAAAGCTCTGAATTTTCTTCATATATGTCTGCTGTGAACTACTCAGTTTTTGTATTATGCATTACCAAGTAAACTCATCGTCGGTTGATGTACTCTCGCAACCAAAAACAGGAAGCTTGGAGTGGACGAATTGAAGAGGTTGAGCTGGCAATTTTTGGCTCCCACTTTGGTTCTCCATTAAAGCATCTGGATTGGATCAATTAACCCCACGGGTTCGCAGTTCCCACATCAGCTGCATGTGACTTTGCTTTAATGGTCCAGTCCAGTCAGTCGGTGGTCGATCACTAAATATATAAAGCGAAAGCTAGTTAGTTGCTAAGGAGCCTAAAGAAAGTAATAACCATCGATGAAGTATTGGATATCGGAATAGTAGGCGCTTTTAATAATGATTTTCCATGACTGAGGGAATATCAAATTAAATTCGATCATTATGGTTATATTAGGTGATAACCTTTAAAAGGGCAATGAGTCAAATCAAATCGTTATGTTTATATTAGTTTAATCATGACAGAAGACAATTCAAGAAAAGTTATGTGGTAATAGGTGGTAATTTTCGCAATGAAATGGTGAGGTATACATTAGAGACATTTTCATGTTCAAATGTGATGACTCGATCTCGATCATTGAAGACACACCTGTGAAATGTTAGTATCTCTAATGATCTAATATTCAGTGATGATGGTATTGTAAATATTATTCGTGTATACAATCAGAATATCTATAATAGCCTTTCACAACACACAATTACCACTTATATTTACTACTCAATACAATAAGACTTTACATAATAAAGAAGCAAAGGAGCTCTTATAAACAAAGATGGGTAGGGCAGACCTAAGTGGAAGGGTAACTTAAAAGATGTCACTTACACCAACAATTGTGACCAAAAAAATCTTGAAGTTTAATTAAATATTAATTAGATGAATGCTTTACATATTTTTCACCCCATCTTTCAATGAATTGGGGGAGGAAAATTTCTATAATGAGGTAGTAGAACACAACAAATAATGTCACAAGATTTTGGGGCCAACATATATATGGAAGAGAAAGCAAAAGTCACTTATAATTGTTAGATGGCAAGTATAATGGGTGGTGACACTTATTAGGTTATGAAGTCAAGTCATGAACATACCATTCCACCACCAAACAAAAAAGGAAAAAAAATATAGAGAGAGAGAGAGAGGCACACAAGAAATGAACAAAATTATAGCCAGAAGAGAAATGTTATTAAGCCCATTCATGAAAAAATCAAACCCTAATTACTACCATCATGGTCTTGCTTCAACTCCCTCAATGATACATCTTTGTCTCAAATCCGCTGCCCCAAACCAACCTTTTTCCTTCTGCTATCATATGTCCCTATCTTTGTTAGCCATCTAGGTGTCACCATTTTCATATTTCAGAACCATGATTTAAAATCTGTCTTTTAGGTGGCTTTGTTAGTTGTTGTTGTTACTTGTTAGAGTGTGCATTTTGATAATATAAAACCCTTAAAACAAAATCCTACTTCCAAAATAAATAAATAAAAGCTTTTTTTGTGATGTGTGTGATTATGAGGATGTTATTAGTCTCTTCTTCAGAGTTCGAGAGATCGTGGAGTAGGAGACTAGTAAGTGGATCGTTGATAGATCAATTTCTTGCCCTACTCACATTAACGGTGACTAACCAATTGATCTCATTCAGTTGTTGAAAAAGTTTTAATTATGGATTTTACATCTCTCTTATACGTCCCTTAAACGAAGGCACTTCACAAGCTTAAAGTATGATAGTTACACTAAACTTTGTGCTTTAATAAACTTTTAATACTGGGGGTCGTGAATATTTGAACACACGACTAGTTGGCCAACCAGTTCTGATACTATGTGACAAACCAGTTGATCTGAATAACTCAAATTCTTGTTAGAGGTTAAATTGTCGGTCTTATACTACTCTACAGAATGATTATTTTGGCATCTCATATGACTCACGACGACTTTCATTCATTGAATTCGATTACACTTACTTTTCTTTTGATGACCTTGTGATAAAACATTAAATTTTTTATATGATACCATTGAAAGGTTGAAAATAGCCATTGTTTAATGTAACCATTTGAAATTTGATATAACGTAGAAGTAGTTTACTGTTCACTAAGAATTCATTAACCTCGATTTGGCATTTCAGAAGGGCCATGGGGTTTCTTTGTGTGCTGTGAGATTTTTTATACTTTATTTCAAAAACCCTTCTACTTTACATTGAGTTTAAAACAGTGGTGCTTCAACATATAAATTAAATTTGTACCATAATATTAAAGGTAAAATTTCAATTTATACTATAAGTGAATTTGTATTTTTATGTTATGATATAAATTCACTTTGTACCATATAAAAGTACAAACCTATTTATCATTTTGAAAACTCATACAATTTTTTAATTCAAAAAATTTTATGAAAATTTTAGCAAATTTCAGACCAAATTAAGCATTAAAAGTAAAATCATCAACATCAAATAACCCAAAGGACAATTAATACACTCCCAATATAATCATTTTTTTTTTTTACAAAAGATAATCATATATTGACAGAACAAATATACCCATAAATTAAACCAACAAGTTAAGCGAACAATTGAAATTTCTGGTCGACGGAATTCCATATTCGTGAGCAGGGGCTTTGAAGATATTCCTTTTATGTAAGATTGAAGTTTTGTGTAGATTCAAATACTATTATGTGCTTACTTAATACAAGAGATGTGGTCAAACAGAAAACCTCTCGATCACAGAAAACTCTGATACAATGTTTTTAAATAATGGGAAGACTCTGATATAATGTTAAGAATAAGTTGATCTCAATAACTCAAGTTATTTGAAGATAAGTCAATTATAGAACATATATCATTGACTAACACTAAAACCTAATCCATTTCGGTTAGAGAGAAGCTTAGCTATGCATGATCACATATCTATACCAAAAAAATAAAACTACTGTTCATCACATTACTCTGTCTTACAAAAACTTAAAATTCTTCCATTCTAGAAGTTTATGTTGTACGTACGAATGTATGGTTGCCAGGCCAGACATTTACCTATCTTATAAGCAAAAAGAGAGTGGAGACTGGAGACAAATTGTGCCGTGATATAAATGAATGCAAAAACAAGCTAAGCTAGTAGTCATATATAGGATGAAGAACAAGAAGGGAAAATGTACGTAGATAGATGCATGGAAGGAAAGTCAACAACTAGATAGATAAACTCATCAATATATAGGTCAATCAACCTCGAAATTACAGGTTCCGTATGGAGCAGTAAGCACACAATAATATACAATATATAGGTTCGGGCTCATAAAGTCTATTTACAAATTGGATAATACTTTCAAGTTAATAATCTCAAAGAATAATGAAATATCGTATCCACCATAAATACAAGTGTATACCACCGAACAAATAAGCACGTCTACAGTACAGTTTTATTTTTAGACGGTAAATGATACATTAAGGTTTGAGACCTGGGTGATGGTACAAAATTCAAAGGGTGCAAAATTTACAAAACCAGTATCTTACAAATCATATCAGGACTGATATGATGGAATCATAGTGGTGTTATTCGCATGGGGTAAGGTACAAGATTTTGAAGGTTTTGCATTTCTGCGCCTTAATATCCTATTATTTCCCATATTAGTCTACAACTATACTTAAAAATTCACTGAATTTTAAATTTTAATCTTGGGCATTTGTCTAATACAAGGATACAACCTAAGACTTATAACTATTTCTTGCATTTGTACTCATGATTTTGTCTTTATGATGGTAATGTAATTACATATATTTTGAAGTTCTATAAAGTAAATTTTAGAAGTAATTAAAATACAAACAAATTATAACCGATTTTTGCATATATTTAAACATTTTATTTATCTTTATTATACTATTAGATATCAAGATAATTTTAAAACAAATAAAATGACTAAAACAAAATGAATAGTATGTATTGAATATTAAGCGCACATCATAGACTTTTTTTACAATAAACCGTAATACACTTATAAAAGGAGAATTGAAATTTTACAAAAAAAAGGAGAATTGGAATTCTTTGGGAAAATATTTATAAAAAGATATTTTCAAAAGAAGCTAGAACGGAGTTGTGGTATTTTAAGTTTTCTTTTGATGCTAGTATAGTTTGTTATTTATTTCTAACCACGACCCACTCTTAATTCTAATCGTGAACTTGTAATGTAATCAGTACAACTCTATGCTAGTTTTACTTTTTTTTTTCTTGACGAAACCGTCACTAAGAAATGCAAAATGTATTCAACACATTTTAGAGATATAAGCTCAAACGAACAATAAATGAGTGAGATTGATAGAAACCTACGTTTCTATTATTGTTATTATTAATATATATAAATTTGAAGCTGCTTTACTGTTGTCTAAGAACTCTATTTGATTGGCCTATTAATAATAATGATAATTTGATCCCTATGAGAAAGGAGTGATGAGAAGGCCTGTTTAATTATTTTGGGAAGTAGGAGAGAAATATTGGACTAGAGAAAAGAATTGTAGATGCAGAGGTGACAATTTATAATACAATCTATAAATTCAATTTAATTCATCCACTTAAATATTTAATTAATTCAATCCATTTGATTACAAGCAATTGGATTGATGGATCGTTAACACGTCACAGTTAAGTACTTGTATTTTTATATATTTTACAATTTGGTATCTGAATTTTTTTTTTACAAAAGAATAATATTGGAAAATTATGTTTTTGTACCTAAATTTTTTTATTATGCCATTTTAGTACCTAAAATTTTCAAAATTTACATATTAGTCCATGGCGTGGATGTCATTTTGATTCATGGATTAATCCACCAATCCATATGGTCCAATCCATGAACCCACCAATCAATTTCATCCAATCCATTTGATCCATGAATCTACTAATCCAATCCACCAATCTTTATATTGATACAATATATATGCCACTTCTAGGTGTAAAGCAACATGCAAGACACTCCGTACTCACCACTCCAACCAACACTCAATTATGTTAGTAAATTGGGCTAAATTTTTTGATATGAACTTGCTAATTTTGTAAAGGTGTGCAGTGGTGCAGTCCGGACGGACTAAACTAATGATAACTGCGATTCAATAGTGAAAGATATCTTAGGACCAAGGATCGGATCAACAATGCATTCCATCTTATTTGGTCTGGTTTGGTCTGATTCAAAATTCAATTCAGTTCATTTTTCCCAGTATTAATTAAATTCATAGGACCAAGAACCGAATCACGTTATATTCGATTCAGTGTGATCTGATCTAAGAATTGGTTTGGTCTCGTGCGCTCCGTTAGGGACCAACCCGTTGCTACTCCTACTTATTAAGGTTGGGTTAATTAATTAAGTAAACCAATATATTATGTGTGTATGGGAGTCCACTACTACCATCTTTATATAGTCTAATTATAAATAATAATTGATGGTCAAGAGAAAATTCAATTTTGATAATGTAAATACAAAATTTAACACGTAATGCAAATTCCACTACATCTCTCACCATCCGCAGCAGAGTAGTGCGGATATGCTTTTCTAGTATTTATTAGTAGTATATTTATTTTTAGAGTTAGTAGTTGTTGAATAGTAGAGTATGTCATTCTATTGTTCAAGATGACATTTCAACGCAATTGGAAACCGAGAAAGCGTGAGCAACAACAAAATCATTATCGAGTGGAAGAGAAGTGCAATGCTGAAATTGGCTACAATTTTGAGGACAATGTTGGTCTCAAAGAGGAGGATTCGATAGAAATTGACGTTTCTATTATTGTTATTATATTTATTAGTAGAATGTTTAATATTAAAGTTAATAGTAGTCTAATAGTATTGGATTCATTATTTGGTTTTTCAGTTATTTTCCTATTCACAACTTAAATGATTAGATTGTCTAATTTGTAAAAATGAAAATATCTAGATTGTCTAATATACAACATTGTCAAAATGAAAATAGAAGTATTAGATGATGAATTTCATTAGGAATTCTGTACAAGTTATGGATAAGCGTTTATTGCAAAATCCATACAAGGTCTATTTTTCAAAATATCTATAACTATTATATCTCAGTATTATAAAATAATGGTACCATATATTTTATTTAGTGTCCAAAAGTCATTTCTTCAATGCGATATGTATACAAGTAAAATTCTCCCTCCTAATCATTTCAAAAGTCAATCTAGTGTCCAATATCACACATGTGATCAAGTTAGATGACCAAATTGATAATGCAATCAAGAGATGAGCTGGAGCATTTTCTTCTTTTTGAAAGTACTAGGCCCATTTTCACACTTCTGGTTTTGCATATTCTGTGGTCTTACTCTGTTACTCACCATTCACCAACACTTTAAACAGAGGAGAGAGAGAGAGAGAGAGAGAGAGAGAGAGAGAGAGAGAGAGAGAGAGCTCAGTCCCTCTCAGTGCTTCCCTCTTCCTTCCTCCTCTCTATATTACAAAGGCAAAAGCCCATTCCCTTAAACCTCTTTCTCCCCCGCCATTGCAAAAGTCTCCACCTTTCTTCCTCCCCTTTTCTAGTGGGTCTATACAGAGCCAAACCCAGAAGCTAGAATTGAATCAGCAAACCGAATAAGGAAGGGAAAAAGGAAGAAGAAGCTCTGTATATCTGGAAGAACTAGTAAGTATTATTTCTTTATTATTCGTTCTGCTATGCATTCTTTATTTATCTATTTAGTTTACTTATGCTTCTTTGTGCAAAGTGAACTTATGCATGCATGATGCTCTTGCTTCCATTGCTCTAGTTATCACTTTTTCCCTTGTTTATTTAAATGATTAGGGGAGAAAGTTTTTGGCTTTTCCTTGTTCCTTAAGCAGAATTTAATACTGAGCTGCAAGTCTTCCCCTTTCTTTGTCTTTCTCCTGTTGGGAGATCTTACTACTACCCTTCTCCTGTTGTCAGCTAGTTGTTTGTGGAAATGGCGAGCTGAGATGATATCTTTACAAAGAGCTAAAAAGATATCCTTATATCCTTCATCAGCTGATGCTTAGCCAAACATGGTGCTCCAACATTCCCCACCTTCTTTGAATGGTTTCCTTGAAATTGGGTTTTGTTCAAACCATGCAGAATCAATAATTCAATCCATAATTCTGTTCCCTCTTAAGATGTCGGCAAACGAACAAAAAAAATTACTTGCATCACTGCTATTTTGTTGCCCTCTGCAAAATTTCTGATGAAATCTGGATTTTCCTGTTCTGTTTGCATCTATTATTTGATTAGCAATGATTGATTCCCTGCAACGATGGTGTATTTTTTACCTTTCCCTTTAGCATCATTGCAGTTGGTTGTTCAACTTGGCCTAAAGTTAAAATGAATGCACAGATCAAACTTGTGATGATTTCAGATGTGGAAGAAATTTTCTTGTTTTTTAATTTGTGCAGAGGGTTAGGTTTGGATGTTGATAATCCTTGAGACCAAGAACTTGTGGGCAGCTTGAAGAAACAATGCCAAATCAGCTATGGTTTGCACTGCTAATGATTTGTCAGAATGGAAGGACTTCCCAAAGGGTCTTAAGGTCCTTCTTCTGGATGAAGACATCAGTTCAGCTGATGAGATAAGATCAAAGCTGGAGGCAATGGACTATGCTGGTTAGAACAGATCCCTTTGATTGCCATTCTTTGGGTCATATTCCCATTTTGCAGATCAGATTCCAATATTCCCTCAAGTAGTAACTTTTTGTGTTGAATTTACCTTAGCTAGCTTTGGTTCCCCTATTTGGTCCCTAGTTCGCTTTTTCTTTCCAAAAAGGGAATCCTCAAGTGCTCCATTAGATGGACTTCATTGATTCCTTCCTACTATTGTGATCTCCTAATTTTAGCTTCTTAAATGTTTGGTAATGATTGCTTCTATTAATTCCATGCAATTCATTTATCCCTTAGGTAGTAATATTTTGATCTTTTTCCTCAGAAGAAACTTTTTTCCCCTTGGCCTAGTTTGACATTCCCCTCTTTAATTTTTCCTACTCTTATTGGCTTTTTCACCCCCACTCTTTTTGTTATTCTCTTCTTTTCTTCTTTAAGTGGCTAACTTTTCATCTTACTGTTTATTCAGTTGCTACTTTCTGCAATGAAGAGGAAGCCTTATCAGCATTCTCAGACAAACCTGAAAGTTTCCATGTTGCTATTGTTGAGGTAAATTACTTAGTTTATGATCATTTCAGTGCTCTGAGAACATTGATAGTGATTCAAATCCTTTGACTTGAATTAGTTTGACTACATAGTGACCAGAATGGTCTCTCTTAGTTGCTTTGCTCGTCCCAAGTTACACCATAATTTAATGAGGAAACTATTTCTCTCTTTTGTTGCAATGGCTTAATTTCTGATACTTATAGTTGGAGTCACGAACACAGGTGACTGTAGGCAATGACAATGGGAGCTTTAAGTTCCTCGAAAGTGCTAAGGATTTGCCTACCGTTAGTAAGTTTCACAATCTCCTTATGACTTCCTTTCTTCAGTAAGAAAATAATATTTTCATTTTCTTACACATGCATGTTCACCATTTCAGTGACTTCCAATGTCAATTGCCTTAGCACAATGATGAAATGCATCGCGGTAAGATTCAACCCCCCGTTGTTTTTTTTTATATATATATTTGTATATGAATGTATGATGTAATCTTTGTCATATTGTATAGAAACTGATCGATTTAGTTCCCTTGCTGTTTAAGTTACTGAAACAAATACTTTTTCATTGTACCATATGCTAATTTCACAACGTATTCTCAGCTAGGCGCAATGGAGTTCCTCCATAAACCACTCTCTGAAGACAAATTACGGAACATATGGCAGCACGTTGTTCATAAGGTACATTCTGGTTTGATCTAATTATGGACATGGTGTTGGTCTCTGGTGGAATACATCTCTCTGAGGTCTTTACTTCTTTCTGATTAGTCATGAGCAGGCCTTTAATGCAGGGACAGCAACTGTCCAATCTGAATCGTTGAAATCCATGAAAGATTCAGTGGTTTCCAAGTTGCAGCTCAAAGTAGAGATTGAGGAGGCAGGTAATGGGAAATCGGATAATGATGCAGAAACCGAGAATAATGTGTCCCACACGGATGACAACAATGGTGGTAGTGATGTGTACCCGGCTCCTTCGACTCCTCAGCTGAAACAAGGTGGTCGGTTGTTGGATGATGGAGATTGTCAAGATCATACTAATTGCTCAACAGAGAAAGAAACTGCTGAGCAAGAGGGGGAGTCTAAATTCGTCGAAACTTCAGTTGCTATGGCTGAAATGAGTATGCAGGTGGATACTGAGAACATAACTGATGGAAAAATCAAAGAAGAGGATGACTTGTCCAGTGGTACCAGGGCCGACAATCCATCGAGTCCTCTTGCCCAAAATAGCATGGATAACGGAAAGTCTGATGGTGTTCAAGACGGATCCAAAGCATCTAGTCTTAAAACTTCAGGAATAACTAAAGCTAGTCGAAAGAAAATGAAGGTAAACTCGCATAGTTTAATAATTAACTACCTATGTGAGTGCATGAATTTAGTGCAGAATCGTTGAATTGATGATTTTCAATAATGGCCTTATGATGAAAAACCTGTATTACTGATAAACATGAATGTAGGTTACTATATGCTCTATGGATGTGGTACATTTCTTTGATTTATGCTAGTTGATATTTATTGTTTCCTCCTAGCCCATTAACCACTTAGTCAATAGATAATTGTCACCATTTTTGTCTATTATCATTAGAGAACATTTCGCTCACGGTGCACATTCATCATTTTGAACTTTTTTTTAGAATGGAGATTTCAAATGGATCTCAGCTCAGGTGTCCTATAATAACTAACTATCAGGGCACAGGCGGTTCATCTCACTTTGTTGCTTATTGTATACATGTTTTTGGTGGGTTTCAGGTAGATTGGACATCTGAGCTGCACAAAAAGTTTGTGCAGGCTGTGGAGCAACTAGGTGTAGATCAATCCATTCCATCAAAAATACTGGAGCTGATGAAAGTTGAGGGCTTGACTAGGCATAACGTAGCAAGCCATCTTCAGGTCAGTTGTTTGTCCTTTTTGTACAAGTACTGTGTTTCAACAAATCTCTAGAACTATGTTACTAATGGGGATCTATCCGCGTAGTAAGGAGTAAGGACGTCCTTGTTGGCTCATATTATGCTGCTAGAAGCCATGTTTCACCTCCTTCAATTTGACCCTATTGATTAATCTCGTCCCAAATGGCAGGGTACCTTGTGGGATTTAAGATACTTATCGGCTTAAGTGGCATTTGAGTCATACAGAACACTTGTTTACTAAGCATGGGTTGACTGATTCCAGCTGTAACTGGTTTCGATGAAATTATGAATGGAGGGACTAAAACTGGGTAATCTGCATTGCACATAATACATGGACTTGTTTGTTAAAATCATAGTACATAAACATGTTTGTTAGAACATAGTTCAACCAGCTGCAAAACCAAGATTTTCTGAACTATCCGCAACGTGCTTACTAAGCATGGGTCAGATCTAACTGCAGGTTTTCTTTTTCTCTTGAGCAGAAATATCGAATGCATAAGCGGCACATTCTACCGAAATCAGATGACCGGAGGTGGCCGCAACAACAGAAAGATCAAACGAAACGGAGCTATTATCCCACCCATAAACCCATCATGGCTTACCCTCCTCCTTATCATCAACACTCTAATCATCCTTTCCCACCAAACTCCTCTGTCTACCCCATGTGGGGAGCAACAGCAGTAGCTGGTATTCACCCACCTGAAGTCCAGATGTGGGGACATCCTGGCTATTTACCATGGGCAGCATCACCTGCAGAAAGTTGGCATTGGAAACCTTACCCATCGGTAAAAAAAGAAAACTTCAGTTGCTCCTTTTTCTTGAGGCTGGTCCCCATCTTTACAGTGATCTCATGTACCATTTATAGTTAAGTTCAGAACTGCAGCAAGTTTTGATTTCAGGTAGTACGTTGTTTTCAGGTGCATGCAGAGGCATGGGGTTGCCCTGTGATGCCACAGCCACCACCACAGTTGCCTTATAATTGCTTGCCTCAAGTAAGTACATTGTGGAAGTTTTTGCTGCACAAGCAAAATGCATGTATGCGTAGTATATTTTACTTTGTTGCAGTACCGAGCTCTGACGATTGGATTATGCAGAATCAACCAAGTTTTTATGGTGCCACCAGCATTGCTGATAACCATCACTGCAGTATGCTGCAGAATACTTTTGACCTACAGCCGGTAAATACTCTTTTCGAGTACTTTAGTCTCTCTTGTTCCTTTAAATCAAGTGGATCATACAATGTTCCATGCATACTCAGTCTCTTCCGAAGTATTTGTTGAGTCATCTACAATATGAACAAAAACCTTCCATTTTCATGCTAGGAAGTAGAACCCTTACCATTTTCCCTTACCCTCGTGGATGTTTTTGTTCAACAGGGATTTTCCATCTCAATTTTAACCAAAATAGAGAGAATATTTCATCACTAGTGTTAAAACTGTACTTCTGCAAATTAATAGAACACCACAATGAGTCACACACACGCATAACCTCTGGCCCAATGACAACGAAAGCTCTCTTATCTTTGAATAATTCCACATGGAGTTTACTAAGCAGGAAAAGGCCACGGATACTCTTTGTATTGCAAAACAGGAACATGATATAAACATCTAAAGTTTTGTTCTTTTCTGTCATGTGTTGTGTTTGCAGGCAGAAGAAGTGATAGACAAAGTAGTGAAAGAAGCCATCAGCAAGCCATGGCTGCCACTGCCCTTGGGGCTAAACCCTCCTTCCACTGATAGTGTTCTAGCTGAACTCTGTAGACAAGGCATCTCAGCAATACCTCCACACAACATCAATAATGGCTCCAATTATTCATCTTGACCACAAGGGTCCCGCATTGCTAATGATGATTCAATGACCATTAGCATATCTGAGGCAGAATTTTTCCCCCCAACAAATAATTCTTAGCAAAAGCTCCATTATTTCTTGACACAAAAAAGAAAGGACCCTTGACCTTGTTTGGTTAGGTGAGTGAATTGGTTGGTGGCATCTGCATGATAGTGATGATGATGATGATGATGATGAAGGAGAGTTCATCTTATCACTGTTTGTTTTGATAAGATGGTCACATGAAGAAACAATTCTGAAAAAGAGGAGATAAGAAACAGAAGAAAAGCTTTTCTGTCTCGTTGTTCCTATCCCCAAATTTCCTTGAGTGGGGAGGAGGAAGAAAATAATAGAGCCCGAGAGAAGTGAAGGGGTCAACAAGTTTGCAGGAAGGCCACGTTAATGCATTGTGAACCACTCTTTGAGATGAGTGGCTGTAAATAGAAGAATTGGAAGGCGGGAAACATCAAGTTGTAGTTTGGTTGTTTTTTTTCGTCCTGAATCTTGATGATGATCTCGTGCTCTTCTTGATGTTTGTCTTGACTCTTCTCTTGTTGTGTTCATCCCATTCCGCTTTCTTTTGCTTATTTTCAAAAGTCTAATCAAGATTAGATCAGATACTTATCTCTTTAACATAGCGTTTACTCTATTTATATTAAAAAAAAAGTGTTAACTATAACACTAACCAGCTAACCGCAACTCGAAGGGCAAAAAATAGGGGTTTTAACCTAATGCTAAAATGGTCTTTTATGGTGAGTAGACTTGATGAACTGACGTGGGTAATATGATACTGATTTTGGTACAAGGTCACGTCCATATTCCCCCAATTTATGGGTTTGATTAGGAATGACAGTGAGCTAGTCGGCTCGTTGAATAATTGAACAAAACTATCATGACAAATGTGGATATTGGGCAGAATCTAAATTGAACTTATATGTACTTCTAATGGTTTTTGGTTTGAATTGGGTTCAATTCGCGTCATCTCATTTGGACCTGAAAATAAACGGGTCTATTTATGTACAAGAGATTGTAAACACAAAAAGACAATATCGATCACCTCCTTAATTCTCTTCAACTCAAGTACACTTTCAATGTAGGTATTTTTACCTTTTTGTTTGTTTCATAATAAAACATAAATGAAAAAAAAAATTGCATTGAAATCGAATATTTATTTTCTTTTGGATACCTGATACTATGAATCTAATTTAGACCCAAACTAAAAAAAGGTATGAATATGCCCCAAAATCAAAATTACTCAAATATGATTTGATCCATATTAATATGATTTATCATGTTCAACTTGTTGAAATCTTGGAGATGGATATCCTCTTTACCGGTCATTTATCAACTAAAAGTAACAAGTTAGAGGGCGCCGTTCACCACATAGCCTGTTAATTCATACTAATCCTAATCCTAATCCTCCTAACACTTATTTATAGAGATTCTCCATCTAAACATGCTCCATTCAAAATTTCTAACTCTATGAGAAAACTTAGGAGGATATTTTTGTCATCCGTGTTTGTTATAAAAAAAATGTAACAAACTCTACGCATAAAACCCTATAAAAGTGACTATTTAATTAAATAATTGATAAATAAGGGACAATTATCACTCTTCACGTCTCAACTAATTATTATATTTTCTATTTGATAATTCATTTAAAAATAAAACTATTATCAATAAACAACATTTTTAATATTTAGGACTCAACTTTAGTTGCGGATTCAACCAAATTATATATGAGTTTGTTGTTTCCTTTTTACTTAACATGAGTTTGTTGTCTCCAAGGTTGGATTTTTTGAGTTAATACTGAAACGTTATTAAAAATAATGGAAGAATAATATATCCTCTCTCTTATATCTTATTAAATGAAGAAATGGAGTATTTACAAAAAAAAAATGTAATTTAAGTTTCACATTAGGTTTAGTGGTTAAAAAATGTAGTCAAAATAGCATTTTAAATCTTAAAACCTTACGCTTTTAGGTTATCAAAACTAATCTGTACAGAATCACGCTTTTTGACTACATTTTGTGCAATAAATACGCTTCTGATTTAAAGATGTCCGGACTAAGAACCTCCATGTAATAATGGGATGATGATGATGTGTATTAGGTATGGGGTTTGAGGCCCCAAATATTTTGAGGTCCTGTTGTACGTGGGCACCGGGCCGTGTCGCCCACGGGCTAGTCACGACACGGCATGGTTAGAGCACGACACGAGCATGGGCACGAAATAAATAGGCCAGCCCGGCACAAACACGAATAATTTATGGGTCGTACCGGGACTAAATATCATGGGCACGGGCACAAGCACGGGCACGAGCACGAGCACGACACGGTATATAAGTGGGTCGTGGGCACCGGGCCCGAGGGCGACACGGCCCGGTGCCCACGTACAACAGGGCACGGGCACGAAATAAATAGGCCAGCCCGGCACAAGCACGAATAATTTATGGGTCGTACCGGGACTAAACATCATGGGCACGAGCGCGAGCACGGGCACGACACGGTATATAAGTGGGTCGTGCCGGGCCTAATATTTTCGAGACTCTATTGAGTACAAGAACGGACATGACACGAAAATAATATTTATTTGATAGAAAATAAATATAAAAAGAATTATAGGTTCAAATATTATAAAACACAAGTAGAAAAATAATTATTTGTTGTTGTTAGAAGTGTCATAAAGATATATACGTAATTACTAACATAAGTAAAAATGGACAAAGAATTAAACAAAGCCAAATCACACTCGCTATACTTCTAATTTTCTTTTCTCCCTTATTTGTTACTTTTCTCAAACATTATCGGTTAATACTATCTTCCCTCGTCCAATTTTCACCTTCTTTTTCATTCTTTCTTTTGTTTTCGTCATTTTCATTAAACAAGAATACGAGCATGGCACGAGCACGAATAGACACGACACGATTCGAACCGCCCACGGGCCTGGGCCGGGCCTAGCAAAATTAACAAATGGGCTTGCATGGCACGACACAAAAACTGACCGGCCGTACCAAGCACGACTCAAAATAAATGGGCCCGAAAAGTGCCCAAGCCGTGCTGGCCCAAGCACGGCCCAGCACCCATGTACAGGCCCTGTGCTGTGGGTCAGACCAGAGCCGGGGTCGGGCCTGATTATGCTAGTTTAGCAAGTGGTTTAGGCCGACGGTGATAAAATCATATTATATCAGTTCATGTCGACTTTAGTAAACATGTAGCCGTAGGAAAGTAGGATATTATTGACACTAAATAACTTTAGACATATATATTATATAAAAATATATAACATATTTGAAGACGGTCTTCTCTAAAATATACATCCAAATTTAAATAAAAAACAATGTTCTAAAGAAGAAAAATTCTCATATTCAAATATAACATTCAAATGATTACACTTAATAAAAACAATCTAAACTTTGCTACTTAAATCCAACATGTAACATCAACACTTAACTTTCACTTCAGATAACAAATAAGAAAAATTATTAATTAAATTCACCAAACTAATGTTATTTTGTTTAATGTTCAGAAATCAATCATACTAATCATAGATCATTCTAATCGGTTTGGTAATATGTACTGCTTGAACTCTCTCGGTTCTACAAATGTGGCCATCTTTTCTTGATATATATATATACTCCCCCCTTTCCCCTTTGATTGGTGAAAAAGAAATGTGAGCAGTTTATCTTTATTCTCCAACACACGGGGACGACTTGTGGAAGTGTACAAGATATACTTAGCCTATTTGTTAAAACAGTGGCGGAATGAGAGCATATTTGAACTGTGATAATTGAGAGAGATGGATTATGATCTTACCAACTATCTTATTTTTTAAATTCGTTAAAAATTTCACTTGTAATTTTGCTTATATATAAAATTTTAGAGGGGTAATAGCCTTTCTAACTTCAGCCTAACTCTTGTAGTGTATTAAAATTTCAAATATTTTCTTGTTACAAATATTGAGATAGTTATTTATAAGATCCAATATCAAAGAATTTTTACCAAAGAATTTTTAGGGATGCATCTGTTGGGTTGGGTTTGGATCTGGAGAAATCTATCATAACCACTACTCATTGTCATCCCTAATTGAATGATCTAATTTTTTCGGTTTAAAATCAAACTGTGTTTACTTTTAGCCTCCCCCGTCTTCACAACCGGAGAGCAAACCCAATATTGTTGTAAAATATTCCATTTACAATCGCATCGTTCATTATGATTTAGCTACCGATTTAACTGGAAACTTAATTGCAGCTCTAATCGTCTCATCTCAAAAGTAAATTAATAATTTTTTAGTTAAATTTTGTAATTTTTCTAATTGGTTTCTGGGCCCAACACTCAAGTCATGGCCCAAGACCATCCCTAATTAAGATGAATGGGGAAAAAGAGCCCACAACTTGGAAGCGGGCCGCCTTTGTACTCACCAATGTACAAACCATGCCTCCATAGGTCGTTACAAATTGCAGACCAATTATTCATCAACAAATGCATTGCTCTTTGGATTTGGGTCTCAAATCCAGTGAAAGAATTTGTCATAATTCGTGTTTGTTTTTAGGAAGAAAAAGTGCGCAAAATCCAGGGGAAGAGATCCATGCATAATTTTGTCGTGTATAACCATATATAATTCAATTGCAATCCATCACATCAGCGTTTATTCTTTCTTCAGGAAAACCTTCAATGTTTCCCTCCTTAATCTTTAAAGGATGATTTATCACTCGTTTTAAGTTGGAATTTAATTTTTTGCACATTTAGATCAGATTAATTGTGCTCTTCAAAATGATATCCACTTTGATATATTTTTGGGACAAAAAAATTGAGTCATTCTTTACTAGTCATACCATATGGTATTTACTAGTATTAAATAAGAGCATACCATATGGTCAGTGGTGGAGCTGGGCTGGGGCAAAAAATTAACGGGTAGGGTGGTTACGACTTACGAGGCACGCATCACCCTTGTCCTCTTAATTAGTGAGGCAAAAAATAAGAAGCTTAGCTACTTACACGATATTTATATGTATCAATTGAAACCCAAAAGCAATTGTCCACTGAGATTGCAACTTAGCTACAACGATATGTATATGTATCAATTGAATCCAAAAAGCACTTTATGCAAGGATTGTAAAACTGTGCGTACCAAAAAAGATAGTAGTCGATATTTTGTCGTTAAAACATATGAGATTTTAGTCCTTATACAAGTACCACTTAACTTAGAGCAACTATTTGTCCTTAAAATGAAATTTGTGGTCATTAGTTGAATTCATGTGACCTACCATTCGATGACAGGTTCAAAAATTTACAAGGAATTAATGAGTTAGCAAAAAAAAAAAATAGTGGAAGCAAAGAAGCAATATTCTATTTATATGTTTATTTGCTTCTTATGTTGACACTCATTCTTTTAGTTGGAACAACAGATGTGGAGCGATCATTTTCATCCTTGAAATATCTAGAGAATGATCTTCGAAATCAGATGAACGATGAGTGGTTAAATGACGCAATGGTGACATATATTGAACCAGATCTGTGTGCTAGTTTGGAAAAAATTTGTGTCCTAGAATACTTTCAAAAACCCAAATATGAAATATGGTCGAGGTTCGTTGTAATTAACTTGTAACCACTGTAAGTCAAACTATTATTTTGTAATTGTATGAAGTTTGAGTGTTAAGTTGTTGACTTCTTATCTTGTTTAGTGTTGACTTTTCTATTATGTAGTTGATTTTTTATGATATGAAAAAGACACCCCCTTGACCAATTTTCTAGCTCCGCCACTGCATATGGTATGAAAGATACCAGTCCACACCAGGGTCGTATAGTATGGTATGGAGTTGGTAACAAGAGTTATGAAATTTTTTCACCCATAAATTTTTGGATCCAATAGATCATGATTAAATCGTTCTTTTTGTGCAAAAACTCCGTAAAGGACTTAAAACGTATGGAGTTGGTAAATGAGAGGTATGGAAAAAATTATAAAAAATATTGAAAATAGATCTCATTTTGTAGAGCACAACGAACTCGTTCCATCTGTCCAAAAAAAAATTAAAATCCGAGTTAGAATGAAGAAGATATGATCCGATTAAGAAAAATAGGGGAAATAAAATGTGTTTAATTCACAACCCTTAAATCTGCAGCCACTTAAAAGGAAGGGTCCAAATTTGGTTACTCATATTAAGCACCTTAAGTTGAGCCAAATCCAAGGGAGCAGATCCGGTCAATAACCTTGTGGTTCTATAACCCCATGCATAATCCAATAAGAATCCGTCATATCAGCGTCTTCTTCTCTCTCCTCGAAAAATCTTTAATTTCTTTCTCTTAATCTTTAACGGACGATTTCTCACTCGTTTTAACTCAAAATTTAATTTTTTTGCACAGTTAGATCAGATTAATTGTGCTCTTCAAAATTATATCCACTTTGATAGTTTTTATACTATATATGGTATTGACTGACTGTTATTAAATAACATCATACCATATGGTATGAAAAATATTACCCATACCAGGGTGGTATAGTATGGTATGAAGTTGGTAACGAGAGGTATGAAATTTTTTCACCCAGAAAAATTTGAAATCCAATAGATCATGATTAAATCGTTCCTTCTGTGCAAAAATTTCGAAAAAGACTAAAAAACAAAGGAGATGCCATATGGTATAGAGTTGGTAACGAGAGGTAAGGAATTTTTTTTCTCAATAAACTCGTTCCATCTGTGAAAAAAAATTGAAATCCGAGTTAGAATGAAGAAGATATGATCCAATCAAGAAAACTAGGAAAACTAAATTTCTTTAATTCTCCACTCTTAGATCTGCAGCCACTTAAAAGAAGGGTCCAGATATTGGTCACTCGTAGTTATGCACCCTATCTTGAGCCCGAATCCAACACTTCCCCAATATGGATTTCCTTACCAATAAATTTGGAAAACCCACCTATTGAAATGAGATTTATCTCACAAATTCATTATGAGAATAAACGCACTTATCACTATAAAATATTTTATCTATTAAAATAAAATAAAAATTTATAGATAGCAAAGTAAACTCACATTTAAACTAATAATGCTCATTCAACAAAATCCATAAGCAAACCCAACAAGCCTATATCAAAATTTCCAAAATCACAAAGCAAACAACAATGGTTCCAAATTCCGAACAACTAAACTCATTACCAATCTATCGTTTTCCAAATCCAAAGATTTGGCCAAGACCTTTATTTTTCAAATCCAACAAACAAGCACTCCCTCAATCAGGAGACAAAAAAGAGCTGGAACGACAAAATAAAAACACTAGGGACCAATTAAGGAAGGTCAACGAACTCAAGGTACGAAGGGTCGGTAAACCACATCTTGGCTAAAAAGACGGAAGAAGCACACTTCCTATGGACTTGTTCAATCCCCCAGACTACCGAGACGGCGTCGCTCGGGTCCAACGGCGCCGTTTTCCAGCTGTCCCACTTCGCCAAGACACAGCGAGTGAGATAGTGCAGTGGCTGCTCATGCTTTTGCCTTAAACTTGCTCCTACTCCTTCCCAAGTCAGGATTGGAGCGCCAGTTGTCTGCTCTGGTTTTCCACCGTTGGATGGAATTGGAATCTCCTTCATTTTGTCTTGGTATTCCTTTGCTCTTTTCAGCATTTCTGCGTCAGAGGTAAAAAGGAATTCAATATGCACGGTGTTAGGTCAACCAAGAGTTAAAAAAAAAAAAGACTATAAACAACATTGATCATATGTATCTACAGCCTGACAACATGTCTCTACTGTTTGCATATGTAACTTCAGCCATGTATATTGTACTTTATCATCGGAGCAAGTTCATTACTTACGGATAAACTTCATTTTAATGAATAAAACTAAGCACTAATGCATAAAAAAAGGTTTATAGAAGATAAATTTTTTTTTTATCAGTCTCTTGATTTAGGCTTCCAATTGATAGGAGGGAAGATTGTCCTTCTTCGTTGGCCTTGTGTTGTATGAGTGATCGAAGCACCGAGTATGAGATTTTATATGGTGATTGGAGGATTGAGAAATTGACTAGAATCGGGACTTTTTGGATGTGAGGTTCGCAAAAGGGCAATGTAATATGATAATTTAGATTTCATAAGTTAATCAATATGATACACGCTTAATATTAAGATCATTGCGGAGATAGCTCAGTTGGGAGAGCGTCGGACTGAAGATCTGAAGGTCGTGTGTTCGATCCATGCTCACCGCACCATTCATTATTTTTGAACTTTTTTTTAATATGTGGATTATCTGGCTTTTTCTAAATACCTTATCATGATTGATTTGTAAATTGTAGCGTTTTAAGTTCTAACTCGAAATCGGAGGCTTCTTGTTCACTAAAACTCTACTCAAATTCAAATCCCCCATAGAAAGAAAATGAAGGTGAAATTGATTCCTCTAGAATTCATAGTGAAAATAGTTAAAAGGTGAAAGAATTTAAACGGATTGACGATATAGGACATTTTCACCTAGTTTCACCCTTTTGGTAAAGAGATGTTTACTCGATAATGCGTCTATTTTTTCCTCCCTCCTTAAATTATCGCAATAGAATGTCAAAAGAAAAGGGTAATGACTATTTATTAGCCAAACCTTTTTCAGATTCTTTTTTATTAGCCAAACTTATTGAATTACTAATAATTAGTCAAATATTAACTTCCAGTTACCAATTTTGTTAGTAATATTGACTTGACAACATGAAACTGACTTAGAAGAGATACATAGAGGTTAACATTCCAAAATTTAGTATTTTAATTAAGAAAAGATTTACAAAATTATTAACGATAGCGTAAAAATGACTAATATTTTAATCTATTACAAACATTTGACTAATTTTTATTTTGTTAGATTTGGCTAATAAAAAAATCCAAAAAATATTTGGCCAATAAATACTAAATAGTGATTAACCAAAGAAAAATTGTATATCAAACCTTTTAAATAATTAAAAACGAAGAATCATAAAACTCGAAACATACAAACAACAAGAATTGTTTTGAACAATATGATCAGGTTATAGATTTTCATGTAATCAGATCTGGTTCTTTGATGAATGAGATTTATAGTCTTTTAAAATTTTAATATTTTTTAATCAACTTGCATTTCCTTCGTAACTCGAATTTTGGAAAAACTTTCACAAAAGAAAAGTGTTCACTATGGTCTACAAAATTATATTCATTACCGATTATATCGAGTAAAAAAATTCCAAAGCACTTCTTACCATTGTTTACTTCATTTGTTTTAACTCAAATTTTGAAAATTTTAGCACGTAATGTACGATTTTGTCGTGATTTATAATGCTATCAAGTTTTGTACAAATTCCTGAAAAATATGGGACAAAATATACCCTTTCTACCATATGGTAGACAATGGTTGATGGTGATTAATATATTTATGCTATCACACATATCACCATTTTATATCAACAAAATTTATCACATGGTATACTTTGATAAAAAAAATATTTTCAATAATATTATATTTGTTTGCTCCAAAATATATCAAAGTGGATGTCATTTTTTACAGTATGATATAAGTAATTTTCTGTATATATTTTGAATTTTGGATTAAAAATAAGAGAAAAATATTATGCATGAGTGAGAAAGAAATATAATTTGTTACCTACGAGATATACTCTCAAAAGAATGGTAAAAATAATAAGAAAATTAGAATTGAATAGTCGTCGAGAGCATTAAAAATTACGAGATGATACCTTTGAATTTTTCGATACGGTTATTGTCCTTCTTATCAACATCGACTTTAGCAGCAATCTTAGAAGAGATTTCCGTTTCCATGCAGATCTTTGTAGGTGGAACCAACAACTCTTTTGAATCATTCGAGCCTGTCTCTGAATCAGATAATAGCAGATGATCGTTAGTCGGTGTCCTCTGTCTCTTCAACATGTTTTCTTGACTCGTTCTACTTTTTTTTCCTTTCGATGGTTGCGGGTTTGATTTTTTCTTATTAAATATTTGATATTAGATTTCTCCAATAATATTTTTGGAATGTAAGTAATTTATTAATTAAGTTAAGGTAAGAATGGTTAGCAAAGATTTGTGCATGTATCACAATTATTTTCTTTCTTTTTCCTTAAAATGGGGTATTTTTAGTGTCTATCTGTATTAACCATGTTACCGTAACTGGTTCCACCACAAAGTATGAAAAAACAAAATCACCAATATTTTGACCATTTTACCATATAATTTTTGAAAATTTTATTTTGTGCGAGAAATTTTATTTTTTCCCCTCAACTATTCAATATGACAATTCTAGCACGAACTTTATGTGTTATGTGACATTTGTGTCATGACGATTTCAGTGACCATTGTAGATAACGATTGATAGACGGTGGTGAAAATAATGTTGACTATTTGTGATGTGACAAACACGTAAATACCACGTCATTAACACATAAGATTTTTTTAGTTCACAATTAATTTCATTAAAAAATAAAAAAGGGAAGAACACTAACTTGCTTCCTAGAACTAAGGGAAGGGAAAACTTTTTTGGGTCTACCATCAGAAGAAAGGACCCTGATTTGAGTCTCATTTTTGTCAATGAACCCGAAGAAAGTACCCTGATTTGCTTCCTTGAGCTTCTTCTGCTAGAAATACTAATGAAGCTCATTAGCCTTCTGCCTCTGGAACTCTAAAGTCACCATGCCTTACCCTCCGTGATACCCAATTGTGAGGCAGAACCTACCAGAAACAGCGGGGATGAAGAAGATAGAGGGGAAGGAGGAACGGGCTTCAACGGAGTGGAAGCTTATGACGACGATGACCCCCTGAGCGACAGCGCGACGGGTCACCAAATTGGGCCTTCGACTTGTTAGCTCCAAACGGGAACTCCGTCGTATTAGTGATGGCAATTTGAACCCACCCCGTAGGTATTACTCGAACAGACCCGCAATGCAGCGAGTATTACCTGATCTGCAGTAGCATGGGACGAAGAATGTGTATCTGCTTCCGACTTGCCCTGCTCCGCCCCTCCTCGTTCTTGGCTCATCTTACCTCAAATACTTACAATATCTATCTATATTTATCATATTTTGACTTTTCTTCAACTAGTTAGGCTCAACATTTCAACTAGTTAGACTTCATTACCCGCTCCATTATCACTATTTTTCATTAATAAAAAGTTTTCCCCTTTGTTTTATCGTAAAAAGTAAAATTTTGCGTGTATTTTTTCATATAACATGTAAGAGTGGGTCGACCCGTCCCGCTCCGTACCCGCACGGGTATTAGCCTCCCCGCCCCTTTGCCATCACTACGTGGTAGTAAGAATAAGACTTGGCGGTGGCGGAGATTATGAGACGGGCGGAGGTGGTGGAAGAAGTGGCGGCAACGGAAGTAGAGGGAAATGCGGAGAGTAGCGAAATGGGAATGGAGACAAAACTGACATGGTTGCCCTGTTTGATGAAATAGACGATTATGAGTTTGCGACAGGCCGACTGCAAAGACATTCAACCACCAAAATTGAAACTAATCTTACATGGAGTAAAATATTTTTATTATTGTTTTGTTAATTTTAATGTAAAAATAATCAAGATCAGCTGACATCCGCAGTCAAGTCGTTGACTATTGATCACTGACAGTCAACGTTGTTTAAGTTAACGAAGACGAATGTTCGTGCTAGGATTTTCATATTGAATATTTGAAAACAGGAAATGACACTTTTTCGATAGTTGGGGCTTTGTAGTGGTATTAGCCAAAAAATATACACATGATTGTTCGGGGATGGTTCATGTGAGTTTTCCCAGTACAGGATGCTGGTTGATTTGGGTATGACTAGGCTTGATAGTCGGTGGTTGCGGTTTAACCGCACCGCAAAGGTGGTTAACCGACACCGAGAAAGAGGAAACACCAGCAACCGCAACAGAGGTCGACGACACTATCGGTTAGCCGATAACCGCAACTGTAAGTTTCAGTTTCAAGCGGCGGTTATTCCGAGATCGACACACACCACCTCTGACCACCGACATCGCTATGCATATCACCCAAAAATCCTAATTTTGAACCAGCGACAGAGGAAGAAGAGAGAGCAATCGGAGGTAGATGATGGGTGACAACGAGCATACGTGAGTGTCAAATCCGGATCGGAGTCCGCCACAAATTGAGGTAGATGAGGGGGGAAGGGGAGAGAGCGTCGAGCGGAAGATCTGGATCTGAATTCATGGCCGGAGGCACAAGAAGGAAGATCAGAGACCGAGAAAATCGAACGACGACAAAGGAAAGAGGCTGAGGACGACGACAGATGATGGGGCAACAACTGACAAAGAAGGAGGAGGCCGACTAGGGAAAGCTACATCTATTTATGATAGAAGGGCATGGCAGTGGCAGCTCTTGACTCCGCGGCAGAGGAAGACGAGAAAGAGCTGCCGGAGAATCTGGATTTAAATCCTCTGTTGCATGGAACATGCAAGAAGAAGGCAACAGATTGAAGGTGATTATTGGCGGCGACGATTGGTGAGGACGGAGGTAGAAGGGAGGTCAGATTGGTGAGGAAGAAGGGAGTTGAGATTGGAATTTGGAAGAACAAGTGGAGAGAGCAGCGAGGTCGGAAGAGGGAAAGATTTGGTTGGTGACTGGTGGGCAGGTAGAAGGACGTCTAGTTGCTATCTATTTCTGCCAGGCAGTTACTTCCGGTGCATCAATTTTTTATCCGTTAGCATCCGGAGGTTGTCGGTTATAAAAAAAGGCTCAAATAGACAACCGATGCCGACACCGCAACCCCTATTATCGTCTTGTGGTTACCCGAATAACCGTGGTTTTCGATTCAATTTTCGGGTTAACCGACTAATTGCCAACCGGTTATCAGTCTTAGGTATGACATTTACATCTCCACAAAATATTGATTACGAGATGGTTACGATTATAAAATTGTGGTCGAATATGGTATATATAAAAACCAACCCACCAGAACCGGTTATCATTTCTAGGTACGACTCAATGAGTATGGGAAAAACTCAAATTATTTTGAAAAATGATAAGAATATGCACTATCTGCCCCGATCCACTACTTTGTTAGCTCTAAAGTGTAACCTGATAGTATGAATATATCATAATATAGAATAGTTATATAAATGATGGTATGAATATCATAAACACTATTTAACATATTATCGTTTGCTTGTGGGATTTGGATGATGGATTTGGCATCCAAATCCCAAGCATCAAGTACTTGACATAAATCTATTGTTTGCTATGGGACATGGGTTTAGACCCCTTTTTTATATCCAAATTTGTGAACCCCGCGGATTTGCAAATACCACATTTTATTTGGGATTTGATAATGGAAAGCAAAAATGTGTGACAAATCCATCATAAATCCATGATAAAAATTAACTAAACAAACAATGCAATCTTTCATATCCATAATGCAACAAATCCATCATTAATTCAAAGGTTTTTAAAATTCGAAGCTCTCATTTTCAAATCCAACAAGCAAACAAGCCTTATCGTCAGCAGTTACCTTCCTATACCATGATAGTATATTTGAAACTAAATTTTTTTTTCACATAAATTTGTAAATCACAAAAGATCATAACCAACATGTTGTCTGTGGAATTTTTTTAAAATTTGAGTTAAAATTTGAAACTTTTTTCTTGAGTTAAAACCAAGTTTTTCATATTAAAATTACCCTGTTCAATCTATACACAATTTTTTTAAATGAATTTTAAACCAACGTAAGGTACAAACTCATTAAAAGAAAGCAAGAAAAAAAAATCGATATCACCCCTTAGTTTGATATGTTCATTAACATATTGATATTGATAATTCAGACTAACATATGTCAGTCGTACAATACAATCGTATATGTAAACAATACGATATCACAAATACGGATATACATTCCAAAGTTTGGCTTCAATAGTAAAATGGGAGGAAATTAAATAAATAGTAAGGTGGAGACAAAGCAATTAATGCCAACTCATCACACAACGACGGAAGCACATTTTGCCGAAAGGGAAAAAAGAACTCGGTGAAAGAAAAGAAAGAAAGAGAGATCATCATCCATCCATCCTTTCATCATCCCAACTATAATATTTTACCCTCTCAAGACTTGTTGTCCCTTCTCTCTCTCTTCTTCTTGGCCGCAAGCAGGAATCCAGACGCAGAGAGCTCATAATCCCCGATAAACAACCGCCGGCCGAAGCCCGTAAGTATTCGATCGGTCCTTTCACTTTCTTTTTTTTATTAATCGTTCAATCTCGCCACCGGTAGCGTAGCGCGATGGTCAATCGAGCTGATCCACTGCTCTATTGTCTAGTCCTTTTTCCTCGTGTTCTTTTTTTCAAAATATTTCGCTGGCTGAATTATTCTGCGGCAGCTGGAGTTCGATGAGCTGAATATGGCTGATTTCCGTCGAGTTACAGTGCGGAGACGAGCATGTGGTCTTAATTGTGTATTTTTCGATCCTGAATTTCGTGGTTTCCATTTTTGTGTGGTTGGTGCAAAAAACTCGATGGTAGGCTGACTTAGGACTTTAAGAGTTCTAACTAAATCGAATTCCGAAGTACCTTTCTCCTCACCTTTAATTTGTTGTAAAATGGAGAAAAGGACCATAGACAGACATTCCAACCTTCTAATTGTAGTATGGTCTTTGATAATCTGGATTCAGTGAAGAACAGGATCGATCTATGCTGAAAATGTGGTCATTTTCACTTGTTCAGTCACAATTTGAGTGACTTTGAGACTGATTTTGGATTCTTTTGAAGGTTAGACTACGAGTGTGTTGATGAACTAGCAAGACAGCTGAATTTAGGGATTTGGAAGGATTGTTTTTTGGCGGAGGAAAATGGCTTGCAGGGGGTTCTGGGAGTGCTTACTGAAGCTGTTCAACTTCTTTTTAGCCGTTGCTGGCCTGGCTATGGCTGGATTTGGAATTTATTTGTTTGTAGAGTATAAACATGCAGCAGATGATGATGTGCCGCTGCCCCCTTCTAGTGATTACAGCAGTTTGATACAACTGGGCCGTCCCATGCTTATGGCGGTGTCACTTTCCGAGAGTATCTATGACAAGTTGCCAAAGCCGTGGTATGTTTCTCATTATCTTATGCCTTAAGTTCTTTGTTTGATGGGTTTAGTTTGTTGCTGGTTAGCCCACTCATGAAGATATAATTGATGGAAAGATTTTGTAGTGTGGAACATTGTAGTTTCAGCAAAGAATGAACATCAAATTGATCTGTGATGATAAATTGCTTTTTTGTCCAATTGAAAAGTTTATGCCTCTTGGGAGGGTGTATTTGATGGCCTTGATTCTAATTTTCTGGAAATTAGATTAGCTACAAGGAAGGTGGTAGATTTAATAGGACTTCCTGGATTTCCTTTCCTTAACATCTTCTAGGTGTTATTCTGTTTTGATTGGATAAAAGCTTGAATTGGACTTGCTTCAGTTGTAATTTAAGTACTCATCTTGAATGATGTCTATCACTCAGATAATGATTTGTGCTTGAGGGTGGTTTCTATTCTTCAGGAGAATCCAGAATGTTTAGATCAAAGCACTCTCTTGCCCTGACTGTAATTTGCTGTGAAATAGGTTAGCAACACGGATGGGAAATCTTCAACTCTACTTTTAACACATTATAGGATTGCATATGTGAAAGACTTTTAGAATAACTTGTGCAATCTGTTGGTGATTCACGATTTTTCATGCCCCTAATTGCTCATGTGTCTTCCAAATTCCATTCATTAATCCTTTTCTTTTGCAGGTTCATATACTTATTTATTGGTGTTGGAGTGATCCTCTTCGTTGTCTCTTGCTTTGGTTGTTGTGGAGCTATGACCAGGAATGGTTGCTGCCTAAGTTGTGTATCCTGATTGAAACCCTCCAGAGATGTTATGGTCCAAGTGTTCAGTATTTCTATATTCTACCTCTTGTTCAGGGCTGTCCATTTGGAATATCTCATATATACTCCAGTAGGACAATTGATCTTGATGTTTTCATGTCCGTTCCTGAAAGTTCAAGGGGGTCGTAAAGTCAGTTTCTTGTGAGTTAAGGTTATAGACTATGAGCCTTACATTTAAGTCTATCTTCACATATGTGAACATTGCTTTCCTTAACAAATTTTAGTACTCAGCCTTGATTTTCATACTGATATTGGCGGAGCTGGGATTTGCAGCATTCATATTTTTTGACAAAAGTTGGGAAGAAGTAAGTGATCTGTATGAATGTAATTCTACTGCCATACTATTGGTTCTGCTATTTAACGTGTTATGTGCATCATGCCCTTCAGGAGCTTCCAGTTGACAAGACTGGAAATTTTGACATGGTATATGGCTTTCTGAAAGAGAACTGGGAAATCATCAAGTGGGTTGCTCTTGGGATAGTTGTGTTTGAGGTAACCACATATGCATGTTACAAATTCACAATTTTTTTTTCTTCATGAAGACGTCCCTTTCATTCATGAAGCTGAAAACCATATTAGGATTAGTGTCTTCAATTATGGGATGACAACTTACTGTTCGGCAATCTAGAATGTTAGTCTTGTCTTTTCCCATTTACACCACTCATATGTGGCGCGAGTGGGTTCTTGTAATCACACAATAGCTCGTATCTCTTGTCAGTGGATGATCTTTACAATGTTATTACTTGTGAATGCAGGCGCTGATTTTCTTGTTGGCCCTAGTGGTTAGAGCAGCCAACAGACCGGTAGAGTACGATAGCGATGATGAACTCATCGCCCCAAGGCAGCAGATCCGACAGCCATTGATGAATAGGCCGCCGCCTCCTGCAACAGGCGTCCCTGTTGCTGGAACCCTCGATCAGCGCCCGAGCCGAAATGATGCGTGGAGCACACGTATGAGAGAAAAGGTATAAACAGAAACAACTCACCCTGGTAATTGTTTCTCAAGTATACTGCTCCCTCATACTCTCTCTTTCCATGTTCTTTGGATGAAAACCAGTATGGACTAGATACTTCCGAGTTCACATACAACCCGTCAGAGTCACATAGGTACCAGCAGGTATCGGCACAGCCCACAGAAGAACGAAGCCGGTGCACGATCATGTAACGAGAACCTTTCGGAAGCTTGTTGTTTTTCCTTCAGGACAGAGAGAGAGAGAGAGGGAGGGAGGTGTTGTGTGTTCTCTTTGCCCCTTCTGTACTATAGGATCTTGCTGAAGCTGAGGAGAGTAGATAGAATCCATTTTCGACAGTGTCTGTGCTGTGGATAAGATTTAATTCATGTTCGTTATGTCTGTCGTCTGAACCGTGGTCGGCCGCCAGATGACAGACTGGTTCTGTTGGATCTTTGAACGGCCTTTCCTCTGCATTTTTTATCTGTTCTGTTCTGTTATCTTTGGCAGTTCTCCACGTACTTTTTTTCGGTAATCCGACAGCATAAAACCGAATTGGATCAGTATCACTGATGGGCTGGACATGATGTTGCAGACAGTGGCCCAGCTGCAGTAGCCCCATTCTCTCCCTTGGCTTGGTTCAGTTGAAAATTGAAATCTTTCCTGGCCCAGCTTTGGCTACTAGATTATGATAGCACTACAGGCCACGCGCGAAAACTGTTATCACAACAAAATAAAAACTTTTACCCACAAGAGCGCAATGTGGTGGATAAGACTGGAAAAATAGATCAGACCGTTAGAAAAATCGTGGTCCAAACTGTATCGTACAGTTTGGTCTGGACCGTAGACCGTTAAGTGTGGTCTGGTCTATGGTCTGGTTTATTTTATGTTTTGATCTCTTGGTCTGGTCTGGTCTAGACCGAGGTTTACCGGACCCAACTGTGGACCCAACCGACTTGTCAATACGTGTTAATAGCCCATTCGATCACCCTCCCAACTCACACAACGACACCCAAATCTCAACATTAATTTTGAGAATCTCGTCCCTCCTTCGTTCACAACCACATTGAACCAGAGAGTAGAGATAATCGTGTCTACATATGACATTATGTTAATGTTTATAACGTTATGGTGCAAATTTGTATGCTTTTACTTTGTATTTTTGTTATTTCTAAGATTTAGGATATCAAAATTATTCATGCATGTTAGGATTAATGTTTTAAGGCAAATAACAATTATTTTTCTTGGTTATAGGTTCAATTTTTTGTGTGGTTGACTAAACAAATTATTCATTTTTCTTTGAGTGCGGTCTATCTGGACCAGACCAGACCAAACCAGACCGCACAGGCGTGGTCTGGACCAGACCGTATAGTTTGTGGTCTGGTCTGTGGTCTATACTTCAGCCTCACGGTCTGGACCATAGATAGACCAGACCGCACCGTTTCCCAGCCCTAGTGGTGGGGAATTGGTTATCTACTTTTCTTATTTGACGATACCATCATAGCTAACTACAACTTGATTATATTCGAAAATAAAATTTTAATAAAAAATTGGATCGAAGTTCTCAATGACAAAATAGTGACTGAAATGAATAGTGAAAATCATACCGGTCGTTTGGATACAACATTTTAGTGAGATATTTTGATTCAAATAATTCATTTTGATTTATTTGACCCAAAATCACTCATTTTGCAAAAATAAAAGTGAATTTTTGAAATATACCACGTCACGGCGTCACCCAACTCATCTGGTTTCCCATTTGAGTGATGAACTGCTACACTTTGGAAATGGCCAATCCAAACGCGACAATTATAATCCAATTATCACAAACAAATTGAAATGCCACATTTTAAGATAATACAACATTTAGATTCAAAATACCACAGAATCAAAATCCCGCATTCAAATGACCACTATTGAATTCTCAATATAATACTTTCAGCCTCTCATTATAGGAGTTGTGTAGATTGTAGACGCTATCTAATGATAAATAAGAAGAACAAATGGACCATAAGAAACAAGAGAGTAAAACCAGAGTTAGAAGGGCAACGAATACGCAGTGCTTCAATCCAAGTTGCCAAGTTGTATAGTAGTGATGTTCACCATTACCGACTATATGATGATGAAGAAGTGGTAAGCTTTGGAGGATCCAAATCCAAATATCCCAACGTCAGTGCATGCCGGCTAGCTAAGCAACAGACAAGACGAAAGGGAAAATCGTCGAGTATTCGAGTCCCATCAATAAACTAAAGATCTTGGGGCAAATTTCAGCCACAAATGCTACCCATGCCTACATGTTGCCATACGTGTAAAATTTGTCCATTATCTCCCATGAGCTCACACTTGTTCTCATCATATCCAAGTGAAGCCATAATAAGTTCACTTGAATAGTTCTTCTTTGGTAGTAAGATAGGCCGTCAAAACGACCTAATTCATATGTTAATAATCGGCTATCTGTGTCTGGGTAATCCCAAAAACATCAAAAGTGATTCAGATCCAGTGGCTAATGCACACATCAAAGGAATGTGAGCCAAAAGGATACATATATGTCACATGCAAGCTAAGAAATAATTAACAACATTGCTCTCCCCTACCCATATGGTTAAATAGTAACATCCCAATCAAGATTAATGAGCTTCCCTGTTTGATATGCCAACAATCCATGCCTATGGTTGGTATCTCTATCACCTTCAATAATAGCAATAATGGATGATCTTAGTTGAAATGTTAGTAGGGGGGAAAAAGAGAGAGTTATATGATGCACTCACAAATTTCAAATATAGTTGTAGATTTCAAACTATTACGAAAAAAATGTAACAAGAAATCTATTGATTCGAATTCCAGTAAGAACCTAATTATTAGGAGCGGGTTATTACAGTGGACAAGTTTTAATGGGATTTCATGTTAAATTTGCTCACTAATTACTTACAAAAGGGATCAATACTGCACCCTCGCCAATAAGTTATAGAACTATAAATGAATCAGGTGGTTTAACTCCAATGATATATCGATTATGCCGCTGCAACAAGTAAATGAAGCGTGTACGACATCACAAATCGAGAATGAGATACAAAATCGGTGATTTTATGGACCACGAGAACCCACCAAACACCCACCACCTTGGTGTTGAGTGACATCCACCCATGCACCAAAAACCCATCCAAATCATGGAAGTTGATCAAATGATCATCTCCCGTTGGCTACATTCGAGTTGTGGGTTTAGTGGTTGGACCCGCCAATCCTCGTTTCGTCGCTGTTTACTAACCCTTTTATTTTCTATCTAATCTAGGTTTAGGCCTTCCTAATGAAACCGCGTATGACTTTACGAGATTAATCTATCTAGGTTTTATAAGATAGATAGACATTAAGCTACTTTGAACGTAACGTAGAAAATTTGCTTCAAACTTTGAAGTCGGCCGCCACTCGGCCAGCCAATATATGAGTTCATACGTAAAATAAAAGAATATTCCCTTAATTCTTTATATGTTTTCGTTTGAAAAAAAAAAAAGAAATGGAAAAACAAAAGAAGCCAAGTAATGGTTTGGCCTTCTTCCTTCTCCCATCACGAATGGTGCGCTGACTCAATAATAATAATAATAATGTATATTTTAGTTTGTGGTGGTGGTGGTCCTTTCCTTCCGACCACCGTCTGCAAAATTTCTTTCACTGTCCAATTTCAATTTTTTAAAATTTAATTTCCGTCCAAGTTGCTAACTATATTGTTTAATAATAATAATAATCGTCGAATGGGTCATTTTCCGTTACCTACAAAAACATGCACATAATGTATCCAAGGAGATCAGCCCATATCTTCATAAGGAGTAAATTTAATGCAAGTGTCATGGCAGCAGAAGAAGAGAAGCTGGATAGATTGGTAATTATGTTGGTGGAGAGAATGTGTAGTTTTACGCTATAGTATAACTTCAATTTTTTCTATTTTTTTTTACATATTTCTTTATCATACAAATTGAATTTATATCTTCAATATTATGGTACAAATTCAACTTGTACCTGTAAGTATTGGTGCTTATGAGCATTGTAAAATTTTTTCAATGTTGTAAACCACTGTGTTAGCTATTTGTTTAAGACGAGTTCATTATAAGTGGTCCAATCTCGAAGCTATTTCAAGACTATCCAAGTTCGATGTGAACCTGGTGAGGAGGAAATTATACTTACGGTATTATCGTTTATGAGAGTCTCCATAGCAGGTGACTTGTATATATAAGAAACCAAATGTTGTTTTGATCCTCATTTCTCAATAAAAAACAATCGAAACACTCTCTTCTTCTCCCCATCAAAAAGATCAGAAATCTCTCCCATGTGATGAACTAAGAAGGCTTGATTGAGAATATATGGTCACAAAACCCTCCCAATCCATGCTCAGAGATATCATCCATTTGTAAATAGTCTTTCAAGTTCTGCATTCATTTTTCAACTATCAATCGATATTAATCCATATAATTCTATCTGTGTTTGATAATCTGACAAGACGGTGTTCCAAAAAGTTATTACCGATAAATTTAGTTCCTATATTTAGATGATTTTTGAAAGAGTAATAAGTTAAAACTTATTAAAGACTTGTCTTGTGGACAATATATACGGTACATTTGGGCGGCATTCTTTATCTCGTATACAAGACAAATACATTGTTTATACTTCGTATATGATTGTAAGTTGTAATTAACCAGACATTACCTATAAAATTTGTCCTCGATTAATCTAAAATATCTAATCGCATTACTGTAGGACTAGATAAAAGAATGAATAGAAGAGAAATATCTAGATCCGACCTTCATATACCAATCATCCACCATCAAAAGATAAACCTTATAGAGGGAAACTAAACAAGATGATTAGAAGATGATTAACCGTCCTACCAATCATCCACCAACTGTCCATTGGCAATTTGTTAATCCCAACTAATTCTGGATCCATCACCATTACCCATTTGACCTAAACTCCCAATTTTTAATGTCAACCCATTACCCAAATCCAAACCCTTTCCTACCTTTTCTTTATTTGCATGCTTCAAATTAGTAGTCTAAATAAATTAATAAAACCATTTTACTCCTATTTCTTGTGGGCTCCCATGCAAAATCTAGACTTTATATTGGGCCTTGCAGCAGTAGAGAATTGGGTGGGTCTGTTTAATTTATATATATATGTGCTACAGATTCCTGTCAATTTCACTGATGTTGGGTGCTTGTTGGTCTTAATTAATCGAGGGGTTAATTTGATTGATTGATGGATCGTATTACACTTCCAAAAGGACAAAAAGAAAAACGTTTTTATTTATCTATTGCTTATATTATATTTATATGGTCCAGTGCAAGCCACTTGGTTATGGTTGGCAGGAAAATGGCACCTTTGGGGAAATAATGTATGTACACAAAACAAAATCACAAGCAAAACAATAAGTAAGAATTAATGCAATGAAATAGATATCTGACCTGAAATGGGTTGAATTACCTACCTGCACTGATTAGAAGTTTGGTAATTGATTAAATCGTGAGATGAAAAATAAGTATGGGACGAGAAATATCTTTGCATTACCTAACCTCTAAGACCCAATTCATAAAACACCGGATAGATTGAGTATTTGCATAAGAACTTGTTCAACTTTGGAGCCACTAATTACAAACTAAAAACTTAACATTGATTTTTAACAAATTTGTTAATGAAATTTGAATTACTAACATAATAGTCTCATTCCGTCCATCTCCATCTAAGTATTCTTTTGAAGTATTCAAATTAGCATGTTAATTAACTAAGCTAAATCATTTTGGGTATGTATTGGGTCTTGGAGTTGTGTCAATTAACATGTTTAGTCTAATTAACTGTTCATGTGATTGATCTCATTCTCAATTTAGCTAAGTCGACACAATAGTATAGAAATTTTTGGGGGGAAACCCCGGAAATATTTGGATAAATGGGTTATTTTATTAAAGTCGTTAAAATATTTTATTGACAAAGTTGTTAGTGACCAAAAGTTAATACTTTAGTGACTAGTTTGTTAGTGATCAAAGTTTGAGTGATCGTATATGTAATGAAATTCTTGTCATAGGAATTTCAATTTTGATCTTACTCGTTCAGTCCTATATGTTTTAAAGCAAGTATTTTTCACTCTATGGGTGAGGCGGCCATGGATCTTCCTTTGCCCTGACCCAACCTGATCTGCCTCGTTGCTTATTCATTTTTATGTAAATTATACATAATTATACTCAAATTTTTCCTGGTTTCACTTCTATCATATTTTATGTATAATAAAATTTTAATTAGGCGTTAACCTCCACTTTTGACCAATTTGAGTTCATATATCATGTTGTAGTTAGGGATGACAATGATTCGGATTTCTCCCCGTAATCCAACGAGCAGGGGATGGCTAGCAATGGGTTCATGGACATAATTGCTTTTGGTGTATTTTATGTTTTCTGGGGAGTTGGGTTCAGGTTCTTGTGAACCCTCTTTCCCCTGACTCTCGTTTTGTTCTCTCTTCTTTTATTTCAATTCAATCATCATTATAAAAAAAAAAATCTCTCCAAACACATCCATATGTTACTGAATTTTTCCTACAAATATAATGTCATAAAGGTCAACAACATCTATATATGATATGTATTATTAGGACTATATTGTCATAAACACTAATAACATCCATAAACTATCTATATTATTAGGGTTAGATGCACAATGACGTCATTTTGCTTTTTGGGTATAGAGCAACATGGATCTATCTGCTCCCTCTTGTGCTCAGAAAAAAAAATACATTTCATGAGACACTCAAGTATCACATCGGAAATACAAGAGAACTAAGCCTTGTGTATAAGTTCCACCTAGCTCATTAATACGATGCACTTGGGAAGGAACCCAAAATTAAATCCGTGAGGGCTTGGCTCAAAGCCGACAACATCGTACTAATGGAGCACTCGGTCTCGTCAAATGGTAATCAGAGGCTAATTCGGGGCGGTTGTCGTTAGGGTACGGTGGACCCCCATTAGGTGACCTCACGATTTGAGATATGCATTTTTTTGGCGGATCATGGAAGATCTGCTTTGGTAATTTGTCTAGTGGATCAAGTGAAGATCTCTATATGATAAATCCCTATGTCAAAGATCATGTCGATATAAGGTGTCTGGCGGATCAAGATAATTGCAGAGAAGAAGACACGAAGTTCGTGGTCCTTGTCTTGAGGGGAGGATTGTTATAAGACAATCAAATTAACACATCAGAAATACAAGAGAAATAATTCTTGTATATAAGTGTTCATCTAGCTCATTACTCATTAATATGATGCCATTGGGGAGAGAACTCAAAAGTAAACCGTATGGGTTTAATCCAAAACGAACAATATCATACCTATGAAACATCGTCGGATCTCAATTATGAGTTAGATTTCTCTAACCCAAACCCAAACCCAATGAATACATCCGCTAAAAACACTCAACAAAATGCTCACTAGTGATAATACCACTAGCCTAGAAGCTGGAAGTTTCATGTTCGAATTCCTTAAGTAGTAACTTAATCACAAAAATAAAACCTATATCACCCTTATAAAAAATTGCCCACTAGATTGTTAGGAGAGAAAACCCAACCAAGCCTATATCCAATTTCCACATGACAAGTCTAAATAACGAGATGCTAGACCCAAACCCATTGTTATTCCTATCCTACCAAGGCTATTGAGGTGAGACTTTTTCTAGTGGTGATTAATAGCCACTAATTCTGCTGACCCATTTGCAGAAATTGTAGCAGTCGGTTTCTGTAGGCTTATAGGATGATGGGATCTTGGAAAGTCTTAACTACTTATAGTTAAGAATTTCAACTTTGCAATTGAGAGTTGTCTTCTCTCTTCTATTTCTACGCGCCCTTTAATTTTCCTCCCTTCCTTTTATGGTCCCTACTTTTGCAGTAAGTGATCGAAATCGGCAGGCATTTTCTTGGTGTTTCACTGGCCCCCACTCAATCACCTTCTTTAAACTAATTTATAATTATAATGGTTGTAACCATCAGCTTAATCTTTTATTTATTAAGGAAAGGAAGCTGTCTCTGGAGGACTGTAGATTCGTTAACATGAAAGGGACGTACGTGTTATAATGATTTCTATTTTATCCATGAACATTATTAGTTAGCTTTGTAATGGAACTAGTACTACTCCTCTAATTTTCAATGATATCATATGGTCCTATACCCAATCTTTCGGTCCCTAGAAAATGTTTAAAAGTGAAGCTTAGAACAAAAGGTTTAGGACTCTTGAATAATAAGAAAAGGGTTGGTTAGTTTAGCGTTATTCGTGATAATATGGAACATGTATTTCTTAGTTTTCACTATAACAAATTATGCTTGCATGTTGGCTCGCTAGAATATCTGGTTATAAGTGTTTAAATTAGTAATTTCTCCTATTGATATTTAGTAACACATATCTACTTCTAATATTGACGACAAGATGGAGCAAAATTATAAGACTTGGGACACATCTTGATGGTTAGACCTTAAATATCCAATTAGTAAAGAAACACTTATTGTTGTTTAATCAATTTGGAATGTTATTTTTTAACATTCACGTTTTCATTGATTTTCAATCTTATCGTCTCATATTCAAGTTCATTAAATAGCACCTAATAACCAAAAAATTAACATCTATATCACCCTTAAAAAAATCACTCCATAAACGATCTTGTCAATCTCCATAGTTTCTTGTCTACCCCATCTTTTGGAGGTAGTTGTAATTATATAGTTTTGTAATGAAAAATAAGAAAAAGAAGTAAATATAAAAAAAGGGGGGAAAATGAAGACGTGAAGGACCATTTCGTGCTCCTTATTCTTTCCCCCTCGCAAGTTGAGGAGGTTTTCTGTGGATGTCTGTTCAAGTTAAATGCACTCACTCCTATTTTCCCTCTTTCTTTTCTTCTTTTCTTTTGGGTCTCTGTCCTTTCTGTTTGGTCATTGCTGTGAATCTTCCTTTTGCAATTTGGCAGCCAGAGAAAACCCTGCTGTACTTCCTTTCTTTCATGTTGTAATAAATTTGGTTCTAACCCCTCTTCTTCATTTATAAAAGCTGACAAAAGCTCCAAGCTTTCAGCTTCTCCATAAATTTTACTGTACTTCAGCTTTTTTCCTCCTATCACTTCCGAACCTTTCCAGTTTCAAGCAATGAGGGCCAAGAGAGGGAACCGTTCTGAGGTGGGTTTTCACTCTCTCTTGCTCTGTGTTCTTGGGATCGATGGGGTTTTCAGGAATTGTGGGTTAATGGGTGATTTTAATTTCCTGCAGGCATTTTGGCCTTCCCTCGTGATGAAGAAATGGCTGAACATTAAGCCCAAGGCTTGTGATTTCAGCGAAGATGAATTCACAGAGAATGAGAGTGAAGATGATGGTACATAGAATTATGCTCCTTTTTACCCTGCCTTCATCTGTTCTTGGATGTTATTGTGCCTTGCATGTGCTTGATTAAATGCTTCTGAGGAACCTTTTTCTTTCTTTTTGACTGGACCACAGCTTGCTCGCTTAAGGATGAAAGTGTTAATGTGAATGAAGATCATGGTCGTAGAACTCAATTGAACCAATATGAGCCCCACCACCAGAGTAAGGTTCCAGGCAATAAAGCCTTTGTCTTTCTGCATCAATTCAGCTGCTCATATTTTGAGTGTTTCTGGGCAGCTTGAATAAAATTTACCTTGTTCTTCTTGTGATGTAAAATCTGCTTTTACTTTCTGTTATGGTGGTGAATTTCTCTACAAACTGTTATCTACAGTTAGTTTTGGTAGGAGAAACCTTCAAAGAAGTACTGCTCAAATTAGTTTTATGCTTGAGTTTTGGATCCTGTGGGGCATAAGCTTTGAAAAGTAACCTGATGGATGACCTGTAAAACAGAAACAAAGATCAAAAGCCTAGTTGGATCATTTGATTACTGACTTGTAGTACTTTAATTGTTTCTTTCTGGTTTCACAGATGAACCTTCCAAGGGCTATTCCCTGAGACACAGACGGGGTAAATCCGAAACTCTGCGTATCCAGTACATAAATACCAAGGATGTGAGGTTGGCTGAAATCCTGCTTGTTTTGTTTTAGACTGAAGTGGAATAATCATTTTAAGAGCTAAACTTGACCTTTTCATCTTCTATTATTTGCAGGGTGACAATAGGCACTTGGAATGTTGCTGGTATATCACCGGACAATGATCTTGATATCGAGAGCTGGCTTTGCACAGAAGAACCAGCAGATGTGTATATTATTGGGTAAGTTATTGGAATAGCGTTGTTACTTTAAGTAGTTGCAACAAGAATTATCGTCATGGATAATTCTGATATATGGGATTATTACTGCGCTCAGCTTAGCAAGTTTAATGCTTTACACTGTCTATGAATAAAAAACCTCATCTAGCTTGATGCATATGCATTGAAGTCGACAATTTTAACAACGCTTAAAGCAGCTTCTCACATATCTGCTGATCTTTCTGTTCTTAACAGTTTCCAAGAGGTAGTCCCTTTGAATGCTGGGAATGTATTTGGGGCAGAAAACAACAGACCAATTCGGAAGTGGGAGTCAATCGTTCGAAGAACCTTGAACAAATCTTGGCAGCCTAAGAGCAAACACAAATGTTACAGTGCCCCACCTTCTCCAGTATTGAGGACTTGCTCTGTTGCTGATTTACTTTCAGGTGAGGTTGATGCTTTACCACTAGACCTCACAAATGAAGAATACCTAGAACCTACAGCTGATTGTCAATTTGAAAGAAATGAGCCAAAGAAAGCTGAAGTTGCCACGGGCAAAAATTTGAACCTGAGGGGTATCTTTGGGATAGATACCGGCAATAGACTGGACTGGCCCGAGCATTCATTAGATGCAGCTCCACAAATCATCTCATCAAATCCCAAGCTGAGAAGGGTACTCAGTAGCTCAGCTAGAATAAGCTCTACTTGGGAAGACAGCCTAGGTAGTCCTCGGAGTTTCATAGTGAACAAAAGTGGGTTGAAGAGAACCCATCATAGTTCTGGGGACCTTGGATCATTATTGTGGGACTTACAGCAGCCAAAAGAGGTGACGATGACTGAGCTTCCTGAAGTTGTTGATACAGCAGAAAGTGTGTCTGATGGATTATCTGATGAAGATGAAGACGACTTGTTTGCAGCAGAAGTACCAAGCTATGACCAACGTTGTGGTGTTGTCAAAGGAAAGAAATATCCCAAGTATGTGCGCATCGTGAGCAAGCAAATGGTGGGGATATATGTGTCAGTTTGGGTGCGGAAGAGGCTGAGGAGACATGTCAACAACTTGAAGGTCTCTCCTGTTGGAGTTGGTCTCATGGGATACATGGGGAACAAGGTAAGTGCCAGATAAGTTCATACAAAAGTAGAAGTTGCCTTTGCATGATGTTATATTTCCATTTGGTTCAATTGTTTGGCACTTGGTACCTCTAGTTGGTCCAACAGCCAACTTCTCTATCAAAACCATCCATCCAAACTTCTATTCTAAAAATTACCATTTTTTCTCTTCATAAATGTTGGCAACATTTGGCCTTGATAATGCAATTGAATCATCAGGATTCCTCTTACTGGAAGGCTGTCAATGCAGGGATCTGTTTCTGTTAGTATGTCCCTATACCAGTCGAGGATGTGCTTTGTTTGTTCTCATCTGACGTCTGGTCAGAAAGACCGGGCTGAACAAAGGCGGAATGCTGATGTCTATGAGATCATAAGGCGCACTCGTTTCTCCTCATCTGTCCTTGATGCAGATCAGCCACAGACCATCCCTGCTCATGAGTAAGTTACTACTAAGTTTCCAACTCTGAATGAGAATTCATGTTATTGTTTCATGATAGATGTTATTCTTACACTTATCACATTCTATTGAATCTTTGTACTTGCAGTCAAGTATTCTGGTTTGGTGACTTGAACTATCGGCTCAACAAGTTGGACTCAGAAGTAAGGAAGCTTGTTGCCTTGAAGCAGTGGGATGAACTTAAGAACAGCGATCAAGTAAGATTTTATTTCAGAAACTCTGTTTCCCCCCTCAGTTTTAGCCATTAAACTTCTAGCTTAAACTATCTAAACCACAGGGTAACAGAGAGCCTCTACTCCATTAAGCACAATAATTTGCTTGGCTCACAAGTTTCCTCATTGTCCTTTTAACATGGTTCAAATGAAGAAAAAATAACATTATGAAATCTTATTCATATTGGTTGGGCAGCTAATCAGAGAACTCCGAAGTGGGCACGTATTCGATGGATGGCAAGAAGGAACAATAAACTTCCCCCCTACTTACAAGTACGAGATTAACTCTGACAGATATGTTGGAGAGCATCCAAAAGAAGGAGAAAAGAGGAGATCTCCAGCATGGTATGAGTCATTTACTTTACAAGATACAACCTTAAGATAAGGCAGAGGGAGTTAAGAATTCATTGTAGATCTAAATTAAAAGTAGAAGGAGATAGAGTGAAAAAAGGTGATATGGAAAGTTCACTTTTTTTCTTTTTTTTTTTGCTCTGCTGGACAGAATGCTAAAGATAGAGAATTAGATGCTTTGCACTTTCTAAGTGCAGGCTTTTTGATGAGTTCCCTTCATGTTAGTGCAGGTGTGACAGAATACTTTGGCTAGGAAAAGGCATAAAGCAACTCTTCTACAGACGAGCAGATCTCCGATTATCAGATCATCGACCAGTGAGTTCGATGTTTGTGGTAGAAGTCGAAGTCTTTGATCACCGAAAGCTGAAGAAGGCGCTGAATGTGAATAGTGCAGCAGTTCATCCCGACATTTTCCTCTTTGACGATGAAAACTAGCAAATGTTACACAAGGTAAACTCCAATCTTCACTCTTTTGCTATAATAAGCTTACAAAGTTGGAGTGAAGTTCACAACTTCCCCCTAAACCCAGAAAAGATTTTCAATCAATTTCCCACTCTTGAAGTTGAAGTTTCTTGTAGTTCAAGTTTTGTTCTGATGGCCACCTCACAGAATCCGTCCTTTTCTCCCCATTCAGGAGATTACAGATCACGGTGGAGAATGACCAGATAAACCAGATATGATCTAAGTATGATAATGAAGAAGAAGAAATCCAAACGGTGAGAAATACAAATAACTGCCAGAAGGCAGCTTGCTTGCAAATTTTTGGCAGGAGTAGAGCAGCAACAGCAGAAAAAGAATAGCAGTGTTTTTTTATTGATTAGTTTTGTGTGTTCTTTTGGGGGTGGGTGGTAAGTGTACAGATAAGGAGAATAGTTCTCTTCCACTTTATAGATAGTCTTTTCTCTTTTCCTTTTCATACAAAGCTTCACTTTTTGTGTGTAAAATAGAGGTGTTTGTTGGCTTGGGTTGCTTCTTTCTGTGCCTTCTGCGTTATGGCATTGTGAATTAGTTTTGTTTATCACTTTTATTATACCAACAATGAGATGTAACTTATGAACTCTGCAACTAATACAAAATATTTCACAAGTATATCTCCAAATTTTAGCTTGCTTGTCTCTCAAACTCACAGACTTCAACATCATGGGTACCCGACAAATGAAAACTCGCTCTATCGAATACAACAATAGACACTCGGTCGAATAAATTGAATTTTCTTAATGCGAATATATATTACCAAAGATCTTTTAAAAGTTAATGCTTTTGAAATATGAGAGTAGCCAAAGTTTATTGTTCTTAATTAATGTCCAAGTTTTAAGTGGAAATAATTTAAATCTTAAGTCGAAGAGAAAAATTGACACCTAAACTGCTAACCTGATTCGGTCGTTAAATGTGTCCTTAATAGAACGATCTATTCCAAACGAATTCATTTCAACAATCGTAAACTAACTCGTTAAATTTGTCCTTAACAGAGAACTCTCTCCCAAACCCTTGATTTCATTATAAGCTGCTATACACCTTAGCTTGTATCACAATTGTTTACTATTGAAAAATCTATCTTCTTTTAGTGGAACAAAAATGAAGGAATCCCAACTGTTAGATAGTACACCACACCATGAGTAAACTGCAAGCAAAAGTAATCTCCCACTGCTAGTAAACAGCACAATACACCCGCACGTATATAAATAGTAGATATCACACATTCACACTCGATCTTGAATGATGAACATCTTTGGTAGAGGCAGTTCTGCCAAACCCTTGACCCCAAATACAAGAAAACTGCACACATGGAATGTTCCCATTTGGCTCCCCTAGGGACCAAAGAAAGTTTGGTTTGAAAAAAAAAAAAACACACGATCGAGAGAAACAACAGCCAGAGTACAAGTATAACATTCTTTACGTACCAAACAACCCCTTTTTGTCCCCTTTTAGAAACAGGATAAATTTGATCAAGTTTCGAGCTTTGGCCATGATGAGCAGAAACCCAGTTGCTAATATGTCCTTGCTTCATTCTTCTTCTTCTTCTCCACTTCTCCTCCATGGATTTCAAGTTGTTAGGCTTTGTTGCACTTCTTCTTCTTCTTCTGCTGTTGGGTTCCAGTTGTTGCGGGGGACAAAATCTGGTTCCTGGTTACTACAAAGAGACATGTCCGGCGGCAGAAGCCATTGTTAGGTACAACGTTGAGGCTGCTGTGGTGAAGCGACCCCGGCTCGCTGCATCCCTCATTCGCCTCCATTTCCACGACTGCTTCGTCATGGTAAAATTAAAACAAAAAAAAACTATGTAGTAATTATTGGTTTATTAATTTACTAACAGTAATTATTGGCTTGTAATTTCTGACCATGGTTTTGGTTTTGAGAACAGGGTTGTGATGGATCTTTGCTTTTGGATAGAAAAGGTCAGATGCAGAGTGAAAAGGATGCGTTCCCAAACGCCAACTCGTTGCATGGATTTGAGGTGGTTGATAAGATCAAGAGTGATTTGGAACAAGCTTGCCCTTCTACGGTCTCTTGTGCTGATATTTTGGCCATTGCTGCTCGTGATGCCGTCGTTTTGGTAACTTTTTTCTCTCTAGTCTTACATCTAATATATGCATCCCAATTAATTGAATTGTCCTAAAGAAGTGCAATAACATGTACCATATATCATTCTCTTACAACTTGTATATCCATCCATATAATTACCCTGAAATCATTTTCATGTTTTAGGTAGGTTATAATTGAAATGGATTCTGGAAGATATTTAGTGAATTAATGAAGATGGTTAATTGAAATGGGAAATTACATGGAAGATATATATCAAATCAAATGCATGACCATTATGTGCAAATTCTTGCATAGTCACTATTTATCAGGATATACGATTCTTATCTCTATGTGATACACCATATCATTACGGTACGAGTTACACCTCATAAACCATGATTATGGACATTAGAATTATGCATGAAAACTCAAACCATATGTAAGGCATTTAATAATTAGTAGATATGATTATGTAGTCATCTCGTTTGATTGGACCATTTTCAAGTAAAGATGATAACAGGACTCACGTCACTACTTACATCCTACATTTGTTAATTTATCCATTGTTGAGTAGAGTATAGAAGTTAAATTTGGACCACCTTGTATATATGTTAATTAAATTGGAAAATGATAACATAAAATAACTAAGCATACTAACCCCATATGCACATCAATTCAACAATTCTTAATTTTAATTTTGTGATGTCCTTATCTTGTAAGTTAACTTACAAATTATATTATGTGACCCTATTTTGTTGTTTCTTTTGTGGGAAGAGAGGAGGACCAAGATGGGAAGTTTTGGTAGGGAGAAAGGATTCACTGAATGCAAGCATTGATGCAGCCAATGACTTGTTGCCTTCCCCAAATTCCACCTTAAAGGAACTCACAGACAACTTCAAACAACAGGGCCTTGGCATCAAAGATCTGGTGGCTTTATCAGGTAACACATGTGGAATTCTGTGACCAAATTGGAAAATGCAACAAATTAATTAATTCGTCCCGATCCATTACTCGATATAGATTTATCAGTTTCGATTTGTGAGTCGATTTGAGTTATGATTCTATTAGTTGTTAATTGTTTCGTTTCAATTCAAACTCACATGGCGGAAGACCTATTTATCATGTTCACAACGATTTTACCATAAATGATTTATACCTCGTAATAATTTCAGTCAAAATAACCTACCATTTGGTTTGATCCAAAGTTTAATGTTTAAGAAACACTATCGTACAGACCGGTCCAATCAAATTTATCGAATACTGAACCTCAAAGCATATAGTTTAAGATGTACGAAACGGTTGAGCTATTATTGAATCACAATTTTATTACAAAATACCCTACCAATAACTTTTTCGACACAACTACCTGTCACAATCATTGGTTTTATATGGCCAACAAAACTTCGATGACACCTATTGATGGTTGCTAATGATATGTTTCTCAGGCGCCCATACCCTGGGGAAGGCAAGATGCTCGAGCTTCAATGGAAGACTCCACGACCTCCTCAAGGCCCAAACCAACGACAAGTACCAAAGACACACAACCTTTCTCCAAACCCTGAGTTCCATATGCCCAAAGAACGACCAAGAACTGGCGCCGTTGGATCTTCAGACACCAGCCAGATTCGACAACCAATACTACCTCAACATCCTCGAAGGCAGAGGCCTGTTGGGCTCTGATGATGTTCTTGTCTCCGAGAAGGATGGCGTGGTTATGGGCCTAGTATGGGCTTATGCTTTGGACGAGGAGCTCTTCTTTCGAGAGTTTGCAAAGTCCATGATCAAGATGGGAAACAACAATGTGCTCATGGGAAGCCAAGGGGAAGTTAGGAAGGATTGTAGGTTTGTTAACATACCCTAGCTCTCTTTAGCTTGGTGAAAAAATGGGTTGCAAGAAATGAACAAAGAAAAACACTAACACATTGATAAATGAGTTGGTTTGGGTCGGTTCATAATGGGTCTTAGCTCACGTTTGTTAGCCAATAAGACCATCCGCAATGTGGGTGGAGGAAAATGTGAAAAAAGAAGAAAAAGTGGGAAAATTGGATGATTTGGTCAGAGTGTGGTGGTGGGAAAAGTGGGTAATCATTTTAGTATTTTTTTGTTAAAATCAATCTATAGTTGATTTTGTCACTTTATTTTCATATAATGATCATTATTATTACGTACTTAGTGATAATTAATTAATACGAACATTTTGACATAATTTTTTTTAATTTAGACATATTTTTTTTCATCACTAATTAAGTATGACATCATCAATGACAAAATCACAATTATAGGAGGAGACAAAAACACAGCTTTCCAAACAAGCCTTTGCTAAAATCAGAAAAAAGGTTGTCCTTTCCCATCCGCCACTTCCCCCCACCATTTGTCTCATGTGATGGGTTTTCCCACCCACTAAACCCACAAAACCCATTTGATCCCCTATTCCCCCCACATTGTGGTCACATTTCCCCTTTTTCCACAAAACCAACCCACGCTGTGGGTGGTCTAATGGATCTGTTCATAGTTGTCATGCCAATCGATTTTGAATCTGGTTTAACCAGTATCGATCATGAAATTGACATAACACTACCGGTATGACCAACATGATCGACTTACATATTCTAAGCAAAATGACATCGTTTTAGTGAATTTAGTTAATAAAAAAATTTATTTTTTTATGAATTTAAACGTTAATAGTTGATGTTATTTGTTGAATTGAAAGTAAATTATCCTCAAATATGTTTCATATATGATCAAATTCATTGGGAATATGCCAATACAGTACTATCACACTAGTATCCTCACAGCTATGGGGAATATGATTGGGAAGCTCATCAAGATTGACTTCCACACACAAACTGCTCAACGAGGTAAATTTGCCAGAATAGCAATTGAGATTGACATTTCGAAGCCGCTTATCCCAAACTTCTATCTTATGATTGCTTGCAAATGGTTGAGTATGAGAATCTTCCCAATGTTTGTTTCTCCTGTGGAAGAATTAACCATGGAAAAGATGATTGTGCTCCTGGTTTTGCTCTCCAATAAAATCTCGCACTTATAAAAAAAAAAAAGGGTAAAATCGGAAGGTAGGAGCAGAGGCGTTCCATAATTTTCATTAGTTTAGAAGATGATAATTATCAACCTTGTTTCTCGATTGACGTTCCATTTTTAAACTAATCAAATTTAAATTACCCAATCGAACTACGCGAACTTTGATCTCAAGATGTCGGGTACGTAGGCGATCGAAAGATTCAAGTCCATACAACTCCTAAAATATTATTTTATCATATTACACAAATCATTACCGATGGGTACATGATCAATTAATCGCCTAACCTATTTAAACAATTTACGATCGATGGATCGTGTTCAAATTAAATAACTATTACGTACCGATGGGTACGTGATCAATACTTTTCTAATCCATCTCAAACATATTACGATCGATGGATCGTCATCAAATTAAGAAACCATTACGTACCGATGGGTCGTAAGCAAACGTTTTAAAATAACTAAATGTCCGGCGAACTACGAGGGCTTTGATCCCGAGATGTCGGGTACGTAGGCGGCCTACGGGTCCAAGTCCACTAATAAATAAACCTTTTTTCTCCTAAATCTCACCAAAAATAATAGTAAATTCTTCCAACATAATTACATGTTGATGAACATGTAATATATTTTACAAGTGACATTTCATATGCGTAGTAAATCCAAATAGTTTCAAACAAACAAATATCAAATAAAAAGACAAATCAAACTTATAGTACCGATTTAGGGCGATGTAAGGGTGCTAATACCTTCCTTACTCGTAACCGACCCCCGAACCCATAAATCCATTTCGCAGACAGAGCCGAGTTAATACGCCCCTGGGGGGTGTATGTTTATCAAAGTCACGCAGCTAACGACTCAATCGAAGAATCGATTGAGCTCGAATCAAGAACGAAGCGTTCTTAATACGAACTTGGATCAAGCGGAACCAAAAGGACAAATCCACACCTGGGGATAGCTCGATTGGTATAAGAGGGTAGTTGCTCGACCACGATTGAAGAACATCGATTCTGCTAGCTCCTCTGCCGCCATCGTTTCTGTTTTTTTTTTCTTTTTCTTTGTTTTTGCGGCTGCAGAATCGCGCGAAACACAACCTCCTTTCTCGCCCTGACTTGAACGGGGCTCTGATACCACTTAATACGCCCCTGGCGGGGTGTATGTTATCAAAGTCACGCAGCTAACGACTCAATCGAAGGATCGATTGAGCTCGAATCAAGAACGACGCGTTCTTAATACGAACTTGGATAAAACGGAACCAAAAGGACGATTCCACACCTGGGGAACGCTCGATTGGTATAAAAGGTAGATGCCCGACCACGATTGAAGTGACTATTCAATCGATACAAGAGCTCACGAGCTTGGAATCCACCAAACTCAACACAAGTCGCAACTTGCACAAAAACCAAAAGGTTCTCAATTCGATTAATCAAAGTCCCAGTTTTTACAACGTAAATAAAAGGTATTTAAAGGCAAATAAACCTAATACAATCCTAATAGAGCTAGGCAACAATTAAGGTAAAAGTCTACACTAAAAAGGACACAAAAATTCGGGTTTAAACTCCCTTTCTTGAAGCACAAGCAAGCTGCCAACAAACAGTCAAAAAGCAGCTTTCGTAGTAACTTCGTGCCATTCGTTCGAAGCCTTCCCGAACTCTAATCCTTCATCCAATTCCTTCCCTTTGTACATAAACATACCTAGTTTCATGTTGTGGAAGCCTTTGGTCTTGAATCAGATCCATACTCCTCGAATCAAGCTCCAAAGTAGGCTTCACAAAACAGTTTCCAGACTTAACCATTTTCTGGCAGTTTTCTAGTTTTGAGGTAGCAACTTGGAGGCCTTGGAAAACAACCTTAATGACATCATCTGGATCCATAAAGCATACCATTGAAAAGTTGGAAACTTTATCTGCAAAAAAAACTATTAAAATAGAATTTCCACCAAGCCAATTGAGAGAACCATGCCTCCAAAGTATGTACCCTGAACACGGATTTTGACTTAGCCAAATTCTGCCTTTCTTCTTCCCAACTTTGATGGCTTCTTTGTCAAGTAATTGTGACGTGAATGGTTGGCAATTTGGGATCATATCACGAGTTTAAATCCTAACCGATTTAAGCTTGACGTTCCAAGTGTCCAATCCACTTTGAGAGATTGGTGGCGACTCCTCTTTTTCGCGCCGCGTCGCAGACGGACCGTTTGCGACACCACCATCTCTCAAGAGGGACGTGAAGAGGTTCTGATATCACTTGTAATACCCCGACCTTGTCTGATCAAGATATTGTTCGCTTTAGGTCTAGACCCTCACGGTTTTAGGCTTGAGGTGCATATCAAGGTTACTTTCCATAAAATCATCAATCCTTCCAGTGATACAGAGTGAGCACGTTTATCTTCAAAGTTCTTATAAGAATTCTTTCATTTCACCCAAAATGCGTCTTATCAGTTAAGATCAGTTACTATTAGTTACTTATTAATCATGGATCTCTCTTATACTTTGTAGATGTGAAATTCGGTCTTAAGTGTTACACTATAGCTCAAGTCTTTGTGACTATTAATTTTTATTTTAATACTGGTCAGCCCCTCACAACCAAGTTCTTTTCTTTCATTTTGTGGTTATCTATCATTCCACTAACCGTATGGTTGTGGTTTGCATTCCTTTTGAAAATACAGGAAGTGTCATCTTCAAACGATTGTGGTAAATGGAAATGAAGCGCTTCATTATCAGTAGAATTCTGGCCTTACGAAAGTCTGGTGAGGTTGATAGATGTTAGGGCTAATTAGCATTAATGTGATACAGTAATTAATAATAAAGTCTTAAAAAATAAACCAATTAATTCCCACCAATGCACTGGCCATACCTGGATGGGTTTGCAGGAGGAGCCTCCATACTGGTTTTCGATCGTCCTTATAGTTATTGTCTTGTCGTTGTGGACGGACGAGTGGTAGTTTTCCGTCCACGGCGCCGACAGCCCGGCCGATACCATTAATGGAGCTCCTTAATTATTTTCGAGCAAAGAAATTAAAGCGCGTCAGGTTTCTGCCCCACTGAAATTTTCTGGACGATATGCGCGCAACGCGCACCATTTATTCACTCCTCCTGTACATTACATTACAGTACTGAGCTTAATTTCTAGAAAAGCCTGCAGCGGCAGCCTTTGTGATAAGGTTAATAATCACTTATCTTCTCCATCAGAAGAAGAAGTGTGTAGGTTCTCTTTGAAAATGGCGTCAAAGGAGGCTGGCGGTTCTCTTCCTGTTCCCAACGTTCAACAGCTAGCTTCGAGCTCCAACGATGTACCCATTAGGTACATACGCCCTGAACTCGAGCTCGAACGAGTTTCTAGTGATGATGAGTATGTTCAAGTTCCAGTGATCGATATGCGCAAGCTGGCTGGTGATGATGATGATGGCGAGTCGGCTAAATTGCATTCGGCTTGTAGGGATTGGGGATTCTTCCAGGTATATGAATCGTCAAAATTCTTGATATTTTTCTTTTACCAACTCGGTTTTGGGATGAGAGCCTTTCAATTAAAAGAGGGAATATAAAAACTGTGTGTACTACTTGACTGATATCATGTAAAAAAAAAAATTAGGTGATCAACCATGGGATTGCGGAGGAGGTGATTCTAAAAATGAAGGCAGATATTCAAGAATTCTTCAACCAACCAATGCAAGTGAAAATGGAATCTGCACAGCTACCAAATGGCATTGAAGGATACGGCCAAGTGTTTGTCGTATCGAAAGAGCAAAAGCTTGATTGGGGTGACATGTTGTTCATCGTTACAAACCCTGTTAATGAAAGAAGCATGGAATTGTGGCCGAGAATTCCCTCTTCGTTCAGGTTTGTTTCCTTTCCGTCACTTTTTTTTTTAATAAGAGTGATCTATATATAGGTTTTATTCTGTTGTCATTAGGATATCCGTTAAGGAAATTCAAACCTCAGACCTCCGAATTCTAAACTAATGGTATTATCACTTAGCCAAATGCAAGCATATCTTTCAAAGTTGACAAAAGTCTGTCTGGTTTGTTCTTGGTCAGAATCCAACATAATTATTAATTTTTGCCAACTACCTTTGCTAAATCATATTGTATAGACTGGATGATATACTACTCTTGTCATGATTCTTAACCGTTTTCCCACCATTAAAATCTTGGAGTAAGAACATCCATTAATCTCATATAGCTTCATAAACATGGTTTGATCAACCCCCACGTCACCCGCTAATCAAACGTTCTGGTTTGTCCTTTTTGCACCAGGGCAACTCTCGACCAGTATTCGATAGAGCTAGAAAAGCTGGCTAGATGCTTGCTGAGTTTCATGGCCAGGAACTTGGGGATCGAGTCTGAAAAGCTACTCACTTTGTTCAAAGAAGGATTGCAAGGTATGAGAATGAACTACTATCCGCCATGTGAGCAAGCTAACAAGGTCATCGGTCTTGCCCCACACTCCGATGGTAGTGGATTGACTTTGCTGACTCAGGTGAATGAAGTACAAGGTTTGCAAATCAGGAAAGATGGGAAATGGGTTCCCATTGATCCCATTCCGGGTGCCTTCATCGTTAATATCGGCGATGTGCTTGAGGTAATTAAGAATAGCAAAACTCAAATGGATTGCGACAATGAAACACTCTTTGAACATATATCAAAATCAATTCATCATTTTAGTAATAACATCGCAAATGCATGGACCACAGATCATGAGCAATGGAGAATACAAGAGCATAGAGCACAGAGCAGTAGTCAATCATGAAAAGGAGAGACTATCAATTGCAGCATTCCATAGTCCAAACGCCAAAGTCGTGATTGGACCATTACCAGAGATTCTCGTCAAGGATCAAAAGAAACAAGCACCAAGTTATAAATCCATATCGCACCAAGATTATATAAAGCTTGCAGGGAAAATTAAACTCGACGGGAAAGACAAAGGCTTCATTCATCATATGAAGATACAAACGGAAGAAGAGCAGTGAATTCAAGCCCCTCCGTGCGTGGTAAAAAAAAAAGTAGCCAAAAATTTCAAAGCTGATGAATCATGCTAGTTGAATGTTGTAATCTTGTATGCGAATTACTCATTTGCCAATGAGACATTGAAACTCTGTATTCAGTGGCAAAGTCAGAATTTGAAGTTCGGGGTTTTAATAAAAGTAATAATATATAGAAAATATTAATAATTATCTTTTTTTTGCAGCATAGATCATTAAACTCATTTAAAATACCATTAATCTAACATTTATGTTGCATTTTCAGTGGGAAATTGGGACTTTGAAGGTAGCTGAAACAAAGCTTGTACATGGAGGACTTGGAAAATACTAGATAGGCTATATAATTTATAAATATCAATAGTTTTATAATATTTTTGCTTCGCAGCGGTAAGAAACTAATTATATTTAAAATTTTATTCATTTATAAATATATTTAGTTGAAATCAAATAATTCTCAAAATCCGGATAAGTTATATTCATAAGTTTTACACAGTGTCTGGATCAGTGAGAATGAATTACGTCATAAGCTTGTTCAAATGATCATTAGAAATAACTATCCCTTAGTAAGTTCTATGTAATAGATTTGTGATTTATGTAACTATTAAATAATGTTGTTGTGTAAATACTATGCAAAGTGTGGTCTAATAATGAAATCAAGTTAGTTTTACGTAGAATTTTACTCATTACAAAAGACTTATGTTGTATTTCTGTAACTGATAACTAAGAATAACTATCCCTTGATAAGGTTTATTTATATAATGTATTTGGAGTGTATGTATCTCTTATAGAACAATGTTATGAAATCCTTCCTTAATGTGTCGTCTAATAATTAATCAAATTAGGTTTAACGTAGAGTTTTAATCATTATAAAAAGACTTATGTAATACTTTTTTGTAATTGATAACTAAGAAATAACTATCCCTCCATAAACTTTACATAATGTATTTGTAATGTACGTATCTCTTATAAGTAATTTTATCTATATTTTTCGTAATGTGTGATCTAACAATAAAATTAAGTTACGCAAAGTACTACATTTTATTAATTGATCTCTCGTAATGTGGTCAAACAACGAACTATATATCAAAAAGGTTTATGGTGGAAATTGGATATATGGGATATGTGTGCAGTAACGTTAATAATTGAGGAATTTTTATCATACAAAAAAAAAACAATGCTTAAGAAACCCTAGCGCGCCGGCTGAGAGGACCGGAAATATCGAGAAGACCTAAAATATTGAATACCAAACTCAAATTAGTAGGCGATTTTAGCGGTATAAAATAGTTGAACTATATATAAAAAGAGTTTATAGTGAAATTGGGTGTAGGGAATAAAAATTCTTATGAATAGTACCGAGGCAAAATTGTAAGGCCCTATTTTGTCTGTGAGAAACCATAACCTCGCTTGAGGTTTACTTGCGTTTAATTAATTAATTACTAAACCATAAGTCACAAGTTTTTTCAGTTTGCATTACGATCCAGATGATTCTTCGTCACAAACTATTTGGGCCCAGATGAGTACATGGTTGAGCCACTAGTGACAAAAACGATTCATTGGAATAATACCAATCCAAACACCTGTAGTACTAGTACAACTAGTATTAATTGCGACCAAGGTTGTCAACCCACGAGTCGACCCACTTTGATCCTGACCCGGTGAGAAAAATGGGTCGCAAGAATCGGCCGGGTCGATTGCTACAAGGTTTCGAGTTGGAGGTCAAATTGTGTGCTAATGACACAAATATTGTTTTTTTTTAATTTACCACAAATATGGTGGATTAAAAAGTATTGACACAAATATTGTGTTTTTGTGTAGAGTAAGAGGGGGGGACGCTGGAGACTGAGGTGGGAACGCCGTTTTGAAAATTTGGAACCTGTCTGAGGCGCTGGCACCTTAGTCTCCAGCGCCCCCGCCTTCACCTCTCTAAAACCTATTTTAAAAAGGTGTCGCAGGATTCCCTTTCTATCTTCTTCTTCTTCCCCCCCCCCCCACCCCCACCCTCCCGAACCAGAGCGCTGCTAAGCACAGTCGTCGACCCCGCTATCCCAGGCGCCCCCGCCGCTGACCAAGGTGCCCCCGCCACTGACCAAGGTGTCGCCGCCGCTGACCCAGGCGCCGCTGCAGAGACAAGAGTCGCCGCCGCAGACTTTCCACTCCTTGGATATGTCGTCCGACGAAGACGAAGCTGTCGCCGGCAGAGGCAGGGGGAGAGGCCAGCGAGGTCGTGGAGGCGGCCGTTTTCGCGGTGAGGTTCTCTCCGGCGGTGGTGTTTTTTAATTAATAAATGTTTAGCGTTTTTTTAATTAATGTTTTTGTTTCTTTGCTTTTGCAGTTCCTAGACTTATGGACCCTTATTCGATGAGACTACCACCGGCGACAATTGATCCAGCTCCGGTCGATCCGGTACTTCTTTGGGGACATGGCCAGCATCGTATCGACTCAGTTTGGGCAAACGAGGTAAGTATTTGATAATTATTTATGTAAAGTTAATTAGTTAATTAGATTATTTTAGTTGGTGAACTGAACTGTACTGAAATTAGAATAGGATAACGTATCAAATTTTTTTACATTAGTATAATTTGAGATTAGATAGATTAGAATTTATTAGGTGAAAATTAGAATTATTACGAATGAAATTAAATTAACATAAGTTTTGTGCACTATAGGCTGGTGATCGATCTTATCATGTTCGAGGTACGACCAATTTAGTGATGTACCATGAGCTTTATCGGCCATATCTCGAAGCGGCTGGCTTGTTTAGTGTCGTGCCCCTGGTCCCGATGAACTCCGATGCAAGTTTGATTACTGCGCTAGTAGAGCGGTGGCGACCCTAGAAGTCGACCTTACATATATCGTTTGGTGAGATCACGATCACGTTAGAGGACGTTGTTACACTGTCCGGTCTGGCGATCGACGGTGATGCCGTCGTAGTTGATATACCAGATGAAGAGTGGTCGGCGATCTGTTTGAGACTGTTAGGACGGGTTCCGGCTGATCTTTCAGGCGGTGTCGGTGTCGTTAGGACTGTTTGGCCGAGGGATGAATTCAGTCATCTGCCGGGAAATGCATCACAGGAGGTTATAGAGAAGTTTGCACGAGCTTATGCTCTATCTCTAATGGAAGGTGTACTGTTCCCGGATCGATCTGGAGCTACGGTGCACCTACAGTACCTACTTGTGATTGAGGATTGGCAGAGAGCTAGACGGTTCGCCTGGGGAGCTACTGTTTTATCCTACCTGTACCGTGAGATGGGTAGGTCGGCTTTTGCACATTACACATTCCGGCACTTCTCTAGGCGGTGACCTTGGTGGATGGGTCGCCCTACTGCAGCTCTGGGCGTGGGAGCGATTCCCACATCTGGCATCGCGACATTTAGAGAAGGCCCATAAGCCCATAATACTCGCTGAAATATCGAATGACCTGGTTGAGTCGAAGGAACTCTTACCCAATCAATCACCGATGTTGGCATTTTTCTCTTGACCACCCGCAAGAATGTTTGCAAAAAATCGTAGGATTCTTCCCAATTTCCATGCAATTTCTCCAATGCTCTTTGTTTTCCATACCAAGCCTTCTTGTAAGTAACTTGCATATTAAACTTATCTTTCAACTCGGTCTGCACAGTTAGAACACTCAGATTTGGTTGGGCACGTACCAAATGTTTGACGACCTCAGATATCATGTCGACATCAAGATGGCGATGATCCGTCGGTTGAGTCGTACTGCTACAAGAATGCACCAACTCAGCCTTTCTCACAGTCCATTCACCTCCAACATCTCGACATCTAAACCGCACCGTCCAAGGAAAATTGTCATCCTTGTGCCTCAAGCATCTGACCTTCCAGATTGAAGGTGACGACTCCACCACGCCATATTGAAAGTTGCGTTGTAGTGTGTGGTATTTAATTGCCATATGTGCAGCTTGTTTCGAGTGAAATATCTGCCCCTTGTAGAATTCTCCTACAAAACTATCAACAATAGGCATAGGAATTACGCCATATGAATCAGCAAGTGATAATTCTTCGTCCTCTTCATTACCTTGCAAGTAAATATATGGAGGATAATTAGGCTGCTCTCCTTCCCCCTCTTCTTCCTCCTCCTCCTCCTCCTCCTCCTCCTCCTCCTCCTCCTCTCCGTCATCACCGTCATCATAGTCATGATAGGAATTGTGCCATAAAATTCCAAAGCACATTCAAGCTATAATCAATCCACAATAGGCATCGAATAATGAAATAAAACACCATTCTGCCATTCTGGAAGACGATAAGTGAAACCTGTGATCACATCACTATCTTGTACTGCTTTGTCTCTACGCCGTATTCTCGGAATTAAATTCTCACAAAGTTTGTGATATGTGACCCTGGATGGAACCGTCAACTAAAAACTAATACCACCAACGAATTTGACGCCCAAATTATCCTCTACTTTCTCCGATTTTCACCGAACGACTAGTTCAAATCTTCTAGCATCACTACAGAAAAACAAACTCACTAATTAAAACTAAACACAATCATAATAGCATTTGAATACTATAATTACAAAAATAAATGTGTCTCTTACCTATTAGCCATTTTTGCAGCAGCAACCAGAGCTCTCCTTTATCTTGGTCGATTTTTTTTTGTGGTGTGAATAACTGAAACGAAATTGGTGGCTGGTTTTATAGGGGGCTAGCCAGCAATAAGCCAGTGGTGCCACCTTAGACTTGGGCGCCACCGCCTGGGACAATTTCCCACCAACTCAGCTATGCCTCAGGCGGTGCCACCTGAGTCTTGGGCGACGTCGCTGTCACATTAATAAAACGATCCAAAAAGACAGCAAAAGCGGCACCACCTGAGTCTCAGGTGGTCTCGCCGATTTTATTCTCCAAAACAAATATCTGTGTCAATACTTTTTAATCCGCCATATTGGTGGTAAATTTAAAAAATAAAACAATATTTGTGTCATTTATCCTCAAATTGTGTCATTTTTTCTTTGGTTTGCGAAATGCGCCTATCAAATCTATTTTTCTTTTCGCCTAACTTCATCTTTGGAATCATAAGTTGAACATTTGAATATATATGTTATATAAGTGTGTGTGAATTTTCACTATATGTTGGATCTAAGTATAACATGTTATTTTGGTGGTATATTATATGTTATAACTCATATATATGTTAAATGAGATTTTATATAATTTATCAGGACAAGTACAATATAATGACTCTTTTCATATTTTCGGGCTAAAACTGGTGACCCATTAACCCTTGACCCACTAGCTCCACCGGATCGGCTCAACCTACGGGTTCACAACCTTGATTGCGACAAAAATTGCTCATCAGTCGACTAATTTTGTGTCTATGACCATGACCATGAACTCATTTAAAGAGAGAGAAATTCGACTTGCAGGACGCCAGAACTTAGATGCGGTAGAAACAACATTCCACTACAGTTGTCATCTTTTGGACGAGCCATCTGGCTGTTTCCTATAGCGCTTCAACTGAGAATTATTGATTTACTCTTTGAACGATAATCACTTGAAAGGAGTTTAGAGACTTAATAGCCCTCCTATCCTATGAATCACCCATGTAACTCTGACCTGTAGATTAGTCATATCCTTGGTTGACTTTCGCTGCACCATGTATTGTATGCCACATTACCTGACTGACATATGCTTACATGGTGGAATATCACTATCAAAGAACAATTAAGTTCCTACTTCCTACAAGCTAGCTCGTTAGTTTTCCCCCCTTTAATTTAGGGAAGTTGACATTAAGGGTGGTTTCCTCCATTTAAGACATTAATTAAGGTAAGGTCAACTAATTTTGTGTTTGTGGCACTGATCTTTGATCACCTAAGAAACCCTCAGGACCTGTATAAATACAATGCCCGTCATGTTTAGCTTCTCACAACTACAGCCATAAACTGTTGAAAGTAATCTCTATTATCTTCCAAAGCAAAGAGAGTTTCTGAGAAATGGTGGGAAAGGAGATTGGAGGTTCTCTTGCTGTTGCCAACGTTCAACAACTGGCTACGAGCTTGGAGGAGGTACCTACTAGGTACATACGTCCCGAGCTCGAGCTCGATCCAGTTTCCATCGATGAGCACTGTGTTTCAATCCCAGTGATTGATATGAGTAAGTTATTGTCTGACAGTCATGCTGATGGTGATGAATTGGCTAAGCTCCATTCGGCTTGTAGAGATTGGGGTTTCTTTCAGGTATGACTTGTCGAAAAAGTTACAATTTTGTTTATCAAACTTGGTATTTGAATGAGGGAGTTTAATAGTAACTAGTTGGTATTATATATCCACTATTGTTATTTCTCATGAATTGTGATGTTAACAATCTGCATGTCATCCAAATTGCTCCCGAACTTACTTAATGCGAAAATTGACATCTTGTCAAAAAACAGGTGATCAATCATGGGGTTGCAAATACGATGATGATGAAAATGAATGCAGATATTCAAGACTTCTTCAACCAATCATTACACGAGAAAATGGAATGTGCACAGCTGCCCAATACCATCGAAGGATATGGTCAAGCGTTTGTTGTATCGGAAGAGCAAAAGCTTGATTGGGGAGACATGCTCTTTATCATTGCACGACCTCTGGATGGAAGAAACATGAATATTTGGCCAAAAGTTCCTTCTTCCTTTAGGTTAGCTCTCTAGCTCTCACATCGCTTACCCATATGCATATACATATGTTCACAACTTAATTCTGATTAGACTTTGCTAAATTTATCAGGGTACGGACCAAAATACATTCTTGGTTTTACATCCAACCAACAACATGACTATAAATTTCAACTCGTAATCATCGTCTAATTCATTGTAGAAACAAAGCATATGTTATACTCTTTTTGTGATTTTTAACAATTTGTTCACCATTGAACTATGAATATAAACTTTGTTATAGCTTGATTGCTCCAACCGAACAGACCAAACTCGTTTGAGTCAGCCAATTCATCAAATTAGTAATATTTTTGGCTCAACCACCATCCATTTCTAGCACCCACTAACCAAAAGATTTGGTTTGCTCTTTTCCCACCAGGGCAACTTTGGACCAGTATTCAACAGAGTTGAAAAAGCTGACAAATAGCTTGCTAAGCTCCATGGCCAGGAACCTTGGACTCGAGCCAGGAAAGTTATTGAGTTTGTTCAAAGAAGGTATGCAAGGTATGAGAATGAACTACTATCCGCCATGTAAGCAAGCAACCAAGGTTATCGGTCTTGCTCCACATTCCGACGCCACTGGATTAACATTGTTGGCTCAAGTGAATGAAGTACAAGGTTTGCAAATCAAGAGAGATGGGAAATGGATTCCCATTGATCCCATTCCAGGTGCCTTCATTGTTAATGTTGGCGACATCATCGAGGTAATAATAGTAGAAATTGGTTCAATTTTGAAGTAAAGCCGCTTTGACACATTTTCGAAACCTATTCATCTCAACAATAATCTTGAATATGCGTTGATGACAGATCATGAGCAATGGAGAATACAAGAGCATCGAGCACAGAGCAGTGGTGAATCCAGAAAAAGAGCGACTTTCGATTGCAGCATTCCACAGCCCAAACTTTAGTGCCACGATTGGACCATTGTCAGACCTTCTCACCAAGGACCAGAAGGGACAAGCACCAAATTACAAATCCATATCACACGAGGATTATTTGAAGCTTGGGGCAAAAATTAAACTCGACGGCAAAGGAAAAGGCCTTATTCATCAAATGAAAATAGGGTTATAGGTATAATATGCCCCCTCTACTATGTAGTTTTATCAAACATGCCCCTTTACTATTTTTTACATCAAATATGCCCTTGTACTTTGAAAAAATTATCAAACATGCCACTCTATTAAAATTTCCATTAAAAAAATTGTCAATCATGGTTGAACCGAGATGTAGACGACCCGACATCGGCAAATGAGAAGAAAAATGTCAGTTTTGTCCCCCGTTTTATTTTTCTAGGTCTCGTTAAAGTGAAATTATTAGAGGTATTTGGCTCTACAAAAGAACCCAAAAAATTCTAAAGTGAAATTACCAGGGATATTTTAGACATTTGTGTTGCCCAAACCAAGGTACGACCGTGGTTGGCTGTTTTTGGATGAAAATATTAACAGAAGAGCATGTTTGATCATTTTTTTTAAGTACAGGGGGCATGTTTGATGTAAAAAATAGTAGAGGGGCATGTTCGATAAAACGACATAGTAGATGGGCATATTATACCTATAACCCATGAAAATACAACCTGAAGCCATCGATGGTGAAAAATAGTTGCGAAGTTCAAAATAAACTAGTTCAATGCATTTGTACTTTAAACTGTGTAACAATGATGGAAAAGACGTATGATAATCCAATTTTATCGAGTGAACAATGATGGAAAAGACGTATGATGATCTAATTTTATCGAGTGAATTTTTAAATAGTTACTTCATATATTTAAAAATAACATCACTTATAGCAGTTATGAGGATGACACACCCATTGCACTTTTTTATGATGAAAATATTGGCGTTAAGGGTGCCCTAACCGTCTAGAGATTAATTAATGCTGGAGTTTTACAGCCTTTTCTCCATTCAAAAAATGCAGCTCTCTCCTTAATTTTCGCCAGGGGTAATTTAGTCCTTTTATTCCATAATTTTTTCCACTTCCCGCCCAAAAACATCAATCCGCTGTTGCCACTTTCTGCCCTCTTGCTTTAGCCTTCTGTTAAGCCCATTACAAAAGCCCATCTGATCTGTTACAATAATTATTCGGGCCGCTTTGATTTTAGCCCATTGTGGCATCAGAGGAATCATCAAACAAAACTTATGGCTGGTTTGCACCTGCTGTGCATCAGCGGATCGGCCAACCTAGAGAAGCCGCCACCGAGTCACCAAAACTGGAGAAGACACCCGAACATCATCTGGTCATCCGAGCGGCGGCGACAACGCCAAACAGTGGGCACCACCCAGCGGCGGCAGTGACATCGGCGGCGGCGATATTGCCTTCCCACCTGTAATAGCATAGACCCAGCTGAACTCAAAACCCATACTTACCTTGGTTCCTGATTAGCGCATTGATGCAATTTTTTTTTATAGTTTCAGCGGCTTTGCTTAGTTTTGTTCTTTTGCACAGCGGTTCCTTATTTGCTGCCCACAACCACCCACAGGCCTACGTTCAACATGTTTTTAATGCCTCCTTGCATTTCAATCACCAGACTTAGGTACGTAATTGCATCCTTCTTTTGTACTTTTGTTCTTTTGGATTGATCTTGATTTCCCTCCACCAAACAAATAAACCTCTTCTCTGTTCAGACCCATATAGTAAGCTTAGTTTCTTCCAAGCAGCTCATGGCAACTGGGATGTCGTCAGGGGAATCGTCATCTTCAACAACTCAGCCCACTGTGGCAGTGCCCTGTAATTATCATAGCAGAAACTTTGTCTGAATTCCGATACAATTATGCAACCCTGCCGCCTATTTCTAACCGTTGATACTTTGTCTCTGAAGGGAAAGGTAGAGCTATTCTACCTCAACACTGCGAGACTGAACCACGAGGTTGCGCTGCCGTTGAGAGCATACACAACCGAATTCGACGAGGTCATTATCTTATTTCTCTTTCCATAGTGTACCGGTATGTAAGCATCTAAATTAAAGGTTGATAAATTGTTTATGTGACTATGTGAGGCAGAGACTGAAGTTTTGGAAGGACAACTAAAATTCATCACTTCTGAGCTCGGTAAGGCTTCTAGGAATAAAAGACGTTAACTGCATAGTTCCAAACGAGTCAATAGCCAAGGTATGTCCTCCAAATGATGGTAACCAATACGAACGCACCCTATTATATGTCGTACTGCTTATCTTACACTTCACTATGTTCATTATTTTCTTGGTTTTTGTAGGTGACGATGACAAATGTAGAAAGCTAGCAGCTGCACGAAATCGACTGTTACGCCGCCTACATTTACATAAAAAGCGTAATGGTCAGACTTTTAGGCGGATTTCTCATATGCAAAGTATGTCGTCTTTATTATCATAACTCACAATTTGTGTCCTACTTCTGTAGTTGCTTATGGTATTTGAGTGTTATAGAGCCATTTCCCATTTTCTACAGTTCATCATCTTGCTTATGGAAACCAGAACTCTTATTTTATACATTTTCAGGACTTCCCACTATTGAAGTGTTTTGTGTTGGCGAACCATCATGTATTTGCCAATTTTGTCAAGCTTCCATGTGGCGTCTTGAGAGCACGGCTTCAACACGAACGGCTGCTACTCCTGTTTTTTCACTGTGCTGCAAACAAGGGAAGGTTAGGCTTCAACCTCGCCGACAACCACCACAGTTCTTAAAGGATCTACTTGAAAGTGATTCTCCTCTTGCAAGACACTTTCGTGAGTATATACGGAACTATAATGCTGTGTTCAGTTTTACTTCGCTTGGGGGAAAGTTGATCATTCTTTAAATGATGGGCGTGGAGTTTATGTGTATTCCATTGGTGGTCAAATTTACCACCGAATCGGAAGCTTGGTTCCAGTTGGAGAAGCTACCCCCAAGTATGCGCAATTGTACATCTATGACACAGCTAATGAAGTCCGCAACCGACTGGATTTTTTCTCAACTGATCGGGATAGAAATCCTTTGTTTTAGGGACCATTCTTATTATGTACAAGATGTTCTTTTCCCACTTTGTTGCGTCCTAAATTACTCTAGGGAAATACAAGTGATTGTGTTTGACATTTGTTAAAATTGTACCTATATTCAAACGTAGCCACTGAAGGGTTTTATTTGGATGAGCAATCCATGCATGAGCTTGAGTATGGTAAGAGTGACTGATCAGTATAAATAAATTTTTATTGAGTATTGGACAAGTTCAATGTAACCAAGACTATAAATTTTCTAAATTTTGATAACGTGCATTTGATTTAGATTAAAAATATTTGTACAACTATGAATTTTCCGGCCAACGGGCCGGGCCCAAGCTAGTTATTAATCAAATCAAACGGGGAGTTTGAGCCTCAACATGATCAAAGTAAAACCAGTACGCCATCGTATTGCTCGAAATATCAAAGATGTGGACTCCTTCAGGCAGAGTTTGCCCTACAGAAGCTATGTAATTAACAACATAGTTAGCCTCACGGTACACTGATCGATCCAGTGCACTTTAAATTAGAACTTTGAAGTTAATTATCAAATAAATCAAAGTACCAACCTAAAATTATATAATTTAACCAATTGAATATCGTTGTTAACTCCACTCTCATTTGTATCTAGCCTAAATCACATCTCTATGAACCTTCGAAATTTGTGTTTGCATTTGGGTAGCCATTGAAGGAGAGTCATGTGTAGAGTTCTAGCAATATGACCTGCAATTGGTATCTCCCAAGCAAATTATATTTTACCTAAACCCTAAAAATGTCCGACTTTCTAGGGAGTAGATTAGTTGCATAATCTTCTGGTCAATAACCATGCATAATTCAATTAGAATCCGCCACATCAGCGCCTCATCTCTCTCGTGAAAAAACCTTTAATTTTTTCCCCCTTAATTTTAAACGGACGATTTCTCACTCGTTTTAAGTCAGAATTTAAATTTTTTTGTACAGTTAGATCAGATTAATTGTGCTCTTTAAAATTATATCCACTTTGATATATTCTTGGAACAAAAAAAATTGAGCCATTTTTTATCAGTCTATATATACCATATGGTATTGACTGGTATTGAAATAAGAGTATATCATATGGTATGAAAAGTGCAATGGTGTTATGAACATACCAAGACTGTAGGATGGTTGAATACATGATAGTATGAGTACACTAACTGTCATTTACGACTTTCAACATTGTGTACCACAAGATATCACCCCATACTAGGGTGGTATTTTGTGATATTGTTTGGTCTTGTATTTTGTTCACTCAGAAATTTATAGATCCAATAGATCATGATGAACTCGTTTCTTTTCTGCAAAAATTAAAAAAAAAACAACTTAAAAACGAAGAATATACCAGCCTTGGTCGTTTTCAATTGAATAAAATATGAATATCACCATCATAAAAAAAAATTGATCAACCACTGATATGGAAGTGATCCAATAGAAATTCTTGTGTAGGAATTAGGTGGAATATTCATGTTCATACCTAACATGTATTTTGAAGGTGAAATGTCGCCTTCTTGCTTACAAACTAACCAACTCATTCTTTTTAGGATTGATATTCGCTGCTTTAAAATATCTTATTTCTTGTCCTAATTAATTTAATTTTACTCTAATGCCCTTAGAGTAAACTTTCTCATTCTTGCAGGCATGGTTGTATCGACGGCAAACAGGAATTACATGCCTCTAGGACTAGGGATGGTAATGGATCATCATCAAGATCATCACCAAAATCAAAATCAGGGTGCTTGGACGGCCCCGCATATTTTGTTCAATTTTTTTTTTTTTTTTTGCATTTCTTTGCGAAGACTCCACCTATTTTCTTCGTCTTCGCCTCGCCGGCCGTTTTAATTTCCTCTCCGGCAATAATTCGTTCCTCCTCTCTCATAGTCGCTTGCCCTAATTCCGGTTGGACGCCGCCTCCTACCGCCGCCGGAGGTTTTTCTTGGGATCCTCTCCTCTATGTCTCCTCGTACTAGGCTGATCAGTACTCCTCGCTATAGCTGGCCTTTGGGTTCGTCAACGTCATCATCATTAACGAATCAACTCATTTCTTCTGATAGGCTGCGGATTTGGATTAGGGGTGAGGAAGAGACTAGGGATTGTTTGGTTATGATTTAGAATTGAAATTGGGGTAAGGGGTAAATATGTCAATTTGTTGCATTTTAGGGCGATAAAATTTGAATTTTAGGACGACTAATAGCGATTCAGATTCTTTTACGGGTGACCAATAAAAAAGTAACGTAAGTTAGTTCAATAACAAAATAGTCACAAACGTTTAAAAGGCGTGGCAAAAATGTTACATATGTATCCTGATATAACAAAACTGTCATTTCATTTTAGCTATAATTTCATCATAATAACCAATTAGTTTGCCAACAACATGCAAAATTAGTAGCAAATTATCAACCACCTAACAAACCTGAAAATTATCCCTTATCTAGAGCAAGCAAACTCGTCATTTTGGATGAAAATAATCAAAATTTGAACGAAAATACATGAAATAGTTGTTTTATTACATCATAATACTGAAATGATTTTTTTGTTACGTTCTAAACTTTTGTAACTATTTTGTTGCGGTCTCAAACCATATAATCATTTTGATCAATTACCTGTTCTCTTACTCAGTCAAGGCGGTTAATTTTACTGGCACGTCGCTTTAACAAGGAAAAGCCTACACAGGCTACAGCCGACCCTTATTATTTACTAGCTTTTACCCGACCTGTTGGTCGGATGATTTCATCTTATTTTTCATTACTTCATAATAATCGAAAGTGATATTTGCACTACTTGATAATTGTGAAATTGTAACAATTAGTTCATATGTATTTTTGTTAATCAGATTATCCTAACACACTACGGCCTATACATGTTTCGTATTAAAAGAATTTGCCCTATTTATTGTATCATAAATTGCTTAAAATTATTTCTTTATATTGGTATTATTAACTTGGTTTACTATTAGATACAAACAAAACTAAAACAATTATGCATTAAATTAAAATAGTAATTAGAATTTCTTCAAGGGATTAACTTATTGCTACAAAAGCATAAAATTGATCATCTTAAGATTTCCAATCGTGCTCCATCAGACACAAATCAAAAACCTTTCACGAACATAATAGGAGGGAAGCATATAGCTAAAATAAAGAAGCGAAATGGCAGACCGATAGAAACAAATATCAAAAGCTGGCTGGTTGATGGCTGAGAATTACCTTGACAGAGAGAAGCTGCTAGTGGAGTTTTCGCTGAAACGCTTTCGTGGGTCTGTGTGATTTAAACTGCCTTTTATACGCATAATGCAGAAGGTGATTTCGTTTGCTGGCGTGAATCGAGCTTGGGTTGGTAGCTGAAATTACCTCGACAGAGAGAAGTTGATAGTGGCATTTCTAGAGGAAGCACTTTAACACCCCAATTTCTTCGTTAGAACATTACAGCCGCCGACGTCGAATCTCAGACATGGAGAGCAAGAGGAAATGGGTGGATCTAGCTACCTCCGACACAATCCCTATTCGACACTGAATTTGCCCACTGACATCCACTTGGACGTCGTCCAACCACTGACATGCAAAACAACCGTTTGATCCTGGCTTCCCAATGAAAGGAGAGGACGGAGAACGACGATAGAGATGAAGGGAGCGGAGGAAGGGCCCTCTACGAAACATTTAGGCCAACAGTGGTAGACGACTAATGTATCAATCCCTGGCCTTTCTGACAATCATTGTTATCCTTATCACCCAACATTTTACTAAACCCATTACCTATTGCAAATTTTAGGTAGAGTTCCTACTAAAGTACACAAATCCCCCTACAACAATTTAATCAGAACCACTGGTTAGACATTCACTCATGGAAAATTTGAGAAACTGGTGCAAAACTTTACCATCCTAAATTTGAAAATAGTGAAGTGTAAAAATAATTTAAGTCCATCCAACTATACCTGAAATAATAAGGGATCCCACAGTACATCATCATATACAACTAACATTGCTATGTAAGTTAAGCATTCTAGGCAGGGGCGGATACATGGGCCTCTAGGGGTGTCCCGGGACACCCCTAAAATTTGGGGAAACGAGTATCCAACCTCCGGTAGTAATTTCATATGTGTATACAAAATATAATTGGTAATCCGGGACACCCTAACATTTGAAAAAATGATTATCCTACCCTCGATAATAGTTTGCTTATAATTAATAAAATATAAGTGGTAGTCCTTGTTATTCCAACCTAGGACACTACTATTATCAAACATATTCCAATTATGTTGCTACTCATTTCTTATTCTATTTTAAACATCATGCAACAGTTTAACGCTATTTCTTTATCCCCAACTATTTTCAATACCTAATAATTAAACTACGTACACGCTACCCTTAATTTTGAATTGATTTTATGGTTACATGGCAAGTGTTGAAAGAGTCTTTTCTACTTTGAGCTACATTAAGAACAATGTTAGAAATCGAATATGTGATAAGTTCGTGAAGTATTGTCTAGTAGGATATGTAGATTTTTTGAACAGTGCAGACACGGAGTTTATTTATATTATTTTTTCAAAATATGAATTTTAATTTATTATTTAATAAAAATTTTATAAAAATTATACAAGTATGATATTTTTAATATACGAATTATTTATAATTAAATTTAATTTTTGAAGAGGACACCCCTGTGAAAATTTTCTGAATCCGCCACTGATTCTAGGAGCTAGGAAATATGTAGCGTAATGTAGTAGTGTTGCAACTTGATTAGAAGATAGAGCCATAGATAAAAGAGGGGAAGAGATAGTGTATATATATAGTTATTGTTAGAAGGCATGATGATTTGCATGATGCTCCATGCATAAAAAGAAATGGATTCACAAACATGGTGAAGTATTCATACAAAGTGACTTAGCAAAATAAAACGTGTAGGTATAGAGAAACACACAATCCACTCAGCTATAATGCGTATAAAGTCATCGATAAACCTAATTGAACATTCATGAGAATAAACATTCAAAAACTCGATCATCTGTGCATCACTTTCTGAATTCACATGGACCTTCCTCTTTAGTGACTCGACTAACGATGTTGCAATATAATATCATGGTTTGCTTGATCAATTTTGGTGCATTTGGCAGCATCAAGGTCACCAACTTCATGTTCACTACTAATATTATGGGAGATTTAGGCATTAATATTTTTAGTATCGAGCAAAGCTTATTGATACATCCACACAACCACCCTATCCATTAAAAAACACGAAATATATGTAGCTCATTAAGCCATGGAGATTCAGGAAACACATATACAATGTAGTGACAATACTAAACCACATAACTCAACTTTTGAACGCCACAAAATTTGGCAAAACTACAAAGATGTAGAGATAATAATAACTTAACAACTTTACCAAAACTCATACCCGCAACACTGTCTAATTCTATTATAATAATAAAAGTACCTATGTAGCTAATTGAGTACTACTTTTCCTTACCTAAACTTATGTAGGGAAGCTATGAGAAACTTCAAATCAAGAATAGACACAGCAAAATAAAACACCATGACAGAATCTACAAAAGGCATTCATCCTTCGTTGGTGGCCAGCTTTTAATTTCCCTAGAAATTTATTAGTTTCCAAGAACATAACAAACAAAAAAGGCCCGGAGGAGAAATCAGTTGTGGAACAGAATACTCTATATAATGATATGATAAGATGAATGCATCAGATCTATGTTTGAGACATAACTTAGGCCTATCAACTCCGAGAACAACAGGCTGAATTTCAAATGAGAACACAAAACTTTAAACTAAACATTGTAGATTCTAATTTTTCACTAATTGTCTTATGAATACTAATGCTAAACCCTTATCATTTCTAGCAAATCCTAAGTTTTTGTCATGAACAATAAAAATGAAGGTATCTCACAGAGAGTGAGCCAACCCATGGTATCCCAAAACCGAAGCAGGAAACTTTGGGCATTCTCATTTAAAAAAACACCAAAAGGAAACACATGTTTATTTTGTGAGACAACTTATCCTGCTGCCACTCACCAATACAAACTAAAAAGCACATCTCATGAGAATATGTAAAGCATGGTAAGGCTTATCCCACCACTGCTAATGTCACAGTCTGCGCCAGTCATGACACCTTCCAAATTGAAAGCTGAAGGAAAGAGCAAAGTACCAACTTGCACGCCACGACGGAGGGAGACAGTGCAAGTGGCACCAGCAAATCCGACGATGGCTAAAGCCGAAAGTTTGATTAGAAAACTCAAAAGCGAAAAATAGGGGTGGTGGGTTCCTGGGACGAAGAGGGGCAACCCGGTCTCCCGATAACAGGGGCGGAGAGAATAGTAGGAGAACATCGAATGTGGGGTTTCCAAAGGGTAACATTAGTGCGACATGCCTGTAATTCAAACATGGAGAATAGAATACAAAGAACAAAACAAAAAATGAAACACAACAAAAAAGGAACAATAAGAAACTGAACATAAAAGAATAGAAAAATGAACCACGATGGAAATCAACAACAAATAAAGCCCGCAAAAGAAAAAGGTTAGATAAAATCGACTAAAGGTGAGCGAATGTGATGCGCTAAAACACAACACCTAACAATGGCCAAGTGTAACCAATGAAAGGGACTGCAGTATAGTGGCACAAGTAATAAGTATCGAATCCACGGGTCTCTAGAGTTACTATTACTCAACTTCAGTTCATTATCTAGCAAATTAGATTAAGGATTGATTAACTAAACTATTCTACTAACTAAACTAAGTAAAACTACTAATTACAGTTTGGGAACTCACTTAGGTATGATTCCCCCTAGCTCCTTAATTAGGTCCAAGTTTCAATTACCTCTGGTTGTTTTACTGTTGATTAAACTGCGGAAGATCCGACAGTAGCTTGGAATCTCTTAAGCTGACCAAGCCCTCTCAGTCTAACTATCCGGCAGACGACTAGTCTTCACCGGGATAGAAAGCTGAAGCAATTAGCACAGAACTCCACTACTGGAATTGGATTCCAGTGCAAAGCAGTAAACTGGCTAACTCTCGTATAGCCAATCTCCTACTACCGAATGATGAGGCTCTAGCAACCTAATCAGATTCTATCTATCTTAGGTTGAAGCAGAAATCAGGAAAAGTTGATCAGACTTCAATTGACTCAATAAACATGCATCATTCGATTATAATCAAACAATATAGCATCCAAAACTTCATACAAGAAAGATCCTAACTCATGGAACTAGGGTTCCTCAAAACCTAAGTGAAGGGAAGTTACTCCATAGAGAAGAGAGAGACTGCAGAAATCTGATCTAGATCTTCAATCTCCATCTCCAAGCTTGATTCCCGAGCTCCAATGGCGAAGAAATCCTCCAAAATAGCTCCAAGAATGTTCCCAAGTCGCTCTCTCTCTCTAGGGTTCGTCCCTTGGGTGTTTGGGATCCAAAACCCAGCTCTCCCTCTCTCTTGGCTCGAAATTGGCCTCAAAAACCCGATTCTGGTCGAATTACGGGCTGAATTACGGTCGTAATTCTTCCATGCCCGTATTTTGCCCAAAACACGCGTTTTGGTTAAGTTTCAGCGCACCCAAAGCTCCTCTCGGCAGTGAAAATACGGGCATGGGAGGGGAAATTACGGTCGTAATTCTCCTGCCCGTAATTCTTCCTCCGCTCCTGTTCAAAGCTTCGTTTCTCCCTCGTCCGGACTCCAAATCAGTTGCCGTTTGAACCCAGACGCTCGTAGTCTCGTCCTCTTTATTTTCATAACAAAATTTCATGATAATTTGTCCATTATATGAGGTAGAAATCCATTATTCCTCAGGTCATGCTCGTGTTTCTTCTCCCGAATTGCCAAATGATCTCCGATTGACTTGAAACTTGCGCCTACGCTTCACTTTATGTGCTAGGGCCTGAAATGTGACAAAGGAACACAACCTAGCATAAAATAGGCCAAAGAAGCGATAATGCAAGCTTAAACAATCAAGAAACAAAGGGGAAAACATGTGCAAATATCGAGTCATCAAATCCCCCCACACTTAACTGTTTGCTTGTCCCCAAGCAAACCTAACTCAAACCAATGCAGCTCTCCAGACCTCTATAGCAACATACAACCCTGATCGTCGGTAGAGGATTTCCTAGATCATATAGCAGCTTACGAGGTCAACTGGTCTTCTAAGACGTTCCCTATCTCTCTCAATGCGAGTACTAGACTCAAGCCAGGATCATGAGAAGAAGTAGAAGTAAGACAGTCAGTTCATGGATAAAGGGACTCACAGCATTCACAACCAAGAACTCGATGTACCGGGGTGCTCTTTCACTTCATTTCACCGTTGGAACCCCTTTCACTTTCATTTTACTTTTTTTTCTTTTTCATTCACTTGGCGGGGGTTCCAACTGCAGTCTTTTGCACGGTCGACCCTTATTAGTCGAGCAAGAGCAATTTATGTACATCTGGCGCTCGCCAGAGTACTTCTTTTAACTCCTTTTCCTCAACTCGTGCGGAGGGTCAATGAAATTAAGGGGGTCGGAAGCTCTATCAGTGCCCTTAAAAACACATCCTCAAGTAGGCAAACCGTTCAACGGGTGAAAATTTTACTTGTACTAGAGATAGCTTAGCTTCACCTTGTAGGAGTACCCCACTAAGGATCACTAAAATCTCTTCCAAAACCCGATTTTGTGCAATGAACGGTGCCACACACGTTGGGCTTACCCCATGTTTAAGATTTAATGATTTCGACATGGAGGACCAACTGCTTTTCATTTTCCACATGAGCACCCTGTTCGATACACGAGTCCATAACACAATTCAAACAGAGTCACCATTACCACATGAATTCAACGGTCTTAGCTCCACTAATTCACAAAATCAACTGGCACAGCAGAGAGCTAGATAGAAAAAATCTTATACTTCAACATCCTCCATAGTGCTACACTACCTCCCTAGGTTGCACATTACTATAGAGACTGTCAATTCAAAGCATACTGAGCAGGCAATTTGCAAGGAAACACGTACTTGGAGCCCTCAAATTTAAAATTTTGGACAGTGGACTAGGCTCCAAGCACACAAACAGCCAAACATTCACCCGCATACATAATCGAACATCAATCCCCCCACACTTAAGCACGACATTGTCCTCAATGGAGGAAAGATAAGGAGGGTAGAACGAAGTTACCAAATCCAGGGTGAATGATGGTGGACGAGGCAAGCGGTGTATTCCAGGAGGAGAGAGTGGTCACACCCCAAACACCACACAAAATCTCACAAAGGTTGAGTTATTGACTCTAAAATCAAATAACAAAACTGACTCAACCGAGGAGAAATAGAGAAAGAAATGCAAACCGACTGGTTGGGTTGCCTCCCAACAAGCGCTTCTTTCACGTCGTGAGCCGGACGATGGCTCCTAAGTTTCGGTCCATGCTAGAACCTCCTTGAAGTTGAGGTTCTCGTCGATGAGGTGGAGTCTCAAGTCACGAGCATGTAGTGTGGCAGGTGATAAAGGCTCATGTACTTGATGCAGATGAAGTCTCCACCCTCGAGACCTCTTCTTCTCTTCTCTCGTCTCATTGTCCCAAACCAGATATGACAGCATCGATTGGCCACCATCGCGTCCACCAAGAGGGACCGATGTTGATGTGGCCTTGGTCTGGCAAAGAGACACTGCAAATGGGTCCTTGCTAAGCAGTTCCTCAAAGTTTGGTGGGGATATCACTTGCAACTCATGGCCGGTGCAGGCCTCTTCCACCTTAACTCCGTTCTCAGCCTGGACGCCAATTGCTTCTTCAACCCCCCCTTTCTTCTTCATGTGGTATCACCCCTGGGAAATGATCAAGAACTCCTCCTGCTTCACTTTCGTCATCCTCCACAACTTCTTTCTGCACCCTTTCTTGCTCTTCTTCTTCTAGCACAAATTGGAGAGCAAGTCGCCATGTAATTTCTTCAATGAGATCATCTTGCATCTCCTCGCTCGGGCCCAGCATGTTAGAGCAGAAATAAGGAATTGTGTGATCTGCAACCAGAGGACTTTCCTGATCATGATTATCATGGGAGTTCTCTGTGATAACTTATGTATGCTCCTCAACATCCCCATAGCCTTTGTCATCCTCCACCTCTTCTAGCGTGGTAGCAGAAAGGTGATCTTGAGCAAGATGTGAGCAAACTTGCTCCACCCACTCTGTTTGCTTCGCTGAGCGCTGAACAGTCTCCTCCATATCATGGAGAAATGAGGGATCGGAAGCAGCAAGGGCTTTGATTTGAAGATCCATCTTGGAGCATGATCTCTCAGTGTCTCGAGCAAACTGCTCAACGAGAAGCCTTAATTGTTTGTTCGGATCTTCCAGTGAAGTGTAGCATGGCTCTGCAGAGTGGCCCGTGAAGGCTGTGGCTAACTCAAGATCTGATGGCCCTTCTTGTTGTGGGAGGAATTCTTCTTGATAAGGAGATTGTTCTTGATATGCCCAGGGGTCTGATTGTTCTCCTTAGTAAGGGGGTTGGTACTGAAACCCGAATCCATAGTCTTCTCCTCCATGATTGCTCCAGGGAGTCTCGGGGTAATACCACTCGGATGGTGGTGGATACCCCCACTGGTTGGAGAAGCCACGCGGATCCATGATTCAGATCTGCACCAACAAAAACAAAAAAAAACACCCAAGTGAAAAGCAAGGGTGGAAAAGAAAAGAAAAACGCTAAAGTAACAAACTTCTGCCTTTCCTAATAATCTAGAAAGTCCCCGGCAAAGGCGCCAAAAACTTGATGCGCTAAAACACAACACCTAACAATGGCCAAGTGTAACCAATGAAAGGGACTGCAGTATAGTGGCACAAGTAATAAATATCGAATCCACGGGTCTCTAGAGTTACTATTACTCAGCTTCAGTTCATTATCTAGCAAATTAGATTAAGGATTGATTAACTAAACTATTCTACTAACTAAACTAAGTAAAACTACTAATTACAGTTTGGGAACTCACTTAGGTATGATTCCCCCTAGCTCCTTAATTAGGTCCAAGTTGCAATTACCTCTGGTTGTTTTACTGTTGATTAAACTGCGGAAGATCCGACAGTAGCTTGGAATCTCTTAAGCTGACCAAGCCCTCTCAGTCTAACTATCCGGCAGACGACTAGTCTTCACCGGGATAGAAAGCTGAAGCAATTAGCACAGAACTCCACTACTGGAATTGGATTCCAGTACAAAGCAGTAAACTGGCTAACTCTCGTATAGCCAATCTCCTACTACCGAATGATGAGGCTCTAGCAACCTAATCAGATTCTATCTATCTTAGGTTGAAGCAGAAATCAGGAAAAGTTGATCAGACTTCAATTGACTCAATAAACATGCATCATTCGATTATAATCAAACAATATAGCATCCAAAACTTCATACAAGAAAGATCCTAACTCATGGAACTAGGGTTCCTCAAAACCTAAGTGAAGGGAAGTTACTCCATAGAGAAGAGAGAGACTGCAGAAATCTGATCTAGATCTTCAATCTCCATCTCCAAGCTTGATTCCCGAGCTCCAATGGCGAAGAAATCCTCCAAAATAGCTCCAAGAATGTTCCCAAGTCGCTCTCTCTCTCTAGGGTTCGTCCCTTGGGTGTTTGGGATCCAAAACCCAGCTCTCCCTCTCCCTTGGCTCGAAATTGGCCTCAAAAACCCGATTCTGGGCGAATTACGGGCTGAATTACGGTCGTAATTCTTCCATGCCCGTATTTTGCCCAAAACACGCGTTTTGGTTAAGTTTCAGCGCACCCAAAGCTCCTCTCGTCAGTGAAAATACGGGCATGGGAGGGGAAATTACGGTCGTAATTCTCCTGCCCGTAATTCTTCCTCCGCTCTTGTTCAAAGCTTCGTTTCTCCCTCGCCCGGACTCCAAATCAGTCGCCGTTTGAACCCAGACGCTCGTAGTCTCGTCCTCTTTCTTTTCATAACAAACTTTCATGATAATTTGTCCATTATATGAGGTAGAAATCCATTATTCCTCAGGTCATGCTCGTGTTTCTTCTCCCGAATTGCCAAATGATCTCCGATTGACTTGAAACTTGCGCCTACGCTTCACTTTATGTGCTAGGGCCTGAAATATGACAAAGGAACACAACCTAGCGTAAAATAGGCCAAAGAAGCGATAATGCAAGCTTAAACGATCAAGAAACAAAGGGGAAAACATGTGCAAATATCGAGTCATCAGAATGACATGCCCACAGTTCATAGCACCGGATCTGAACATCCCGACAACAGATGAAGTTGTGACTGGTTAGCGAGCCTCCTTTGTCCTTTGTTCCTCTCCAACCAGAATTGCGAACTATTCGACGTCAAAATCGAGCGCATGGCCCTCTAGCTGGTTCCCCTTTTGCTGTTGCTCGGTTGTCATTCACTCAGTCTTGGAGAATAGCGTCGCCGACTATATCCATCAACAGGGAGCAATCCAGAACGGGAACTGGAGAATCCGAGTAGAGAAGGCCCCAATAGGCGAGGTCACACAAAAGAGATTTTGAATTTGCTCACCGACGAACCAAAATTGGAATCCCCACCTCTGGCCGTCGCAACTCAGAAACCTAGATCTTCCCCTTTCGTTGCCTGATACCCGAGTTTCCTTTGCAGACGAAAAAAACAAAGGAACTGATGCGAAGGGGAAGAGGAAGGAGCTTTGCCTCTGGATTTTGTTGTTTTGAAAATAAATACAAATTAAATGAGAACGTGGGCCTGGAAGGAGAAAAAGGTGGGTAGTGGACAGTTTTTTGGTTCTGAAATCAAGCGGGACTCCTTTTTTTTTCCGCTTAACACTCTGCCACATCAGCTTCCTAAAATCACTCTATGGGAAGGAAATTTTGAATGGGGGTGCAGTTTTACTTTTCAGCTATAAATTATACTGTTGATTTGTACACATATAGGGGTGGTAATCGGTCGGTTACCGGTTAACCGGTTACCGATTAACCGGTATTCGGTATACCGCACCCCAGCAAAATCCTGCCGATTGCCGATATCGACTTGGAGACGGTATACTGGTTACCGGTGTTCTGCCGGTTATCCGAAAGGGTGTTGCTAGCTTGCGTAGATGAAGAAGGAGAAATTTGATTTCCCGTTTCCCAATCCCAAACCTCTCTCACCGCCGACTTTCAAGCTCCCAAGCGACAAGTTCCAGATCTGGTAGCGAATCGGCGATGTCGCATCCCTCTAAACATGCATCCTTAGGCGAAGCGGCGATCGAGAAAACAGAGTACCCGGACTCTAATGTCGACGGCGGCTGTGAAAGAGGCTGAGCGACGATGTCCGATCAGATCTCGATGGTGGCTTGATTGCCGTTGATTCGATGGTTGAAGCCGGCGACACGGAAGCGACAGCGATGGTGTCGGGAAAGACGATGGCGACAACGATGGTGTCGGGGAAGCCGATATGGAACGGGAGACGTAGCGATGGCGGCGTAGGACAGAGGAGGAGTGGAGAAAGGCGATGCATGTCCATCTTCTTCCGGAAATCTCTATCGCTCTTTGATTTTCTTCCTCTGATTTTGCCCCAAACTCCAGAAAGGATGAGAAGAAAGAAGAAGTCCCTTCCGCTTCGCGCCATTCCTTTACTTCCGTCAGTACACTGTACCAGAGAGATGGCCCATGAGAAGAGAAGAAGGTAAATCTCAGATGGGGCAGGTCGAGAGGAAAGAATGAGAAGGAGGAAATGGACTGGTGATAGATCGAGAGGAAAGAATGGGGGGTATATCAAAATTAGGGGTTTTGGTTGCTTGTATCCGGTTAGCTTATCGGTATCCGGTTAACACGCCGGTTTCTGAAACCGGTTACCGGTATACTGGGACAGGCTATATGGAATTCGAATACCGTCCGAATTTGTTGTAACCGGTTAACAGTATACCGGTTACCGATAGTTACCGGTTCGGTAACCGGTTATACCGTTAACCGTTAAACCGTTTACCACCTCTATACACATATATGATTGATATATTTTATAGATATATATGAGTTATTCCAGGACCCAACGCAAGGATCAATAAAAACATATTCCACCGTCTCGACATTAGCTTCACTTTGATATAATTAATGCTAATTAATAGTCTCTACCTCTGAAACGAAGATGAGTTCTTAGAAGGTGTGGGAATGGAGTTTGGAGGATCTCTTGCTGTTCCCAACGTTCAACAACTCGCTTCCAGCTCCAATGATGTTGTACCAATAAGGTACATCCGCCCCGAACTCGAGTTTGAACAAGTTTCTAATAGGAATGACAACTTTGTCCATACCAATGGATTTCTTACTATCGAACTTAATTGGTTTGGGTATAAAATCCAAATAGATGGATATGGATAGAGTTTGATGGGTTTGTACCCATACCCATTTACTTTAGGTTGAGTTGGGTTTATATCAAATGGATTTGGGTTTGTACCCATGCCCAAATACAAATTACAGTTTGGTACCCAATCTTAATAAATATGCATATTTAGTACCTAAATTTAATTTTTTTGCATATAAGTCCTCATAATATCGATGGAAAATTACGTTTTGGTACCTAAATTTTTTTGGTCTTACATTTTGGTACCTAAACTTTTCAAGTTTTACAAATAGGTCCAATTTTTTGCATGTGTAGTTAAAACACCCTCAAGTAAATGGATATCCATATCCAACCGGGTTAATTGCAAGGATGGTCACTGGGTTTACTAAAACCGTTCATGTTTGGTCACTACAAAAAGTTAATTTCATTCATGGTCACTAAGATTAGTTCAATAGTTCAAGTTTGGTCACTCTCCGTTAGTCTCCGTTAGTTTTTGCTGATGTGGCAGTCAACTATTATAGTTGACCATTAAATGAGTGACGTGGCCAATAAAAAAATAAAAAAAAATAAAATATTTATAATTTCCACCTCATTTTACAACTATTAAAAAATAAAAATAAATATTTACAACCTTCTCCCAAAAGGAAAACCTTCATCATCTCTGCAAATGACCATCCTTCCCAATCCTCCACCGATCCTCTCCCTAGCCCTCCTCCTTCTCCTAACATCGTTCCCCAAATCTCCTCCCAGCTCTACCATTACCGGACCCAGAGGCAGAAACCATCTAGCCCTTCCTCCCTTTCAAAAAAAAAAAAAAAAATCTAGCCCTTCCTCCTCCCAACCCAGTCCCCGCCCTCCACCATCCCGGCCTTCCCTGAGCAATCCACCTACCAAGCCTGCCCTCTTGACCTCCCCGCCCCATTTTCCACCTCATTTTACCCCTCAGATTTCTCTCCCCCTCCTTTGGGTTTCTCTCCCCCTCCTTCGATTTCTCTCCGCCAACTACGCCGACGGCCAAGCAGAGCTCGGATACCAGAAGAATTCATCGTCGCCATAACCATAACCTTCCCCGTCATCAAGCTCCTCGAAATTCAGGTCATCTTCGTCCGATCCGCCGAGAATCCCGGCGAGTCCGTTCGCGGCGACGGTCGACCGACGTAAAGATCCGGATCCGAGACGTGGACGCCGTCCACGGACAACACCGACTGGTCCACGACGGTGCCGTTTTTGAGGATGAGCGGGGAGCAGCAGCCGCCGATTATCAAGAGGCGGTGCCCGGGGAGGAGAGTGTCGATGTAGGAACCGCCCCAGCCGCGGAGGGAGTTGGTTGGGAGCAGAGCGGGGGAAATGTGGCGGAGGAGGGAGCGGACGTAGCAGGGCACGGCGGAGGAGATGTTGAGAGAGTAGAGGAAGTGGTCAGGGGGCGCGAAGAGCGTGAACGCTGGGGAGGAGTTGGAGGAGAGGAGGCTGAATCGGAGATCCGTGGTGGCGACGGCGTTGGGGAGGAGGTAAGTTTTATTTTTATTTTTAATAGTTGTAAAATGAGGTGAAAATTGTAAATATTTAAATTTTATTATTTTTTAATGGCCACGTCACTCATTTAACAGTCAACTATAATAGTTGACTGCCACATCAGCAAAAACTAACGGAGACTGACGGAGAGTGACCAAACTTGAACTATTGAACTAATCTTAGTGACCATGAATGGAATTAAATATTTGCAGTGACCAAACATGAACGGTTTTAGTAAACCCAGTGACCATCCTTGCAATTAACCCATATCTAACCCATGCCCATTTAGATTATGGAAGCAATATTCATACATTACTCAAACCCATCTATAAACCCCCAAATCCATATGCACTTCACCCATACCCAACCCATTATCAATTGGTCTACTTGGGTTTGGGTATAATTACCCATGGGTGGGTAATTTGTCATCCCTCGTTTCTAATGACGAGTACTCTGGTCGAATTCCAGTAATTGATATAGGAAAACTCGTCGGTGCACATGATAATGATGAGGAATCGACTAAGCTCCATTCGGCCTGCAAAGATTGGGAATTTTTCCAGGTAGGCCACTCAATGTCCATAGTTCCATCCTTCTTATGCATATGATTCCCTGAATTTGATTCATTTAACTATATACCATCTTGAAAAACGGGTGATCAACCACGGAGTAGCAGAGGAAGTGGTTCTGAACATGAAGGCTGATGTTCAAGAGTTTTTTCGTCAGTCGTTACAAGAGAAAATGGAATGTGCACAACTGCCAAACGACCTCGAAGGATATGGCCAAGCATTTGTTGTATGATAGACGTTTTAATTATTCGGGTTTATGTTCGGTTTGAATTATTATGTTCGGGTTTGTTTTGGTTATTGGGAAATAATTTGGGGGATTAATAATTTGGGGTAGTTAGTAGGTAATTGTGTTTGGGTATTTAAACTATTGTTTTACGTAGGAAAGACAAGCAAAGATTAAACCTAAAACCTAATTGCTCTCTCTCTCTCTCCCTCTCTTCTCTCTCTTGGCCACCGAGCCTTCCCCACTCTCCATCCAAGCTGCCGATCGGCAGCACCCCTTCTCCCTCATTTCTTCTCACTTCAATCCTCCCAATTCACCCCTCCCCAATTCCCAAATTCCCGGATCAATCCCTAGTTGATCCCTAATTCCCAATCTCCCGATAGAGTTTAATCCGGAGCTCTATCATTTGGTATCAGAGCCTGGTTCTTGGGTTTCTGAGCAAACGAAGAACGACGATCGTGATGGTGTCAACGAAGTCCATGCAAGCAGCTGAGAAAGCCACCAAGGCGGCGCAGGAGCAGGCGGCCACGATGAGGCTGCCGTCCGCCGGTGATGGCATGTAGGGGGTTCCCAGTCAGCGGGACGGGGAGCTGGTAGATGAGACGGAGATGGAGATGATCCGAGTCAAACTGGCTCGCCTGGTGGCTGCGTTCGAAAGGGAACGCGTTGAGAGGCTGGCGGAGAAGCGCGAGCGGGAGGAGGAATCTCGGCGGATTTGGAGCAGGTTTGATGAGGTACAGGCGCTGCGGGGCGTGCAGCAACCCCCACAGAAAAGTAGCGGCGGCGATACAGGGGGAAGTGGGCTGAGCGCGACAAGGGAGCTGCCGGCGGGCGACGGGGCAGCGGGGAGTGACCCGACCGCGGCGGGCGGATCAGGGGGGATGGCGGCGGCGGCCGTGGTGAAGGAGGCGGCTGTGGTGGTGGCCGCGACAGGCGAGGGCGATCAGGTCGGCGTGACTGAACGGGCAGGCCACGGACAGCTAGGGCGCGGTGGTGGGCCTGGGCTTCTGCCTACACCGACGACCCAAGAGTTGGCGGCTCGCAAGGTCAAGGCCAAGATGCCCGGGTATGACAACAGGGCCCAGCCGACTGGACGTGGGCCGCCTCGGCCCATGGGCCGAATTGATGCAGTGGGCCCATATCACGAGCCCAGAGGGCTGGGGTGGCTGAACATGGATCCAGAGTGGATCGAGGAGGATCTTAGCCTGGTGGGCCAGAATGCACTGTGGGCCGACCCGACTAGAGCCAAATATTACGGGTGCCCGGACCCGGCAGTGGGCCGAGCCACGCGAGTGGGTCGGGGCAGGAGGGGCGGTGTGGGCCGGGTGGAGTCGGACCGGGCCGAGGTGGAGGGTCGACCAGTCGGGTCGATCGTGGCTTGACCGATCCAATTCAGACCGGGTCAGGTCGGGCGAACCAAGGCAAACCGGACCGGGTCGCATGATACCAGCTGAACCCGAATCGGGTCGAACCAGAAGTGAACCAAACCGGTCAGAGCCGAGGCTGGTTAGATCGGCCAGTATGGATCCGAACATGTGGCAAGGGTCGTACGGAGCAGGGTATGTGACGTGTCCGGTTGGGCGAGGTGTCGCGGGCAGCTTTGGGCGGGGAAGAGGATCACCGTTCTACCCGAACCAGCCAGGGGGTGACTGGGGTTATGATGGGTATGGTTCGTATCACCCTGCCTATGATGGAACTAATGGGATGGTCTTTAGAGCCAAGCCCCCGACCATTGAGTTCCCAAAATTCAACGGTCAGGAGGATGCAGGGCTGTGGTTGTATGCAGTAGAGAGGTGGTTCAGGAATCACCCCATCCCAGAGGGGAGGAAGGCGCATCTAGCATCCTTCTACTTGGAGAGTGAAGCCCTAGAGTGGTGGGAGTGGATGGAGAGAACCTACAGGGCGGCCGGAACCTTGATTACCTGGTCGATGTTTTAGGAGGAGCTCCGTTACCAGTTTGGTAAATCATAGGGGTGGGCTTCGGAGTAGTTGGCTAAGCTGAAGCAGACCGGCTCAGTCGCGGATCATCGTGCGTAGTTCTTCAAACTAGGCAATCAATGTCGTGGGGTCCCAGAAGAGACCTTGCTGGGGCTGTGTATGGCAGGCCTAAAGCCGGAGATTGTTGTTGTTGTCCGGGTCTTTGAGCCGGATTCCTTGAAATCTGCTTTTCGTCTTGCAGGGTACAAGGAAGAGGAGCTTGCGAGTTGGAGGAGCACCATAGGCCACTATCCGCGGGCTAGTGGCGCCGGAAGCAGTAGCGGGGTTGGCAGTGGAGGAGGAGGAGTGGCTGGAGCCACTACGGGAGCTGGGGGATCAACGGTGGCGTAGGCGCCAGTGGCTGCGGTAAAAGGTGGGGCACGGCCGCCACCCAAGGGGTTTGTGCGACTATCCCCGGCAGAGTTCGAGCAGAAGAGGCGGGAAGGGAAGTGCTTCAATTGTGACGAGAGGTTCACGATCGGCCATAAGTGTGCACGCCCGGACTTGATGATGCTGGTCGGAAGGTGGGAGGACGAGGCCGAGGATGAGGCGAGAGAAGGAGAAGAAGCGGTGGAAGGCTACCAACCTTGAGGACAAGGTTATTTTGAAGAGAGCGGGAATGATAGGCGTTTTAATTATTCGGGTTTATGTCCTGTTTGAATTATTCTGTTCGGGTTTATTTTGGTTATTGGGAAATAATTTGGGGATTAATAATTTGGGGTAGTAGTAGTAGGTAATTGTGTTTGGGTATTTAAACTATTGTTTTACGTAGGAAAGGCAAGCAAAGATTAAACCTAAAACCTAATCGCTCTCTCTCTCTCTCCCTCTCTCCTCTCTCTTGGCCGCCGAGCCTTCCCCACTCTCCCTCCAAGCTGCCGATCGACAACACCCCTTCTCTCTCCTTTCTTCTCACTTCAATCCTCCCAATTCACCCCTCCCCAATTCCCAAATTCCCGGATCAATCCCTAGTTGATCCCTAATTTCCAATCTCCCTGATAGAGCTTAATCCGGAGCTCTATCATTGTATCGGAAGATCAAAAACTTGATTGGGGTGACATGCTTTACATTGTTACACGTCCTTTTGATGGAAGAAATATGAGATTTTGGCCAAGGGTTCCCTCTTCTTTCTGGTTCTTTCCCTATATCAGTATTGACCAAATCAAATGCATACAACAAGTCTGCGTAATTAAAGTGATTCGTGAGTCAACTTGATTGCCACTTCTAACTAAACAAATGCGCTCACCTTCTTCTCCAGGGCAACTCTGGCTGAGTATTCATCAGCACTTGAAAAGTTATCGGTCATCCTGCTAAGTTCCATGGCAAAAAACCTAGGAATCGACCCAGAAAAGTTCCTCTCATTGTTCAAAAGAAGCCAAATCTCATTTAGACATATGTTGAAGCCAAATAACATCTATGCATTTTGATACTTTTAATCTCAATCCAATTATAAACAAACCGTAGGGTTCTAATTTTTTTGGGTATGTTTGGATTTAGTATTTTCAAAATCGTAGTGCAAGAGTCGGGTGATTAAAATGGTAGCCCCAGACCACCCTACCCATGTACACCCCTAACTCTAATGTCAATTTGAAAAAAAGAATTCACGTAGATAGTGTATTGTGCACATTACAGATAATAAGCAATGGAGTATATAAGAGCATAGAGCACAGAGCGGTGGTGAACCTCAAAAAGGAGAGGCTGTCTATTGTAGCATTCCATGGCACAAACTTCAATGCCATGATTGGACCATTGCCAGCCCTCTCGATGGGGATCAGAACCAATAACCAAATTACAAGACCACGTCTACCATAGATTATTTCAAGCTCGCTATAAGTTGTAAACTCGACGGCAAAGGCCTTGTTAATCAGATGAAGATACAAACGAAAGTAGCAAAATGAAGAAAAGCCCCGGAAAAAAAAACATTGAGATTGTTTGGATGGATCAATTCAAAAACTAGATATGTGTGCAATTGTTTCATTTTATAAAATGAGTCATTGTAATGAGTTCGAATTATCTACCCCGCCCTAGACACTTAAAATAGACTCAAACCGTATCAACCAAAATTCCCCAGCACCAATTGATCCATCCAAATTTTTTGTTGACAAATGTGTTAATTTGGTCTAATTATTTCAAAACAAGACAATTGTATCAAACTGATTCCCAAACAAGCCGATAGCTGCAAAGTCCAAACTCTGACGAACGAATGTTTCATATACGTATTACGTACGTACCCATTTGTATATGAGATCTATATACTCTGCAACCCAGTAGCATTATCCACCCAAAAATTCCAAGTTTCATGGGAAATCACAAGATGAAAGATATAAAAAAGCAACTGGTCTACCAACTTTTTATTCTCATTTTGCAAGGAACAAGAAATTCCTCCATTCAGAATCGCTTTCGCATCCTGAGAAGACGCTTGAGAATGCAATGAAATGACAGCTCAAAGAAAGTGCAAATCCAAGAGCTCTAGTAGCTAGGAAGCCTGCCAAAGCACTGAAACTAGCGCCCAAGTTTAGCAGAACTTGAACAGAGTAGAAGTAAATCTGGTTGATTTGGGAAAAAGGAGACGCATCAGCTCTTCTTTCCGAAGCTGAAATAGCGTCAATGTCAAATTGACGGGCCAAGTGGGTGATAAGAAAATATTGCCAAGAACACAAAGCCGTCCCTCTAGAACTGCCGCTCATTGATTCCGTCAGTCCCTTTCTTTGATTAGTAGTTAGTACTTAGTACTTAGAACTGATCCATGCACGTCAATTCCCTTTTCTTCGATTTGGTGGGTTGTTTGAGCTTGTGCGTGTCGTTTACGAGAATACTGTGAAGTGCCGTCCTCTGCCACTGCCGCCCATTGATTGTGGAAGTTGGACCTTCAAATCCTCTGTTTCTTTTCCTTGATTTAGAGAAGTTCACATTCAGACTCAGTCAACTAGTTTTGTGCCTATGACACTGATCTTTCATTGTTGGCACAGCCTGCAGCCGGCCATTCCAGGCAGGACTTAGTTTTTATATAAACAGAATCGCCGTTTCAGTATTAGATTCTCACAGCAGCCGTATCTAGTTACTTTGATATATAAGGTTAGTAAAATCTCCACCTCTCAAAAGAATAAACAAGAGTTATTTGCTAGAAATGGGGGGAATGGAGTTTGGAGGGTCTCTTTCTGTTGCCAATGTTCAACAGCTCGCTTCCACCTCCAAGGACGTGCCGAGCAGGTACATTCGCCCTGAATTCGAGCTCGATCGAGTTTCCAGCGACGAGTCTGTCCAGGTTCCCGTGATTGACATGAGCAAGCTAGTGGATGATGGCGAATTGATGAGGCTTCACTTGGCTTGTAAAGATTGGGGATTCTTTCAGGTCTTGCTCATTAGAAGTTCTTTCTTGTTTTGAGTAACTTTTCCATGAGGGCATGGCAACTTTTCCATGAAGCAACTTTTCTTCATTCTGGATTCCAAGTGTTTTAACCCAAATGGAACTGTTATGACAAGGAACAGGTGATCAATCATGAAGTTGCAGAGGAAGTAATTTCAAAAATGAAGGATGATGTTCAAGAATTCTTCAACCAACCGTTGCAGGAGAAAATGGAACATGCACAGCTACCAAACAGCATCGAAGGATATGGCCAAGCGTTTGTTGTATCAGAAGAGCAAAAGCTTGATTGGGGCGATATGCTCTACATTCTTCCGCAACCTGTCAACGAAAGAAACATGAGGTTTTGGCCGAGAGCTCCCTCATCTTTCAGGTTGCTATCCTCTGTATCAAAAATGCTTAAACATGGCTCACGAGTTCTCCAATCCAAACTCGCTTGGTGTTACCCATTTAGCAGATTATTATTTCCATCTCCTATACTGCCAAAGTAGACATGACTCGTGACTTGTCCTGCTAATAAAAGTTTTGGTCTGGTTTGCCTCCTTCGAGCAGGGCAACTCTGGACAAGTACTCATCGGTGCTGGAAAAACTATCTGTCAGCCTGCTGAGTGCCATGGCTAAGAACTTAGAACTCGACCCAGAAAAGTTCCTCTTGTTGTTCAAAGAAGGTTCGCAAGGTATAAGAATGAACTACTATCCAGCATGCAAGCAAGCGAGCAAGGTCATCGGTCTGGCCCCGCATTCAGACGCTGTTGGATTGACATTGCTGACTCAGGTGAATGAAGTTCAAGGACTGCAAATCAAGAGAGCTGGAGAATGGGTTCCCATTATTCCCATTCCAGGTGCTTTCATCGTGAATGTTGGAGATGTCATCGAGGTACGAAATACTAAACTAGAATAAAAATGTAGAAATTAGGGTTTGATTATAGACCAGATTTGCCAAGAACTGACATAAATAATAATGCCATGTATAAAAACATAGATAATGAGCAATGGAGAATACAAGAGCATAGAGCACAGAGCGGTGGTGAATCCAGAAAAGGAGAGACTCTCAATTGCAGCATTCCACACCACAAACATAAAAGCCATGATCGGGCCATTGCCAGACCTCATCAACAAGGATCAGAAGAAGCAACGACCGAAATACAAGACCATATCTGCCCCGGAATACATCAAGCTCATCATAAGCTCTAAGCTCAATGGCAAAGGAAACATTCATTCAATGAAACTAGAAACATAAGCATGAGTTAATACAAGCTTAAGTTGGAAATCACCCGATTCCAAATTAACACTGAAGGTGGAAAGATCAAAATACAAAATAGTTCATACTCTGACACGAATTATGATTGTCAACAAAAAGAAACCATCTTTTATTGAATCAATAAAGGCTATACTTCATACAATTCCAAATCATGTTCAAGAATTGGGATCTCTGGTGAAGCAGATTCTTATTATGACATCTCCTGTCAACTCGTTACAAATTCAAGATCTCCGCGCCAACAATTCGCATTCACATAAACAATGTAGAAACTGGAGTTGCCCTGTTCATCCACAAGTGAACAAAATGAGAGTTCACGGAAAGAGGAATACACAGCATTAGATGAAGAGAATTGATACGTGTTGAAATCGTATGAGTGAATGAATGCCTTTTCTTGGCGGGATTGAGCCAGTTCTCTCTTTTCTTGGCGAGAAATTACCAGGGTTTTACTTACTGAAATTCTGCCCCTTGTTATTTCTTTGCTTCTAGTTTAAATACATCACTAGTTTTTTGGCCCGCGCTTTGCAGCGGTAAGATTTATGTAGACCGATATACACTTGTTTAATTGATATATAAAAAATAACTATCACATCAGGCAAGAAGAGAGCACATTTGATTAAACTATTATGTAGAAGTTAACTTAAACCTTTGTGTAGTACAAAATGGATTATATGATGAATATTGTAGTTAATATAATTAAAGTTTGTTTCATTGTTACATAAGAAATAACTATTATTCGATAAGTTTGACGTAATGTATATAAAATTTTATAACTGTTACAGATCGATGTTAGATAAATTATATGTAATGTATGGTATAATAATAAAATCGAATTATGAAAATTGTCACATTTGATTAAAGAATTATGTAAAATTTAACTTATCTTATGAAATCTTTACATAATGTAAATTGATATGGTGAATATTTTAGTTAATGTAATTACAGTTGTTTTGAACTTACCTTACAAATTTTGTGTAATACAAATTGATGGAAGATAATAATAAGGAATTAAGTTATGAACTTTATTTACAGAATTAAGTTAATAATCAAGGAATTCATGAAATTGAAGATGCAACAATTAAATCAATATATTTAGTAGTTACATCATGTAATAGAGTTTGGGAAGCTAGTACACGCAATTTCTCATTTGCTTGTGCATACAGCCAGCCATAGGTTATAAGTATAACTCGGTCGAAGTTTTCATCAAGACATGTTTTTTTTTATTATTCAGGAACCTCAATCCCATGTGCCATTTTTTGGCAATCGGGTCTACTAAAATTGGGGAGTACCTGAGTTTGTCATCTAAACATGACTTTGTACTAATTAAGCCTCTATTCAGTTAAGAAGGTGAAACAAACTTTTTTCGAATTGGAATAATCACAAACTAAATTTTATTGTAAAGTTTGTCTTATGTGTTTGAATGAAATTGTTCACCCTTGTAAAAAAAATAGGAAGTATGACAACAAAAAGCAATATATAATAATAGAAAATAATTATATTTGGTGAGTTAGAAGTTTGCTTAAATCATGCATCATCATTAGGAGTTATTGGAATTTGAGAACATGACCTTTGGCCATGAAAATTAGAATATAAAGTTCCAGTTGTTCAATGAATAATGTTATTTGGATAATTACAAATCTAAAATTTAATTTCGTATTTGACAAATTGATGTTAATATAAATGCTTGCAAATATAATTGAAGAACTTCATACACATTTAATTGATAATGAACAAAGAGAGTGAGAGAGAGGAGGCTTGATAGATTGGGAAATGGGAATAATGAAATCGGGATCAGTTGTGGGGGTTTGCATAGAATATAGGGAGAGGGAGAGGGAGAGGGAGAGGAAGAGGGAGGTTGATTGATGGGTCTTGACTGTAGATTGGAAAGGAAGGAAATGGGTAAAAAGTAAAAAGTAACGAAAAAAAAAGAGAAGGGATGTACGGGAAAAAGAAGGTGGCAGGCGAGTTGTCGCCATTTCTTTATGGGCTCAAATCAACGGTCATACTTGCTTAGCCTAATATGGTGAACTCAGGCTCACATAAAAACGCCCACATGTGATTATAAAATCCTATCGTGAACAGTAAGTTTCGATTTTTTCTTAAGTAACAGTAACCTCGATTTTATGGTAATTTTTAAAGCCTTGCGTTTTAATAATTCTAATAATTGTTGAAACTAAAAATCCTAACAAGGTGGGAGCTATGCTTCCACGACTAGCTACTGCCTACTCTTTCTCCACTTAAGGTGGAGAGACTTTATTCCAACCAAAATAACCAGCAACTACTACTCCTAATTAGTAGAGAATACCCTTTCAAGCTAAAACAAAACCCAAAGACTACTCCTGTCCTGGCAACGGTAAGTTTGTACAATGGTTGGGCTACACGAAATCCCGTCAGCGCGAATTGGACTGGGGCTCACAAGCTGAACGTCGGTTAGGCTGAGTTCATTGATTCGTGGCCTTATCATTACCAACCCCACAAAAACGGCCTTGTCCTCAAGGCCGAGTTGATTGAGACAATCATAAAAAATGGGAGACAACTTCCAAGCAGCAGCATCCACGGAAAGGGGCTCTTCCATGACCGGATTCCATCCTTCATCCAAACAATTTTGTTGGTCCTTTCCATAAATCATCCCAAGAGGTTGATCCAGGCTGTGATTATAGGAGCGGAGAAAGCGAAAACAGGGGACGCCGGAGGGGGTTGAAGTTCGCCCTTCTTCCCGAACGGAAAAAGAAGGTGTTGTTCGTTGAAATAAAAGATTAAGAAAATACAAGGATAAAAATGTAATTATAATTTTTTTAAGTTAGGGCGACGGTAATATCTAGGGTGACAATTAGCAATTCCCTTTATAAAACGAGTCATTTGTAATGAGTTGGAATCATCTACCCTACCCTAGACAATTGGAATTGACTCTAAACGGATCAATTGTAATGAGTTCGAATCAATCAAAATTCTCTAACTCCAATTCATCCATCCAAATTTTTTGCTCACAAATGTATCAATTTGATCTAATTGTTTCAAAACGAGATAATTGAGTCAAACAGATCCCGTTCATCATCTAAACAACCCCAATAGCTGCAAAGTCCAAACTCTGACGAACCAATGTTTCAGATGCGTATTACGTACGTACCCATTTGTATATGGTATCTATACTCTGCAACCCAGTAGCATTATCAACCCAAAAAACCCAACTTTCATGGAAGATCACAAGAAATATATTTAAAAAAAGCAACTGGTCTACCTCTACCAACTTCTCTTTTCATTTTGCAAGGAACAGGAAATTCCTCCTTTCAGATGGCTTTCGCAAATCCAAGAGCTCTAGTAGCTGCCAAAGCACTGAAACGAGCTCCCAAGTTCAGAAGAACTTGAACAGGGTTTAAGTAATTTGGGGGGGAAAAAAATAGGGTGATAAGAAAATATTGCCAAGAACACAAAGCCGTCCCTCTAGAACTGCCGCCGATTGATTCCGTCAGTCCCTTTCTTTGATTAGTATTTAGTACTTAGTACTGATCCATGCACGTCAATTCCCTTTTCTTCGATTTGGTGGGTACGAGAATACTGTGAAGTGCCGTCCTCTACCACTGCCGCCCATTGATTGTGTAAGTTGGACCTTCAAATCCTCTGTTTCTTTTCCTTGATTTAGAGAAGTTCACATTCAGACCCACTCAACTAGTTTTGTGCCTATGACACTGATCTTTCATTGTTGGCACAGCCTGCAGCCGGCCATTCCAGGCAGGACTCAGTTTTATATAAACAGAATCGCCGTTTCAGTATTAGATTCTCACAGCAGCCGTATCTAGTTACTTTGATATATAAGGTTAGTAAAATCTCCACCTCTCAAAAGAAGAAACAAGAGTTATTTGCTAGAAATGGGGGGAATGGAGTTTGGAGGGTCTCTTTCTGTTGCCAATGTTCAACAGCTCGCTTCCACCTCCAAGGACGTGCCGAGCAGGTACATTCGCCCTGAATTCGAGCTCGATCGAGTTTCCAGCGACGAGTCTGTCCAGGTTCCCGTGATTGACATGAGCAAGCTAGTGGATGATGGCGAATTGATGAGGCTTCACTTGGCTTGTAAAGATTGGGGATTCTTTCAGGTCTTGCTCATTAGAAGTTCTTTCTTGTTTTGAGTAACTTTTCCATGAGGGCATGGCAACTTTTCCATGAAGCAACTTTTCTTCATTCTGGATTCCAAGTGTTTTAACCCAAATGGAACTGTTATGACAAGAAACAGGTGATCAATCATGAAGTTGCAGAGGAAGTAATTTCAAAAATGAAGGATGATGTTCAAGAATTCTTCAACCAGCCGTTGCAGGAGAAAATGGAACATGCACAGCTACCAAACAGCATTGAAGGATATGGACAAGCGTTTGTTGTATCAGAAGAACAAAAGCTTGATTGGGGCGATATGCTCTACATTCTTGCGCAACCTGTCAACGGAAGAAACATGAAGTTTTGGCCGAGAGCTCCCTCATCTTTCAGGTTGCCATCCTTTGTATCCAATATGCTTAAACATGGCTCATGAGTTCTCCAATCCAAACTCGCTTGATGTTACCAATTTAGCATATTATTATTTCCATCTCCTACACTGCAAAGCAGACATGACTCGTGACTTGTCCTGCTAATAAAAGTTTTGGTCTGGTTTGCCTCCTTTGAGCAGGGCAACTCTGGACAAGTACTCATCGATGCTGGAAAAACTATCTGTCAGCCTGCTTTGTGCCATGGCTAAGAACTTACAACTCGACCCAGAAAAGTTCCTCTCGTTGTTCAAAGAAGGTCGGCATGGTATAAAAATGAACTACTATCGAGCATGCAAGCAAGCGAGCAAGGTCATCGGTCTCTCCCCGCATTCAGACTCTGTTGGATTGACATTGCTGACTCAGGTGAATGAAGTTCAAGGACTGCAAATCAAGAGAGATGGAGAATGGGTTCCCATTACTCCCATTCCAGGTGCTTTCATCGTGAATGTTGGAGATATCATCGAGGTACGAAATACTAAACTAGAATAAAAATGCAGAAATTAGGGTTTGATTATAGACCAAGTTTGCCAAGAACTAACATAGATAATAATGCCATGTATAAAAACATAGATAATGAGCAATGGAGAATACAAGAGCATAGAGCACAGAGGGGTGGTGAATCCAGAAAAGGAGAGACTCTCAATTGCAGCATTCTACATCACAAACACAGAAGCCACGATTGGGCCATTGCCAGACCTCATCAACAAGGATCAGAAGAAGCAACGACCGAAATACAAGACCATATCTGCCCCGGAATACATCAAGCTCGTCCTAAGCTCTAAGCTCAATGGCAAAGGAAACATTCATTCCATGAAACTAGAAACAGAAGCATGAGTTAATACAAGCTTAAGTTGGAAATCACCCGATTCCAAATGAACGGTGAAGGTGGAAAGATAAAATTACAAAATAGTTCATACTCTACCACGAATTACGATTGTCAACAAAAAGAAACCATCTTTTATTGAATCAATAAAGGCTATACTTCATACAACTCCAAATCATGTACGAACTTATCAACTGAATACAATGACAATACTATTTCACTCATTCCAAATCATGTAAAATCACAATATCAAACTTAGATTGAGAATTTTTCAAGAATTGGGATCTCTGGTGAAGCAGATTGTTATTATGACATCTTCTGTCAACTCGTTACAACGAAAAGATCTCCGCGCCTACAATTCGCATTCACATAAACAATGTAGAAACTGGAGTTGCCCTGTTCATCCACAAGTGAACAAAATGAGAGTTCACGGAAAGATGAATACACAGCATTAGATGAAGAGAATTTCCAAAATTATTAGCAAGTAAATATGGTAGACAGATTTGAGAAGGGGCATCAGTTCTCCAAGGTGATATAGCATCAATGATATTCAGCCGCAAATTACCCATTTGTTATATGAGATTCATCCTCTGGCCCAAAAAAAAACCATTAACTAAACAAATAGAAAACTGTTAAGTGCCAAAAAGTGGAATTCAACAGAGAAATTAGAATGACGGTAAGAACGATCAGATCCTGTCGAGATACGATATAACATCACACAGTTATATTAGTCAGAGGATTGACAGAGCATGACTTAATATCGTCACTTCGCTCTTACCCAGTCTTTTCCGGTTGTATCAGAAAACCATGAAAGAAAAATATTGACAACAGAAAAACACAATTGAAGACGTAAACTCAAAAGGGTTTTCTTTGATCCTTTTTTGGAGCTCAGAACTTCTTAGAGGGTTGTGTTTGCCGTCACCGACTGTAAAAGTCTCTGGTACACTTATAATTTCTTCCTCACAGCAGCCAAAAAACCTTTGGAAACGAATAACCCATAAAGCAAAACAGAAAAACGAGCAATAATACTAGAACAGATCACAATGAAAGAAAGTAGGGAGTATAAACAGCTGCTCATGAATGAAGCCGAGAGAGCACTGTGTAGAAACCGAGATGGCGTTTGTATTTTTTATAGGGAGGATTTAGCAAACAGCAGCGCGAAACCCTAATTTCTCTGGGCAGACAGACTTGTACCACTTGGCTGCCAGTCCTCTGGCCCACATTACAATCTGCTTCCAGTTTTCCGTATCTGCAAGCCCAGGTCCAAGTTCGTTAATGACAGGCCCAAATGATAAAATAATCTCTCTCGCGTTAATTCAGCATTTTCGTGACCGACCGGCGGCCTACCTGAAAACGAAAACGGTAATGGCGATTCCTCCACCGTCATCATCCAGCGGCCGGAGCGGAATAACAACTATCCAACCGCCGGCGCCGTCGACGAGCACAAGGGGAGGCACCGCCAAAGTTACTGTCGCCGAACAGATCTCTCAGACCGTTCAGTCCACCTTCAATCTCCTCCAGCTGATGCAGGAAACGTCTCCTTCCCAGGCACTTCCTCTCTCTCTCTAATTCCTCCTATTTCTCCGATCGACTGTACTCTTTAGTTGTCTTTTGCTGGATGAAATCGTCGCTCTTTTCAATTTTGATGTACTCGTTTGTCATTGCAAGAAAGGGGTTGATTAGCCTAGTTTTATATGGCGATCTGGTGATGGGTAATTCGAAAGAAGCCATTTTTACGGAAAATACTGTTGTGCATAAGCCAGTCCTAATCTTCTGTTTCTGCAGGCACAATTGTCTAAACTTCCGAAGAACCTTATGGCAAAAGCCTCCACGATGAAGAACACTGGCCAAGTGTGTAGTAGTTACTTAAGCTTCTCATATATGGTTTAATTAGTCTGTCACTTCATCGTTCATACTGATTGCTCATTATGGGTGCACTGGTTTCAATTTTTCTCAGATTTTGGAGCAGTTGCCGCAGGTGATTTCAACATTGGATGCACACATGGAGAATGGGTTGCAAAGGTAGTGCTCCTGAACGGTTTTTTTTGTTGCCAAATTTTAGTCGTGAATGTGGCTGTTCATTTCTCTGAATTATCTTGTATGTCGCTATGAACTATAAGTAGTTGATAAGATATAGATAGTTTTGTGGGGGGTTTCCTGTATCGTGGCAACTCTCACAAGAGCTATAAGTTGTTGGGATAACGTAGCACCCAGAAGACGAAATCAGTTGTTGAGTATTGAGAAGTTTACCTGTTAGGGCTAGCATCGGCAGCAATGCAGCTGCCAAGCACTCGCTGGCCTTTGAACGATGAATGTATGATCTGGTTTACACTTGAAAGTTTATACTGGAATCCTGCTAGTTTGCTCTATTTTCATTGGTGCTATGATATGCGAAAAATCTGAACTTACTGCCCATTCGTTATGTACTTACAACCTGATTATTGCAGTGCTCCTCATCTGCGAACAGTGTCCCAAATACTTGCTAATATGGAGAATAGTCAGCTGAGTTCCCTTTCCTCTGCCCATGTTGCTGAAGAGGTATACAGCCTCATCTCTTTCAAATCATGGTATCATACAATTTGCATTGGTATTCACGTTCACGGAATGACCTACATAACAAACTTGATGTTTGCCTCTTCAGCAACAGGAAGCGGACAATCGTTCTCCCAAGTCTGGTTGAAGGGTGAAATATTGCAGTTGCCAAATGACATGAAACCGGAAAGCTTCGTCCTGTCAATCCTGGCTGGTAATTCTGTCGATCGATATTTGCAGTCTTGCTTCTTCTGTAGATGGACGAACCATAGCATTTCGCAGCTGCTCTGCAATCACTGATTGCCAATCAGCATGTCTCCTTGTGGACGAAGCCAATAATGAAGAATGAAGATAGATGTAGATAAAATTCCCCTTTTTTCTGTATCTTGTGTAGAAGTAGCAACTGTCATTGTCTATTTTTCTTTTTTTCAATTTGGGTGAGTTACAGTATGTTCTGGAGCTTAAACAATTCAATCACAAAACTTGATGGAGATTGGAGTCTGATTTGTTAAATGCCAAAAGTTCAATGACTGTTATCAATGACTGTTTATGGTATTTGACCCAAATAATCTCCCAAGTAATTGTTGCGTTTCTACAAAAGAAAGTAAATAAAGGTCCTGCCTTTTTCGGCAACCGCGAAAGAACGCAGTGCCCGATTAGAATAGGAAACGGCATTTACGCGGGGGAAGAGGCCAAGCGGGAATTCCACGAATTCGGCGGTGGAGGTATAAAATGGCAGGGCGCCGCTCTGCACCCACCACCAGCCAAGCCTAGTAAAGCGCAAAACAAGAGCGGGGGAAGCGCCACCTCCGCCGCCGTCGCTGCTGCACCACCGCTGAGAGAGTGCTTTCGGTCTCAACCGTCCGAGAAATTCTCATCCACATATTAGCCTCTTAGCCCCCGCGGGAAAGAGAGTAAGAGTGGTGAGAAAAAATAAAACCGACGATTGAAAAATGGCGTCGCTTACTCTGCCGTCTCCTTCTCAGACCATGCCGTCTGCCCGCCTTGTTCCTTCCCAGCGGCTGCCTCTGCCCCTCTTCCCCCGGCGCCGCACCTCCGACCTGCCGTTCGACGGAGCTCCTTGTCTCTCCCGATGCATTCGCGCTCAAAACGCCGCGGTAACACTTCCTTCTCTCTGCGTTCACAAAGGAGCTATTCGACAGTATTATTGACTGCCACTGTAGTAACTCGGTTCTGTTCGATTTCCTGCGGCGATAGCTTGTGAATTTGTGATTGCCATCGGATAATATTCGAAGAAATTAGATTTTCAACTGCTTGAAACTCGGTTTTGTAGAGAGGTGTGAAGGAATTGAACTCAGATTGCTATAATGTCAAGTGAAGGGGAAAAGAGTTCAGTGTACCAAATTGTTTATTGTTCAAAATTTGGACTCGTTGATAAGAACTGTTGACAGAATAAGACAATTGCAATTTTGACGTATCTCTACGTGATTGCTTTGTTTGGTTGATTGATTGCTGATGGTGATGATATATGCTTCTTCTAGAAATGTGATGTAAGTGAGCCACTGGATTTCGGGAATGGGAAGCCAACCATCCCGGTTCTCAATGCGAGGACACTGCCCAAGTTCTACGAATCGACTTCATTGCAGAACACTGTTAACAGAACTAGCTCGCGGCTGAAACTCTTCTCGGGCACAGCTAATCCTACTCTCTCTAGAGTAAGGTTTTCTCTAGAATACTTTCAGAAACGTGGCTCAGCTCTAATTTGGGATTCATTTTTCTGAACAGTGAAAATGGTTATTTAAGTGCAGGAAATTGCTAGGTATATGGGAAAGGAACTAAGCAAGATCAACATTAAGCGATTTGCCGATGGCGAAATCTATGTCCAGCTGCAAGAAAGTGTTAGGGGTTGTGATGTCTATTTAATACAGCCAACTTGCCCACCGGCAAATGAGAATCTCATGGAGCTTTTGATCATGATTGATGCTTGTCGAAGAGCATCGGCCAAGAATATAACGGCTGTGATTCCTTACTTTGGTTATGCCAGAGCTGACAGAAAGGTAAGTTTTTTGAATCTCTTGCTTGGGTGAGATCACCAAATGAAGAATGTTTGTATGTGTTGTAGCATAATAATGGTGTGATCTTCTGGTGTGCAGACTCAGGGCCGCGAGTCGATTGGTGCCAAGCTTGTTGCAAATGTTTTGACGAAATCAGGTGCGGATCGCGTTCTTGCCTGTGATCTTCACTCTGGGCAATCTATGGGTTACTTTGACATTCCTGTGGACCATGTTTATTGCCAGGTAACTTAACTTCTCCGCTTGACTGTCTGTTTTTCTTATACTTGCTTGCTGATCATGTTTTCCTACATGGTATAGCCTGTTATTCTGGATTATCTTGCAAGCAAGACTATCAGCTCCAATGACCTAGTTGTAGTTTCACCTGATGTTGGTGGAGTTGCACGGGCACGTGCTTTTGCAAAGAAACTGTCAGATGCCCCTTTAGCTATTGTGGATAAAAGGCGTCATGCTCATAACGTTGCTGAGGTAATTTCGTCCCTTTATCCATGCTGATCGATACTCCTCTATATGTTTTATTGTCTTCCTCTGATATCCATGACCCTTAAATCACTCTTCATTTGGGAATTCAGGTGATGAACCTCATTGGTGATGTGAAAGGGAAGGTTGCAGTTATGGTGGACGACATGATTGACACTGCAGGTGAGTTCTTCAGTTGGTATTGATTTCTGAAGTTGCGGGTGTAAAAATCCGGCTGTTATCTGATTATTTATTACTGGGCCAAGAACATGAATCATAATAGTCCTCTATATCTTGTTGAAGATGTTGATTTCAAGTCATCTTGCCTTTTTATTTTCTCAAGTTTCGTAACTGGCCTTACCGTACAGTAAAGGTTCAACAGATTGATGCCCCAAGACTAAACTTGTTGATTCAATTTGTAGGAACAATTGCAAAAGGAGCAGAGCTGTTGCACCAAGAAGGGGCTAGGGAAGTGTATGCCTGCTGCACTCATGCTGTATTCAGGTAAACATATCCATATGTTATCCATTCCGCTCCCTTCCAATTTGCTTGAGTTTTGGCCGCAGATTAGTTGACTTACCAGTTAGCTGAACTTCTTTGTCAAGTTACTGTGTTTTATTGATCATCTTTGAAGACCGAGTTACAGCAGTTAACGGAACTTCTTGGTTAAGTTACTTGTTTTATTGATCATCTTTAAAGACTGAGTTACACTATTCATCGCATTGCCATACAGTCCTCCAGCGATCGAGAGGCTGTCGAGCGGGCTGTTCCAAGAAGTCATCGTAACCAACACACTTCCAGTAGCGGAAAAGAACTACTTCCCCCAGCTCACCATTCTCTCCGTCGCCAACCTCTTGGGTGAGACTATCTGGCGTGTTCACGATGATGGCTCCGTCAGCAGCATCTTTCAATGACGAAAATCATTCTAGGCTTTTTAATTTAATTCTTCCAAATTTTCCCTTCGGCCACAAATATTTTTTGTAAGAGCAGTTAAATTGGATCTTTCTTTGTTGAATGTGATCACTACCCCATCTAGTTTCGTAGCTTAGAAGTCATCGTTCTAACCGGATTCAGGAGTTAATCAGACGCTTATCATCTGTTTATATAGGTAATGTTAACTCTTCCCTGCCCTTGATTCAAACCCAACACCATATTACATAATTCAGTAATGTAACAGGATCAGCACTGGAAGTACAAATTTATAAGTGAACTGGATGTGAACTAATTAAGAAGCTTAAAGAAAACCATCAAGGAACATCCATTGTTTCATGTTTACGAACACCATGTGTGATTATACACGTTAAACTACAACGGGAAGTGAAAGCACTAAAGCAAAGAAGGTTCCTTTTGAACTTGGAAAGGAAATCATTATCTCTATGTGCAAACGATTTCGCTCCGAGGCCACTGTCTATATAGCTTTCTTCTGTTTATAACTCCTGGAACATGCGATATAGACCACCATATTTGCAAAACTCAACCCTGCCAACAGCCAGAAGAAATAATCAAGATGCCCCTCGTTCAAGTTATCCGGTATCCACCCAGGCTGCAACCCGCCCTTTGTGGTAAAATACGCCACCATTGTCAGGATAAACGAACTCAAGTAGTTCCCCAATGATGTCGTTAGCAGCGCCAATGCGCTGCACAGGCTCCGCATCGCATCAGGGGACTGCTCGTAGAAGAACTCAAGCTGGCCGATGAACGTGAACACCTCTGCTGCTCCAATCAGCATGTACTGTGGGATCTGCCAGAAGATACTGAGCGGGACAGGTACAGCTTGGTCAACCAGTCCTAGCTCATCAACGAGCTGGAGCCGCTTGATCTCCACGAGCGCTGCTGCTGCCATAGCAAGGATCGAGATCAACAGGCCGATCCCCATGCGCTGCAACTCGGAAAACCCCTTTGGGTTTCCAGTGAAACGTGAGGCAAGTGGAACGATGAATGCGTCGTAGACTGGGACCCACAAGATAACGCTGATGACGTCGAATGTGGATAAGGAGGCAGGAGGGATTTTGAAGGAACCGATTGTGGAGTCCATCAGCATGCCTTGCTCGACGAACATGGTGGACATCTGAGCATAGACTGCAGAGAAGACGATCACCGTGGCCCAGATGGGGAACATACGGATCAGGATTTTGAGTTCCTCCACCTGAGTCACCGTGCAGAGCCTCCATGAGTTTGAGAAGTCTGCGCTTTTCAGCTCGGCGTCCGATACTACGCAAGCTTTATCAAGGCATCTGCAGAACACAAAGGAAGATTTCCCTGTTACTGCAATTCAAACTAACAAATCTAATCAACTAAACGAAGTGTGAATAGGTGAGCAAAAATGGGGATCGACTTACTTCAGTTCATCAGTATGCTCCAGCTTACGGCTGCCTTCGACGCTAGAGATTGCGTCTTGCGTTTCGTACAAGAGGGTGGAGTCAGAAGGCACCTCTAGGTTCCACTTATGAAAAGATGCGACCAAGACCTGGCACATTCTCGTAAGAGGGCTTCCCCCTGGTCTCTGGAACCTATAGAGTGGAGTGCCAGCGAAGAAACTCGCTATGGCAATTCCCATAAATATGGCAGGCACACCAAACCCTAGAGCCCACCCAACATTATCTTGAATGTAGACGATCAAACTGCTCGAAATGAGAGCACCGATGTTGATCGAGAAATAGAACCAGTTGAAGAAAGAACCCTTGTTCACCCTCTCTCTGGGATCAGTATCGTCGAACTGATCAGCCCCAAACGACGATACACAAGGTTTGATGCCACCTGTCCCGAGTGCAATCAGGTATAGACCAAAGAAGAATACAGCATATTGCGGTGGAGTTGCTGGAGGACAGAGTGAACCAACACATTCGGAAGGCTTCAAAAATGGAACTGATGCTGATAGAGTCAAGGTGCACATTCCCTGGTGTAGATTGAAAATTTAAAAGCCATTTTATCAATCCTTCAATTGAGACTAACCAGCTGAAGCCGAATCATGCTTGACTAAAGCTAGTCAATAGACCAACATCTCAACAACAAATTCATTTCCTTACACTAATCATAAATTTATGACCAAAGAACATTAAGAGACCAGGGAGTAATCTACGATGAAAATGGAGGCTGTTTCGCACATGAACACAGGAACTACAGCTCCAAGCTATGCTAATCCAATGACCTAGAAATAACTATAGCATCTATTTGACGACTAGTTCAAAAGGTCCAATTTTGGAATGCAAAGTAGTTATTGTCTGATTGAGGGTTGTGAGCAACAAGATAACAAGCATTAATACTAGCAATTCCGTAAAGGGAGACAAACGAAAGCAGCAAGTTCCACAAAGACTCACAATGAAGTAAATTGTTGAGAAAGCAGCAATTGTCCAATATCTCCCCCAGTATGCATCTGCCAGAATAGCTCCAATGAGTGGCGTGATGTAGCACGTACCGGACCAAGTAGTAACAGTTCTTGCAGCCGATACATTCCCCAGATGCATATTCGTCGTAAGATACGTTACCAGATTCGTAGAAATCCCGTAGTAGGCCAACCGTTCACAACACTCAGTCCCTGCAAAATTATTGCCGTGACATGACAACAAGGAAGCATAGAATACTAACCGAACAAAATCGGACCGCTGCTTAGTGCTTACCCAATATGAAAGGACATGCTTTCCAATTCCCAGTGTTCTGCTTCAGAACAGGCCTTCCCTTGATGTCCACCGAGCCATCTCCGGTGTGCTCTCCGCTACGGTCACCCTGGATAACGCAAAAATGAAACGCAGTTCTCAACTTCTCATTACCTAATTGGTAAAACCTAGTTGGCCTAATTCTAAACAATCTGCGGAGACTTGGCCGGACGAAGAATCGGAATCTTGCCGTTGCTACGGCGAATTGAATCGCTTCTGGATTTATTGGGAAGTACCTGATTGTGACCCGACGATGGACCGTGCTCGAGAAGCGAGGCCTGCTCTTCCGAAGAAGCCATAGATCTCCGCGTCTTCTATTCTTTACTCCGATGAGGAATCCGTCGCCGATTCCGATTGGGAGGAAACAAAAACTACGTCGGAGATTGAGACGCGAGTGGCGATAGGAATATAGGTGGAGGCGGTGACTGAGAGTGGAGATGAATGAGATGGGAGGAAATGAGGAATATTCAGATGGCGTGTTAGTGTTGAAAGTCGTGCCGTAATCCGCAGTACAAACAAACAGACCGCTGCCATTTTATATTATTTTATTTTTTATATCATATGCGCCTGATTTGCTTCTGCTTTCTGTGCCATAAAATATAACGAACCTGTTGGTTAGAGCAGCAAAGAGAAGAGAGGGGAGACAAAAAAAAAAAAAAAATCGCATGAGAGGAGCTCTGCCTTCTCTCTTCCTTCTCGCCGCTGCGGTGGGGAGGTGGATTTTGCGTTTTGCGGTGACCATTCTTGAGGCCAGTCTGAGAAATCAGGGGTGCTCTTCGTCGGAAGGATCGCCAGAGGTGTATGCCTCGGGAGGGAGCAGCTGCCGACATTCCAGATTTGGCGACGACTCAATCAAGTGCAGGCTATGGGGAACAAACCCAGTATCGGCGGTCTCCTTATCGAAGGGCGACCTGGAGGCAATTGGTTGGCGGCGAGCGAAAAGAAACCGCCTTAAGAAGAGATCGAGCCAATTGGCTTTTGGTGAAGCGAAAGCTAGTGAAGAACGACCAGTCAAGCGGGGCAGATTAAGGCCTCAGAGTCTCTGGAGATTCAGTCTCCCCCCCCCCCCCCCCCTCATCGGAATTGGATGAAGATGAGGGTGATTTTCCCCTGTTCGCGGGGTGCAGGGCTCAGCCCTCTCGGGTACCAAAAAGGACCCTTTCTCCAAGTAATCGTCTGGATAATCCCTTAGGGGATGGGATGTTTCCCCTGGCGCCATTGACGACGCTAGAATTAATAATCAAACCTTGTGTAGCTATGGATTCCACCCGCCCAAGAAAATTAGAGGACTGGGTGAATTGGGGTTCATTGAAGATTCCCCTCGGGGAGGAAATCGGTGGCATAAAGAGGGGCTGGGATAGTGATGATTTCAAAGTCCTGCGTCCGAAGCCCACTGTCACCGGAGACGATAAGAAATTACAACCGGCCAGGGGAGATTCCCGCCGGCAATGTGAACAGACGCAGTTTGCCGCGATGGGGTCGGAGTTTGTTTTGGGCGGATTTCATGGGCGGTTGGGCGGATTTCTTGGGAAACGATTCCGAATTGGGGGAAGGATACCCTCGACCCAACAGAGAAATCCTACTCCTTTCCCAACTCTAACTGCCAACAGATATCTGGGATTCTCCCTTTTCGTAGCGAAGAAGGATTTGACCCTCTATAAAACGGCTGCTGCCCTTGCCCCAATTCCTGGACTTTGTGACCGACGCAGAGAGGCTTCCAGCGCCGATAACAGAGAGCTTTCCAGGGCCGATAGCAACTTTGGAGACCCCTCTCTTCACGCGAATCAAGCAGGTACGGGGGATTTTCCTCCTTCTTCCTCTTGCTTCTCTCTGAATCCAAGGTTCTATGTTGGTGCGACGGTCAGCTTTCCTTGGACGGGTAATCTGCTACCTCTGTTGGTGAAGCAGGACGGTGTTCCCCTGGGCCTGGAGAATTTCGATCGGCCCGGCAGTTCGCTGCTGGTAAGCAGACCGGATGGTAGCCTGACTGCCAGCCCATCGACCAGTAGACTTGCCCCCCGGGCTTGTTCTCCACGGCCGGCCGAGGCGGAAGTCTCAACCAGCGGGTTCCCGACAGCTTTGGCTGTTCGCATTAACCTAGGGGCGGTGGATGTTGGGGTTTTTGGGCCGAAAGTGGCCAGGCCCATAACACGGCAAAGTTTGTTTAGCAATGCTGTTTTTACTTCGGTTGAGTTTATTGATTCTAATACGTCGGGTTCTAATTTGTGTCAGGTGCCCACGATGGCTCGTATTGCGGAGGATCAAATAGTGGAATTCTCTCTCAATGAGGTCCAATCGGTAAAGTTTCGAACATCACGGACGTTGCTGGGAAGATTATTCTAGGAGAACAAATTTACTCCTAGTGAGTTGCGTGAGGGCTTGATCGAGGCCTGGCGGGTGCAAGGAAACCTTAGGGTTTCAGTCACTAAATATGGCCTATTTGAAATTGTTCTGCCTAGTGAGGAGATGAGGGTCTGGATCCTCAAACGTTCTCCTTGGATTGTCAAAGACAGAATTTTACATCTTCGGTCTTGGACTGCAGCTATCACGAGGCCAGTTTTTGATGATCTGGCCACTGCTCCCTTCCGTGTTCAAATATGGAATGTAAAAGAGGATTGTTGCACCAAACAGTTTGGTAGGAAAATTGCTGCGGGGACAATCGGCCAAGTCTTGGAGGCTGATGTTTTTGCATCCAGAAAAACAGAGGAATGCTTTGTGAAAGTTCACGTCCTCATCAATTTCACTAAACCGTTGCGGTCACAACTTATGGCGGTTAGTCAAGAGCAGGGCAAATTCTGGGTTAACTTCAAATATGAATTTCTGCCGACTTTCTGCTACCTCTGTGGCCGGGTGGGGCATTCCAAGCCAGATTGTGTGTTTGATCCTCCGCCTGGTCAAGAACGCTTCGGCCCACATATGTCGACAAGGAAGCTAGGAAGGAAGATCTATATGGATGAGGAGGAGCTGCCAAAACCTCGCCATACCAGTAAATCAGTGTGGGTTAACAGGAAAGTTCAAGTGCAGAAGGAAGGGTATGCAAGGAATGCTAGACCTCGTGAGATACGACCAGTGTCTATTGATCGCTCTATTGATCAGACTGCTCGTCAGCAGGAGGACCATGGCTGTTTGGAGCCGCAATCGCGGGTGCAGGAGGCTAAGCCTAAGCTTGTAGGTAATCGTGCTAGCCCTAAAAGGGTTGTCGTCAAGGCATCACCTCGAGTCAAGATTGGTGGTGGGGTTCGCCTGCACCAAAAGAAAGTGGCGCCCAGAGAGAATGCGCCTTTACCCCGGAAGGGCTCCAAGGGTCGTCAACAGATGGGTAGGCAGGCTAGAAAGGTGGGCAATCGCCAGCAGACGGAGGATCAGGTTGTGGAGGTTTTTGAAGAAACTCGGAGGAGAAGGCTGATTTTGTAGGAAGAATCAGAAGAGGAGGAGGAGGGTGATGTGAAAGGTGCACAGTCTGATCAGCGGGTTCGCCCACGATTGAAAAAGGGAGGGGTGGAGGTCAGGCGGGCTAAGTCAAAGAAGGATGGGGATGCGTCTCAGTATGGTGATCCGCAGGAGTTGGAAGATGAGGTTGAGGTCTCTCGGGACGATGAGGGTTGGCAGCTGACCATGGAATCGGATGATGATCAATCGAATGATGAACAGCTTCCGTTTGAGATTATGAGAAGATCACCAGGTGGGGCGTCCAAGGAGACTCGTCGAATCTTGTCTGGGCGAGTCCACCAAGTGGTTGAGGCATTTGAAGCTGGGTTGGTCTTTGCTCAAGAAGAGGATATCCCTATCACGGGGACTCGCTCGACGCTTAATGAATATGGGTCTAATCTCATGGACCCAGCGGTGGAGTCCCGGAAGCGTGCGATTGATGATTTGGAAGGGGAGGTGGGTGATCCTCCTACCCCAAAGAAGCAATTTGTGGAAACAACCGATGTTCTGGAGAAGGTGGAGGAAGCCAGCCTCGAGTGGCCCCCAGTTGATAAATGAGGCTTCTGGCCTGGAATGTGAGAGGAATTGGGCCATCCCTCACTTTCCAAACTTCTGTAGGGTTGGTTCATTCTAATAAACCGGATCTCGTATTATTTTCGGAAACGCGATCGAACCGGCGTGTAGTGTCTCGTCGTATGCGGGGTTTAGGTTTCCCGCTTTCGCATTGTTTTTTTGTAGATGCAGTCGATGCATCGGGAGGGTTAGTAGTTGCTTGGGACCCCGGGGTTGACACTTCGGTGCTTTGTCATTCTAGTTTCTATGTTTGTTCGCAAATTAATGAAGGAGATTCTTCTTATGTTGTGATTTTCGTTTACATTAGTTGTAATGTTGCTGTTCGAGCTACCCAATTGGCTCACTTGCGTAATATGTGTGCAAATATCAATCATCCGTATGTGATCATAGGCGATTTCAATGCTACACTGCACGAGAGTGAAAAGGATGGGGGGCGGGAGTGGAATGCGACCCAAGCTTTTAGTCTCCGTGAATTTGTTCATGATTTAGGTCTACATGACCCTGGTTATCAAGGAGACCTATTCACATGGACAAATAAGCGCATGTGCAATGCTTGCATTCGGGCACGGCTGGATAGAGCGGTTTGCTCTCAATCTTGGATAGATACTTACCCGGAGTCTCTAGTCAAACACTTCACGGATCAGGGATCGGACCATTGTGCCCTACTCCTTGCTGATAAACCATATGTTCGTACTAGTCGGCCTCTTTTCCGGTTTGATGCCCGTTGGGCGGACAATCCGGAGGTGAGGGCCATGGTCAACTATGTCTGGCAGGAAGACGTCCAAGGCACCCCTATGTTTCGACTTTGGGAACGCCTAAAGAGGCTTCGGCATCTACTCTATGATTGGAGTAGGGCGGGCACTACTAATTCCCTCCGTAATATCAAGATGCTTCAGGCGGAGATTGATAGGGTAAAATTGATTCATCCGGTGGATTGGGAAACGGTTAGGACCCTGGAAACGGAGCTCTCCCGGCAATGGGAAGCGGAGGAAGTTTTCTAGCAACAAAAGTCCAGGGTTAAATGGTTAAAAAAGGGGATCAAAACTCGGCCTACTTCCATACGGTCACCAGGGCTCGGCGGAAGAAGAATTTCGTTTCTGGGCTTCAGAATGAGGAGGGTGAATGGGTCACTGAGGAAACCGGAAAGGCTTCTATTGCCACCAATTTTTACCAGAACTTGTTTACTTCGGAAACTCAGGTTCCTAATATGATTGAGAGGGTGGCGACTCTGCCGATTGACCATCGTGTTACTCCGCAAATGAATGCTCAGTTGACGGCGGAGGTTTTGCCTAGTGAGGTCCGGAGTACGGTGTTTTCCATGGGTTCGAAGCAGGCCCCGGGATCGGATGGCTTCACTAGGAAGTTCTTTAAAGCTTTCTGGGATATTGTGGGCATTTCAGTGGTTGAGGCAGTAGTGTCCTTCTTTAATTCAAGTCGGATGTTGCGGAGTTTTAATCATACCTGGCTCACGTTAATCCCTAAAGTGGACTCGGTGGAAACAATTAGACAATTGCGGCCGA